AGATGATCATGTTTAAAAATTTAACTCTAAAATACATAAGAAAAATAAATGATATTTTTCAGCATATATATATATATATATATATATATATATATATAATGTAAAGGTTATAAGTGTATTTTAAATAATTTATCTCAAAATTTTAGAAAAAAAGACTAAATAATTAATTAAAAGTTAAAAGTTAAGCGAGACTAGCCATATATGGCCTAGGAACATAAAAAAGATTAAAAATAAAATAAAATTCACATACCATATGACAACAAAAAGATAAATTTTGGATAAATGACATGTAGCTAGTTTGCTACTCCTTATGGCTTCTCTTATATTAGAAATAATAATTAAAAATAACTTAGTCATAATAAAAATTCAATCAAACCGAATAATCATTTTAGAAATTAAAACAATATTACTAAATATTAAACAAACAAATCGAGTTCGCACACACACATTGTATATATATATGCAAAAAAAAAAATCATTTCTATTGAACAAACATCAAGAAAATTGTTTTTTCCAACATCAATAAATGATAATTTTAGTATCTTGGATATAAAATGATTTTAAACTTGAAACGAGATATTTGCACTAAATAATTATTTGTCCATTTATGTAAAATATAAATTAAATTAAATAATATGATAGAACAATATTTTAACATATATACACATAAAAAACAATATAAAATCTAAACAAACATATATGATTATAAATCGAAATCCCAATCAATACTAAGGTTAAACACTAGTATGAAACTAATTCATCTTGTTTTAACGAAAAAAACAATTTTAATTTTTCCTATTCTATTAAATAGTGGTATGGATTAACAAGACTTGATGTATATATATAGTTTTAATGAATGTTTCTTTGATGAAGTTGCAGTCTGAATTGACGCATAAATTATTACCATGATACTTCTTATCTTGTAGCTACAACGAGCAAGATTTCGTATCCCAATTTACTTGTGCTAGGAATTAATTTTTATCTGTTAATTAACCTCCATCCATATCTACCACATTAATTTTTTATTAATTTAGTTTCAACCTCATTTTGCTGATAATAGTGATTTTTTTTTTTTTTTGGAACGAAGTGAAATGTTCGTGGTCGTGAATTGATGACCACCAAAATTTTGACACATGTAGCAACCCCATTTGCAAGCCGCTTACTCTATACATACGTTTCTTTCATCTACCTAACCATTGTCTTAGATTCCGGGCGACTTTGGCCACAATTTTGGTGATAACACCATTAACTTTGTCAGCTCTCATTAAACTAATCAGCAGATGATAATCATAACAGTAATGACACTGATAATCATGTTTATTATTCGAGATAGTAGCCAAAAAGTGCACTAGGGTCTAGCTAGGGATCTAAATTTTATTTTACGTGCTTGGACATTGGTGGATGTCATGATGGGACTCGTGAGGAGATAGGTAAGTACAGCATAGTTTTCTCAGCAGAGGATAACATTTTCTATTCTATCTTGCTCTAGGGTTTGCTGGCAGCCAACGTCCATTTTGTGTATTATAGAAAAATTCGTACACACATTACCTGCCCCATTGAATGTTTATGCAGAAAATTTTCATTTTGTTAATTTGTGGGTTTTATATAATTAATTGGATGAAATCAATTAGCCAGCCAATAACACCATTCTTCTTCTTCTTCTTCTTTTTTCCTTGGCATTAGCATTAACGATAATAATGACAATAGTTGTAAGCAAAGAGAATTTATTTATTTATTTATTATTATTCAACAATAAGAACATATATAACTCGTTCACTATTAGACTAAACTCTTTACTATTAGTTAATGGGGATCCGTGGGTTGATAGAAGAGCTAGAAAGATTCTAAATTTAAAGATAGATTCTCGTCCTAGATAAGCTCATCTATTCAAGGCTCTAACTTTGGAAGAAAAGAAAGCGTAAGTGGTGTAAAACAAAAGAGAGAATCATTTGTACAAGAATATATATAGCTTTAAACTGTGGGTCATGTTAGAATATTACGTATGATCTGTGGGCTGTTTTAACAGGACTAGAAGGGATAGCCTATAGACTGGCTATCCAAGGGATTAATTGCCTAGTGAAAGAAGTTCTTGAGAAACCTAGAAAGGATGAAAGCAAAAGGGAAGTTTTTCTCTTCTTCTTCTTTTTTGGGTTAATGAAAAGGGAGGTTATCTAGTCAGGTTTTAAGAGTAGTTGCACCAGACATGAAGATGTAGCTTTATTTTTAATTTTTTTATGGTCATCTTAAGCTCCTAAAAGTGCAATATTTTATCTGATAACGTCATGAGACTTAACCCACAAGGCTTCGAGAGAAGTTAAGTTTAAGGGAAAATTTTTTAGAAAATGTCAATTAGGTCATAGCTCTCTCTCTCTCTCTCTCTGCCCTCCATCAAACCACTATGTAGAATATTAATTCGCCTAATTGTATAAAGGAAGACAGTGCAATGAATTAACAACAGCTGCATGTGTGTAGACAGTAAATTATCATATCTAATAGACATATATTGGTCTGTTAATTGTCTCCATAGCTAGCCACAACTTAAATTCTTCTTCTTTTTGTTTTTTCCCAAGAAAACAAAACTTGTGTGAGTTGGCAATTCCAGACATGTTATCAGTCACCACTGAATCAAAAGCTTTAGTTTGGGTATGAGGGATGGTGGTGGAAGGGAAGTAGGACAAGGAAGGTCATTAGAAGAGTCTCAATGACGCAGTAGAAGTTTACAAAAAGAAAATAAATATCGTTGATCGAAAGTTTAGATACCGATTTAGTATAGTCTGTTGAATTGCATGTAAATATCAAAAAGTATGCTTTAATTCTGTTGATTCGAAGAATGATAAAAATTGGAATAAAAACTGAAATACTCTCTCATAAAATTTTGTTAGACAAGAAAAGTGATGTGTTTTCTGCTTCTAAGTCATACATAAATAGGAAAAAATTTGCAAAATCCCAAACCAATTCAAAGGAAAACAAATGCAAAAATTCAAAAAAATAAGAAAAAATTCAAAAAATAGTAAGAGTCAATTTTGATGGTCTAAACAGTGGTTTTTTTTTTTTTTTTGCTAAAATCACCTCATGACGGATGAGTTTTGTTCGTTGACCCGTTTCGCATCGAATTAGGTAAAAAAAAACCCTCGAAATTAGATTAATAGTTTTTTTCAGCTTCTGCCGTGCTTATACGATTCCATGAATTCCAAGATCCGTTGATCCGCTTCACTCATCATTAGGTATTTTTTAGATTTTTCATGTAACAAATGGTCATGTCTCTTCCACATACCCAATTGCTGTTTTAAAACCAAAAGGTAGAGTGAGGTGTGCAAAGATGCATATTTGCTTTCCTTTTTGATTAATTGTTTTGAGGTCCACAGTGCAGGAAAGAATAAAGAAGTTTGTTTGATAATGGGGGCAAAAGAAAAAGGAAAAAGCAACATTGGAGAAACAGGCTTCATGTCTCTAGTCTCTTCTAACTGATAATCAATCAGACAGATTAAACATAGGTTTGTTTAGGCAAAGCACCATGTGCTTTCTCTATAAAATAACAATGACGAACAACTACGCTATTTGGAAGAACCTGGACACATAATAATATTTATATCAGAACTTCCAAAAAGTGATAAATAACAAACCCTTTGGAATCTCTCTCTCTCTCTTTCTTTCTTTCGATTAGGTGTTTTTCCTTCCTTAGAATGCTTACTCCAAGTGGCATTGACTGGAGGTGGTAGCTTGAGATGACTGCATAATAACACTACCCAATAAGGATTCTAATCATTTAAGGCACAAATTTTAGGCTGGCCTTACTTTCTACCCTTTCTTTCTTAACTCTCGAGGTGCGTCTTTAGGTGGCTCCAAACGCATCTCAAAAGACAGGCGGTGATCGAAGCTCCAAGAAAAGCCAAATAAGGTATACCTAAGTGTTCATATGGCTTTGGACATTGTTTAATTAGTATTTAATTGTATAAAAGACAGCCACATTATTCATCGAAAACAGAGAAAAAAGAAGACAGGCATGATTTCCTCATTTATAAACATATATTTATTCAATTAATTTGGAAGTACTGAGGCCTGTTCAAAACTAATGATGTGTTGATGATAATATTGATAATGAAGCTTTGCCAAAATATATACATTAATTAATGATGGTTTTCTATCTTCATTAATTATTATCTTTAAATTAGTACCAATCAAGACTTAGCCAACTTTGTTAATCCATGAAGATTAAACTATGCAACAAGATATAATCAACCTAGCACTTGTATGTCCAATTAGTTTTTCTAGTAAATTACAAAAGCCCATAAACCTTCGACGAATGAACAGAAAAGGAGAAAAAAGCTATGCAACAAGGTGATTTATGCATCTAATTACTATTGTTTGATCTTTTGGCTAATTTAAATGAGCACCAATCAAGTCTTGGTTTCTTGTTTAACAATTATCCGGTACAAATCTCACTTTCAAATTCCATGAAGAAAGTAAAACGGGGAGAAACAGCATGTGGGGTGATTGAGAAAATCACATGATCATTGCTGAAAAAAACACTAACAAATATGGCATCAAAAGCTAATAAAGGTTTAAGGCTAGCTCTTTAGAGTCACTCTCATGTAAGAATATCCATCCAACCAAAGAACCCTTGAAGACAGGGTAGCAAGGAACACTGAGCTGTCAGGTTTTGATTGGATATTGACAAAACATTGTGAAATGGAAAGCACGAAATGGAAGGTGGCGAGCTTATTCTTTTTGAACAAAGCAGAGATCTGACTCAGGCTGCTCACTTCCCTTTCCCTTTATATAAAGTAATAAGGTTAGTCTAATTGATATATCGTTTTTTATTCAGACTTGGCTAAATACCTATTACAGTCTCACATGACGGTTGCTTTAGCATAAATATATATAGTGGAGTGGCTTCCTTCGCATTATTTCTCTATCTCTTCGTGTGTTCTCTTCAAACAGAAAATATATAGTTGTTGCTGGTATATATGGAGGATCAGTTTCCTAAAATAGAAACCTTCATGCACAAGGAATTGGCAGCTTATGGTAGTTTCCATGGAATGGCAACAGGATCAAAATATTTTGGTGAGCCAGTCATTTGGGGTGCTCTAGCTGGGACTATGTGTCGCTTCGACGATGGAAATAGTGACACAAAATCACTGTCGCGATCGTCTACTGAAAGATTGTTTTCGAGTTCGGAATCGAGTTCTTCTGCAGAAGATCAGGTTGCAGGTAACAATTTGATTGGTGACATCCCTGGATTTTGTAAACAGGATGTTGTCAAACAAAATCACGAAAGTTGTTTTATGTCAGGATTGAATTCTATCAACTCTCCTGAAAGTTCAATATCTGATCATACTGTCCAAGAAAGCTCCATTAGTCCTGTGAATTTCTTGGAATCGTTTCCAACACTAAACCAAGCTCGAGTATCTGAACCTCCTTCTCCATCTTCCTTATCAAACACATCAAAATTCCCAAACTTAACCTTGTTTTTGCAAGAACCAGCAGCCTCCTTGTTAGGTCCATCCAAACAAGTTGTCAATCAACTTGGCAAGGATCAAAGATGTGAACCTATGCCATTGTTTCCAAACACTTCGTTCTTCACGCCTCAACCTGGCCAAATTCATTGCCAACCGAGTAATGAATGGCTCAAAATCAATCAAAATTTGGCAAACTATTCCACCAAAGGATTTAATGACTACTGGCTTAGCACTACGAAGACACAGCCGATGAAATACACCGGCCGAAGATTGCAGAACCTGCAGCATCAGAAGCCTTCTTTTTCTTCAGCATCAACGTCGCCGGGGAAGCTCTTCAGAGGAGTGAGGCAAAGGCACTGGGGCAAATGGGTTGCAGAGATTAGGTTACCGCGAAACCGGACGAGGGTTTGGTTAGGGACATTCGACACAGCAGAAGAAGCTGCTATTGCTTATGACACAGCAGCTTACATGTTACGAGGAGATTACGCGCATTTGAATTTCCCAGATCTTAAGCACCAACTTAAGGCCAATTCATTGAACCGGACCACAGCTGCCCTTCTTGAAGCAAAGTTACAAGCAATATCACAAGCCAATAACATTTCTGGTCAAAAGAAGCACAGTAACGATCCACTACCAACATCACCAAATAAGATTGTACACGACATGAATGCAACAAAACTCAAAGGTTTGAGCCAAAACACCACAAGAAAAGAGTGGCAGTTTGAGTTGGAAAGCAAAATTGGATGTCATGAAGTGATTCATGATCAGACCAAGAAAGGTCAAGAGGCTGTAGCATCTGATGTTGATGCTGTTCAGTTAAGTAGAATGCCTTCCTTGGACATGGACATGATCTGGGATGCCCTTTTAGTCTCTGATTCATAACCATTTTGCCTACTTTTTTCACATCTAGTATAATGTGACGATTGTTTAGATAAAGAGTTTGTTCTTTCCCTTTTTTTTTTTTTTTTTTTTAATTGCCAGATTTTAGGATCTACGATGCAATCTTCTTAAAATTTGTATTTTTCTTAAATATTGATGTTCTCTATACATGGTTTATTTTTCTTCTGCCCTTAATTAATTTTATTCTCCTGTATTCCATTTTATTTTTCATTTTTTTCCCTTCTATTTCTTGGAAATTGTTTATATATATATATATGAAAAAGTTAAGTAACATTTTTGAGATGTGCAAGGGAGGGTTTGGATTTTTTTCTTTTTTCTTTTTACCCTTTAAAGTATCCTAAACTTAAAGATGAAGACTAATCTCTTTTTATTTTGTTAGACGCACAAAATAAATATAGGTACTTAAAAAGTTTTTTACAAATACAAAGACTTAAATTTAAAATTATTTATTTAAGCGATTAGAGTGTTTTCATTTTTTTATTTTTCATTTTTTTCCCTTCTATTTCTTGGAAATTGTTTATATATATATAAGCTAAGTAACATTTTTGTGATGTGCAAGGGAGGGTTTGGACTTTTTTTTTTTTAAATATCTTAAATTTAAAGATCCAGATTAATCTCTTTTTATTTTGTTAGATCGCACAAAATAGATATAATTACTTAGAAAGTTTTATATATATATATAAACTATTAGAGTTTTTTTTTTATTCAAGCCAATCTTCTTCGGTAAGGAAAGATTTGGATTTAGAAACATGAATTTAAAGTTCGAAATTGGGAATAGGGAAGAGAAATATTTTGCTGCTCGAGTAGCTTCCAAATTTGGAAAGTGGAGGTCGGCTTGATATGGCTGCTTTTTCTTACAAAGTCAAAGGCCCATTAAAGAGGATTGAGGTCCTCTCGTCAAGTTAAATTGGGTCATATATATGTGGGACCATCTTAATTTCTATGAGCATGCTCTTTTATATTTTTGGTCGGGCATTGTATATTGGGAAAATTCCATATGATAAGGAGGTTTATAATATTGAATAATTAAATTAACTTTAATTAAAGGATTAGTTAGATGGTTAAAAAAAAATAGTGTTTCTCTCTTAATTTTTTTAGCTTGAATGTCGAAGTCAATAGTTAGAAGAATTTATTATTTTGTCTTAATACACCAGATTAATATAGAAAATATACTTTTAATAGGATTAAAAAAAAATAACTTGGATTAAACGTTCAAATTAATCAAAAGACATTATTTATGATCGTAAAATTAAAAAAAAAAAAAAAGGATTGAATGAGAAAGCAGCCAACAAATTAGTTGAGCGGATTTCAAAATTATATCAAGTCAAATCGATTGATGTTACCACTAGCCTCCATTTACGTGTGATTGGAACAAAATAGAGTTTTCTATGGTGGGATTTAGGATGATTTGGAAGGAAAAAAAAAAAATAGGAAGAAAATTGGTTTAAAGCCATCAAGTTTTGGAGGAATTAATAGTGTTAAAAAAAAAAAAATCAACTTGTTCATATAAATTCAGCAAGTGATTTGCAATTTACACGTCCTTAATTACCTTTTGTTCCTATGCAAATAAAGTATATATGCTGAATTAGAAATTCATATATTTCTCTTTTTTGCATGAAGAAAAAATAAGAGGGACATATAAGGTTATTGGAAACTTAGATTACATCATAGGATAACCCTTGACATTAATTTTCCTGGAGGACGAGTGACCTTAAACAGATGAGGTTACTTGTAATTAAATTATGAATTTCTTTTAATTAAATAAGAAATTAAGCTCAGAAAGGAGAGAATTAGACAAAACCCAAAGGCAGGCCCAAATATTAGAGAGCCCAACAGCAAATATAACTCAGCAAAAGCCCAGTCTCCGTACGCGAAACAGATTTAATCATCAACAAAATCCAAACCAAATAAACTTGAATAACATTAAAGCAATATTACAGAAAATAAAACCAAATTTAGAGCATGTAAATTACAGGCACACCGATCTCTTGCATTATTTCATAATCAGACCGTCAACATGCATGTGAAAGCAGATTAATTTAATGCTTTCTTGAGAGACTCCGTTAATGCATTTGGTTGTGCAAGAAAGCAGAAAGCAAATGGACAGCAACAATTTGTCACTGCAAACATTTATAGGAATAGATTAATAGAATTGCATGGCATGGGGACTCCGTACAATTCGAATGTTTTTTTATTGAAACCCTAAGGTTTTTTCGTCTAATTTAAAAGTTCTATTTTTATATTGTTGTTTTAGATTCTAATATGTCATGTAAGCACATGTGACAAGCTGTGTGGCAAACTCTAACCAATGACAGCTTACCACGTCGCAAACTATCATTGACACGGGTTTGAAACAATAACAACGTAAAGCTTGCAAACTAATTTTCAGCCCATAGCATACATCTTAGTCCATTTTCTTGCTTTCTGGTTGTAAGCCTTTCTGTTAGTTCTGTAAAGCTTGCAGACAGGATTCAATGGATCTTCAGGATTTGGGTCTGGAAGCAATGAGCAAATGGACAGCAACACTTTCTCAATGGTTAGTGCAGGTGCCCAATATAGAGGTCCAAGAATGTCCATATAAATGGTCCCATCTTCAGTTATGTTCGGATGAAAAACCTGGCATGTAAACAAAAACTTACCCTCAATATTATGATACCAAATCCCCGTACATGATTCTGTAATTCTAAAATGTAAAAATATGATTTGGAAATCTTCTCACAAACCCCCTTGGATTTGGCCACAGCAAAAAATAATTATACTAATTGCTAAATCAAAGCAAATTAATTAAAACTGTTATGTTGTATGAACATGATTTGCTTGAAATAAGGTGTACCTTAGTTTTGAACTTGATCTTGGGAGGCACAAGAGGGTAATCTGCAGTAAAATTGATGGAAAGAAGGAAGATACCATCTTCAAATGGTGTATCAGAAGGCCCCATAATGGCTCCTTCCCATTGGAATATGTTGTCTCCAATAGGCCCAAATGAACAGTTGAAGGGAGGGTTCTTTAACCCATGTTTTAGCTCTTGCTCTATTCTGCACTTCGCAAGCTCAGGATTTTTCCTGCCATCAGCTTTATCTGATTCACGTTCGAGATTCCCTTGAATAGCATGGAATGGTGATGACGATAATTTGGTTTTTGAAGAGAAAGGGGGACAAGACAGACAAGAGAAAATTTTCATTTTCGAGAAAGAGAAGTTTGGAATGAGGAAGACAAGTAAATAGCTGAACCTATGAACAATGAGATGATCTTTGATAAATGAATGTATGGAGTCTTTATAGCCTGAAAAATGGTGATGCTTTGAGAGTAAAGGACTAGAGAAGATAGGCAAGTGAAAGCTTATGGGTAGGGACGTAGGGTTGTTCGTTCGGTTTCGAAATTTTTTGGACAGCTTTTGATTAACCGAATTAAAAAAAAAAAAAAAAAAAAACAACCGAATTGTATTTGGTTTTTTGGTACTTCAGTTTGGTATTCGGTAATTCGGTTTTTACCCGTTTTATTTTTTTGTAGAATTTTATTTGAAGAAAATATAAAGTAGAAGGAAAATATAGCAGTGAACTGTCATGACAGGTATTTAGAGAAGGTGCCTTCTTCAGGTTGCAATATATCAGTACAAGTAGCTAGACTGATAGTGATCCCCAATACCTCAATAGTGTTGCTGCTGAGCAAAAAGAAAAATCACATTACTCATTAGACACAAGGAGAAAAAAATGTTAAAATTTTCGATTAAAGTGATTGGTCCAGTTTTTTGCTAGGAAATCAATGTTATTTAACCAAGTTTAGGTTACCAATCATAAAAGGTATCTTAGAACAAGAGATGTATACGATACTTATTTGTAAATCTAGTACTGTGGATGCATATCATAGCAGTTTTACCAAGACAAAGCATGCAATTCTTTTACTCTGTTCAGTGAACAATAAGCTAGAGAAGTCAGAACTCAGAAGCATGTGCAAGAGGCTGCTAAATGTTGCAATTTTTTTTTATCAGCAGACAAAAACAAACTATATATTGTGCTAGCTAGCAAAAAGCCAATATCTTGGTTATCTATTTTCAAGTTTACTTCATTTTTAAAATAAAATAATAATAATAATAATAATAATGTGAATGACTTCTATCTAGCCAGAATTGGAGAATGCATGCTCTATTAATTAATTTCTGCAGGTTCAAGATAACTTAAATTAAATAGTAATATGAGAAAGCTCTATTTTTTAAAACTTACATTCTTGTCTGTCAATGTGAATGAAATGTTCAAGAAATTGCATTTAACGAAGCAGTAATCGAAAAAATATAAACAATTCAAAAGATTCAGATGCAAGAAATTCTTGGAGACTTTGAATTTTGAAAGGACTTTTCGTATACAATATTGTTACTGGAGCAAATGGGGTTTGCATAGTACAAGTTGACGAGGCTAGGCATCCTGAAGCAAGCAGTTGTTTCTTCTTCTTTTTTTATGCCATTTCTCAGGACTTCCTATTTTCTGCCCATTAATAATCCATTTTCTCTGTTTTCTTTACCATGAAAAAGGGGTCTCTAAACATGATGAGATTGAACTGATACAAAGATTGTTCATTTTCTTCACTCACTGCCTTTGTCTTGCTTAATCAAGAAAAGGGGTCAAACATTGCAGACACCATCACCCTCCTAATAAATTATCTAACCATCTGTTCACTACTTGAAACATGCACCTAATTAGAATTTTAGGCTATGTATTTGGAAATCCAACAGCTCATAGATCACAATTCGATGCACTGGATAATTGCAGTTTCTATTAATCCCTTTCCTTCCCTTTCAATCCAAGTTTGTTTTGAACAAATTACCCATTAAAATTCACATAAATACAGTTCCAATTCCAACTGCCAGTACCCACAAAATGCATCCAAAAAACTGAAAATCCAAGGAAGAAAAACAGAAGCATTTCGATTCACTGGATAATTATTTGGGCATGACTCACCATGAACTGAAAATCTTGAAAGCTTGAGAGTGGGACTGTGGCCTGTGGGAGACAAGCAGATTAGCAGAAGAGTAAAAGATGAAGGACCGAAGGGATACGTCTTGAAATTTTCGACAGATTGTTGACTGTGAAGAGGGTGGAGTGGCTGACTGTTGAGGAGGGCTGCCTGAGGACTGAGGAGGAGGAAGAAGGTGTGTGAAAGGCAGTGAGCTTGACAGAAGTCACATTGTATATATATATTCGGTTATTCGGTTTAACCGGTTTTTTTCTTCTTTAAAAATGGACCGAACCTGAAAACCAAAAAATAATTCGGTTTGTATTTCAAAAAAAAACAACTTGTATCAAAATTAATATTTCGATACGATTTGATTCGGTTATTTAGTTTTTACTAAATAGTGAACTTCCTTCCTTATGAGCTAGCAAACCTTGATGGGAATGATAAAACTAAAAGATGAAAAACTGAGGGATACGTCTTGAAATTCGTAAATTTAACTCAAAAATCGAAAAATAATTCGGTCATTTGGTTTTATTGTTTTTTTTTTTTTCAAAAATGAACTAAACCTAAAAACTAAAAATTAATTCAGTTTGATTTTTTTTTTAATTTCTAAAAAAACACCACATCGAAATTAAAATTTCGATACGGTCGATTTGATTATTCGATTTTTACATAACAATGAACATCCTTACTTATGAGCTCGAAGACCTTAATAGAAAAGATTGGACTAATTTGTTTTTACTTAGAAATAGCAATTTTTAAGTCTATTTGCATTGATGACATCTTGAAAGTGCCCTTTAGACATCTCACGGCAGCTATGAAAATCAGTGTGAGATTAGATCCAAAATTATTTCAAACTTGATTCATATAATAATTCCCATTGTCTCACCAATGATGAGCAGACTGTACATACAAACCCTAGAAGTTGTGCTTATATTGAAAATATTGTTGTTACATATACTTAAAAGTCACAACATGTCAGCAAAAATCCACATTTTTTTTTATCAGTTTCTCAAAATTAAAATAATTGTCAAAGTTTTACGGAACAAATGAAAGTGATTTTAAAGTTTTAATCGGCCCTTGTTTTTTTTTTTTCTCACATTTTGACTCTGTATTCTTCGAATTTTTTTTACTAAAATCCTTTATTTTTTTAGCTTAATTGAGACCTTTTACATTTCGAGATTTTTTATTTCAAACTCTCTATTATAATAATAACAATCAATGATCAATATTTGGTATTATAAAGTAAGAAATTTCGAAGAATGAAGATGATATATCGATCATTAATTGATGATATTATATCATAAGGTCTGAAATAAACGATTTTAAAGAATAAAAGTTGAACATATGAAATCCTTTTTTTTTTTTAAGTGATTTTAAAGTTTTAATCAGCCTTTGTTTTTTTCACATTTTTACTTCGAATTCTTTTTATTGAAATCTTTTTTTTTTTAACTTGATTGAATCTTTTTACATTTTTAGATTTTTTATTTCAAACTCTCTATTATAATAGCATCAATCAATGATCAATATTTGGCATTGTAAAATAAAAGATTTTAAAAAATAAAGATAGCATGTCGATCATTGATTAATAACATTATTATATAAATTCGGAAAAAAAAAATTGAAAGAATAAAAGGTCTCAATCCCAGTCAAACACGTTACTGCTAAGCATTTATAGAAACTAGTATACAGTTGGCAAACACTAACAAATAAGGATAAACACAGACTTAGCACATGCCACATCATGGCTGATGCATCAAGCAGAACAGGTATCCTGCCCTGGTCTTTAATGGCAGAAAACACTTGAGTTACAGAAGTTCATAATTTCACAGGGCAAGACGAGGAAAATTGCTGGTATGAAAGATTTGCAAGCCTATGCACTGCTCCATAAAAGGCTATCTTGAATCAGACGTCAAAGATCACAACTGGGTATAGTTTGATAGTGCAGCAACCTGGAAATATTTAATGGCTCACAGCCAATGAACTTAACGAGAAAGGTTTAAGATTATAAAAGTTTTTCTAGGCCAAACACGAATTTAATTAGAAAATCACTATGGTTAGATGGTAACTAATGCCTTGGTTTCTCCCTGTGCTCATCCTTTTTTGCTCCTCAACAAAATAGCTTGGTAAAGTCTGGATTTGAACTATAAATAGCTCATCCCACCTTGTCCAAAATGAATTAGGGTAAACAAAAAAATGCTAAAGTTAGATATTTGCTACCATTAGAAGATCAACACACTGCATTTCTGCTTCTTTAACTTCCTTTGGGCAAATCCTCTGAAATGGTTCTACTGGACAAAAATGGCAACTCCTACCTAGATTTAGAAATGCAATCCTTTAATGCAATAGAGCTACAGATGGAGCTAAGGTTGGCTCAAGGTAAAGATAGAAAAAGTGTTAAGTTCCCAACTTGGACCAAGGCTACAAGGCAGAAATTTGCAGTCAATAGTGAAATACAGCTGTGAAGGAATATGCATGATTCTGGAATGGAGTGCAGTAGGAAGAGCATCAACCCTAGGACCTCTGTATGCAACACATCACTGTCACATTTGTGAACACATTTTGTAGAGTTAAAAATGGGAAGTGATTAGGCATGTAAATCACACTTTTGACTTTTAATGGTAGAAATTATCCATAATCGACGAGAAGCAATACTTCTTAAAATTATCAAACTATTTCCACTCAAAAGTCTCCTCCGATTTCACTGAATAATAAGTTATGATCATAATTTCAAAAAATTTAATCCAAGAACTGAATTAGAGCATGGGTTGAGATGAAACAGCAATTGTTCAACAAATGCATCAAAATTCACCTGACTACAAAACTGTAAGAAATTCCATATAAAACTTGTACTCCATCCTACATCATGACTAAAACTACCTTTACCAGCAAGAAGGCTTCGATAAATAGAAGGAAAGAGTTCTAGGACAATTAAGAAAACTAAAAGGTGAAATTACCACAGGTAGTTGTACCATAAAGAACCAAACCTACTGTGTAGATCAAGAGTAAATCCTACTTCATGATAGAGAACGTCAATGTTTGTGGCCATGTGCGTTTTCTTTCAGAGTCTCGAGTACAGTACTCTCCAAGCTTTCCTTGGCTGAGTTGCCAGCCTTTTCAACCCCATCATCTCTCTTAGATAGATTAAAAACTGTTACCTCAGCTGACGTCTCCACATCCATGTCGCCAGAATCAGCACCCAATCCCTCTACTGGAGATGCTTCCATATCCAAATCTCTTTCTGCAGTTTTATCATCTTCAGAATCACTTTCACTGGAACTGCTATCATTCTGAAGAGAGCCCCCTCCGGTTTCTTCAGTCCTAACATTTACTTCCACCATCTCAGAATCTTTACCTGGTAGCCACTGCTGCAGTGGAACCGCATCACTAATAACTTTCCCCGTTCTCAATCGCTCCCGATAGCCCTCCATTTCTATCTTGTATCTTTCTTTGTCTTTAAGAGCTTTGTCCTGATAAACCTGATGAGAAGAGAAATCAAGGAACTCAAAATGTAAATCAGGAGAAATGGGACATAAGAAAGTGGAATCATAAATGAGATATAAAAATTTCCTACTGCTTTTTGGGAATCATTTATTTTGTTCCATAGCTCGCCAATCATCCTACTGATCTCTCTATCCTTCCCTGGGTAAAGTGGTTTGAGTCTTGCATGCTGCTCAGCAAAGAAGAAATTATAGCCGCTTCTGTTAGGTTTTGGATGAGCAGGGTCCCTTCTTTTTATCTCACTTTTCTTTCTGCGGCGCCGGCGTCGTGTACCCGGTACCGGTTGTGCATTGCCACTATTGTTAGCAGAAACGCTACAAGGCTGTAGCACTTGCCATGGTTGGTTCTGTGGTGCCTGATAAAGAACACCCTTGAGCTTCTCTGAACCAATTGTGACTGTGACAAGATATCCACTATCAAATTTCCCATCAATTACCCCTATCACTGGAGCACTTGCAGATGATCCTGGCATTGCTACAAGAGTAAGAAAGACAACAACACCTCATTAGAAAATTCAACCAACTAAAAATTTGTCAGGGAGTATCATTTAGAAACACACGTGTATAATGGCAACCAACAAGCAGGCAAAATCAGATTGAAAATGCATCTGAACTTTAAATCTCAATAGTATGGACTTGTCATTAAATTAGCACAGAAGACATGAAAAAAGAAACAGACATCCAAAATTGTAAGAAACTAAACTCGGAGAGGTCGCTAATGCATTTGCTACAACCAATTTCTATTCTTCTACTTTCTCACAAAAAATAGCAGATTCTTCAACCAATTTTTCTGAATCATTTCCTGCCAGGAAAAAATGTATTTCCCATTATAATTATGAAGCATTCTACATATTCCAAAAACAACCATTTTCATTGCCTATTTAACGTTCAATTATTCCTGCATGGTATACAATTTATTGGCAAAATTTTCAGCAGATCAGCAATTAAATTACTAAAGGTTCATTGAATTTATGTTTGTTAGTACAAAAATATTCCTAGGATTAGTGCGAAAATATTCCAATCCTAGGTAAACCTTCAAGAAAAATGACAGTGCAGCAGTATGAAGAAAGAAGAGAGACCTCCATGCAACTCTGCAATGTTTGCGGTTTTTTGCTTGACTGCAGCAGCTTGGTATTCTGGCGACGGTTGCACAGTCACTTGAGCTGGACATTGAGATATCAATGGACTTTGCAAAGGAACTACAAAAAGTTGTACGGTGTTAAACATGAACATCCCAAACCAAGTATTGAAGAAGGGTTTTTCAGTGAACTCACCAGGAGAGTTAGGGCTCCAGCTCCGAGCTTTAAAGTAGTAAAGCTGTTCATAATGTTGAAGCAAGGAACAATAATACTTGCGCAGAACAAAAGATGCATTTGTGGCAGTTGATGGAAAGTTGAAAACAGCAGTCACTTCTTTCCATCTTCTTTCTCTAATAATCTGCAAATCCATTAGGCAAATGAATGTAACTGCACGACCCCACAACTAATCTTTAGAAACAATTTATTCTTTCTTTCTTAGAAATCATTATTTTTCAATCTCAAGTAAATTTAATCTAGACTTCCTTCTTCCTAGAAGTAATTAGATTCCATTTCATAAAGAAAAATTTTGGACATTAAATTTGGAAATGAGCAACAAATAAAGTTTTAAATCAAGGATCCAGTTGTAAAAACAATCGCAATCGCGATTGCAGGTCGCGGCTTATCACAATAGTAAAATAACGGTCAAGACAATTGATGTCGTGAATGTATTAGCATGCTAGCAGTTGTTAATAAATTTATTTTAATTCAAATATTTTTAACGGTTTTACTAATTAAGTATAATAATAACATCTCTAATAATTTAATATCATACAACAATAGTTGAATTTATTACAAAAGAAAGATAATAACACTTCTAATAGTTTAATATCACACAAACAATAATAAAATACAAAGAATAAAAAAAATTTAAATAACGGCCATTATTCGCCAAATAACGGTATTATATAATAGTAACGGTATATAAGGCCTTTATTTGTGTGAAACGCTATTATGCTCCCTATAACAGAGTATAACGGTAATGGACATGGCCAAATCCGTTATATAACAGCTGTTATTTAAAACTATGGCCACATATTCTATTGCATAATCAAGGTTTTGGTTTGTTGGAGGGGGTTGAGTCAGCCCTCTAACCATGTATCATCAATTCCACCTTACCATGCATCAATTCCAGAAGGATGCTCACGTGCATGAAAAAATTCAACCTTATCGTGTATTTGCACAATTTATAATCAAAACCATTCAAGAAAAAAGAATCAGACAACTAAAAGCAGTTTTGTGTTACCTTCTCAATACCACCACGAGATGTTACCTCCACAAAAAGTTGATGCAAGTTCAGTTCATTACCCCCTATTATAGGGATCCTGCAATTGAAATTCACAATTAGGAATACAATGATAGGAAAGATAAACCTAGGTCTAGAGGCTATATATAATTTGTGCTCCCCTCCACTAGGATAATAAATCAGTTCTTCACCAAGACACACTAATTAAACTAACAACACCTCGAAACTTAATAAATTTTCACACTAAAAACGATTATCTTTTAAGAACTTTCCTTATTGGATTAATTGAGAGAGATTACATGCTTAAAGTATTTGCAGTCAGTTTAAAAACAATGGGCCAGATTTTAGGAAACCTTTTGTGTTTACCTCTACATTGCAACTCTAAAAATCTCCAAAATCTACCAAAAATGAATAACTTTTGCTAAAACTTTTCTGCTTGTTGTAATTAAACTGTGCAATTAATGCCTCTCCCATAACCTTCCATCTAACTTGTAACAAGTACAAGATTAAGATTTGTCTACAACTACCAATAATGGAAATTCCAATAATTGATCTGTGTAGGTGAACTAAAAAAGTTTGTGACTACAGTTACTAACTTAATATGAAGAAGTTGGCACAACATCTGAAGTACATTAATATCATTGTTTAAGAACAACTGTCAATAAAATTAAGGAACAGGAACATGTGACAAGAACACAAAAGGACAGAGAGAAAAAAATGATCACAACGAAGTACTTGCACCCACATTTGATCCAAACAGCATAAACATGGCCTCTAAAATTACATATGGTAGACAATCAAAAAACAATCCATAAGTTGAAACAGCACCAATCAGAAATGTGAAGTGTATTATAAATCTTACATGAACTTGGTTCCCATGGCTGCATGAAACTTCTCCAAAGTTTCCATAAAAAGCTTAGGACTAACTACAACATCCTCATATGTGGCCCCAGGTGCTGGATATTGAACATAGTTCATAACTGGTTCTTTCGCAGGCAGTGGACTCTGCTTAGCACAAGAAGTTGATGCCATTGCCAACTCCTTTTCAGCAACCCCAAATTAGTTTGCCCTTCCCTGTAAAACCATTAGAAATTGTCTTATTTACACACTTAACTAGAGACAAATCCAAGCAAAAAATCTAACAAAGAAAAGCGAAAGCACAAAGAAGAAAGAGTGCCAGAGATCTACAAACAAAGAGAACTTGCAGGTGAAAGTAACTGCATGCAGAAAAGATGGAATAAAAAAGAACTAATCAACGATGTTACCAAAAGGCACAACTTTTCTCTATACAAAATCCAAAAGTTAAAACTTTAAAGAAAAGCCAAAGTTTCAAGAGATGCTGACAAACCCTTAAAGGCAAAAGTTGAGCAGAATTTATTAAACAAGCCTAAAGGGAAAACACTAAAATCACCATGCTGATAGCAGTTGAGAATAGAATTTAAAATAAAATCGCCGTAATGTAGTAATGAAACAGAACAAAGAAACTCGTTTGATGGTCATCAACAACAACCTAAGTTGATGTAATAACTCCCAGTAACAAAGGAGAAACACAAAGCCCAAGACTAGCGATGAAAGGTGCATCATAATAGCTGTCAAGGCCATGAATTCTTCCAGACTACTACCATGGATGTAACAGCAAAAAGATCCCATCAACGCTCATGTTTCAGACTTTTAAAAACACATACACAGAGACCCAAAAAGGTGACACGCGCAGACCCCCTTTTAGGCTCTAGCAGTAATAAACACATGCAGATACCAAAAAGTCTTAGCCTTTTTTCTCCAGATATAAAACAGTTTTACAGGCCTATGATGCTCCATAAGCAGCAGCTATTCCCTTTCCTGACATTCTAAATATACGCTACTTAAATATATACATATATTTATATCTTGTAATATAAGTACATGTAATGCTATCCTCTTGTTTCTTTTTGTTATCTGTTACATTTATCTGACACAGTCCTATACAGGCAAGGTGGGGTTTCCGTGGTGGGGTAGCTGTCTATCAATCAACAAAGCAAACCCAAGAAGAAACAAATCCCACCTTTGCTTAAAAGACCCACCTTTGAATTTTGAAACTCAAGATTCAAGAATCAATCCTTCTTGGTTTCCTCTTTAACGGAGGACAAAAAATATATATATATAAACAATACAAAGAATGAATTTTTTTAATATATATTGGTTTTGGTTTAATTTAATGTGAATTAACAATGCATTTTATTACTCTTACGGTTCTTATTTTATGTTTAATATAATAAAAATAAAAGAATGAAAACCCAGATGCAGAAATGGGAGAGATTAGCAGGGAGTTTAATATAATAATTAAGCACAGGACACTTTAAAGAAAAAATAAATAAATAAAAAGAAAAAAGACTTACCTACAGTGAGTGAGAGAGAAAGAGATGTAAAATGAAATGACAATATAGAAGAAGCTTTTTAACACTAAACCCTATTTAATTAGCAAAAAAAATAGAGAGATTATCTTTTATAAAATATGTTTATCTCTCTCCCTGTTTTCATTTTTTTATTTATTTATTTTGATATATAGGGATAAGAATGGATGAAGAAGGAAAGCCAAGCTCAAATACTTATAAATTGGGTTAAACTACTGTTCTATCCTTCTTAACTTCCATTCATAGTCGAAAATCCAAGGGTAGTGTTGGGATTTCCTAGTCATAAAAAAATGATACATGGTCGGCGACTAAATCAAAGGAATCTAAAAATGGCTTCAATAATTATGGCGATATAATTACAAATTAAGCACTCTTTTTTGTTTTTTTTTTTTTAATAGAGAATTTAAGCAAATTACAAAAATAAAACGTGTCCTGTTGACTCCCCGTTTGAAACGGCACATTTTCTATTAGTAAATTACAAATTAGTCCCTCATAGTTAGAGAAACGAATTATTTAATCTTTTCGTTTTAAAAATTAATTATTTAGTTTTTTGTGCTTTAATTCTATCAATAACTTAACCTTTTTGAGATATAAATCACTATGATGGTTGAGAACAAAGGAAATTAGTACGAAAGAGCTTATAGCTCAATGATAGTTATCTCTTATAATAAAAAATCACGGATTCAAATTCTAACGGACTAATTCGGATAAGAACTTTTGATGTGTGAGTTAAAAAATAAACAAAAAATTAGTGGGTTAATGAGAAAAATAAGATAAAAAAATAATTTAGAAACAAAAAATACTTTAGTAAGACACTTCATCACCCATTTAATGAAAAACAAATAAAAAAATCAAGTTATTGATAAAATTATAATGTAAGGAATTGAATGATTACTTTTAAAACAAAAAGGACTAATTAGTTTTTTTTTTGAAACCAGAGGGACTAGTTTATAATTTACTCAATTGTGAGAAAGAGAGATATGGGTGCCGGGACAATAGTTACATTTTGATCTCTCCAAGGAGTCATTAGTGTATTTAATGTCTATTCTTATTGTCATCACCAACAACCAGCTAACTCACCAACCAAACCAAACTATTTGTAAGATACGGAAGAAATTGATTGATTGTTGTTAGTTCCTTTATAAGTTATTAAGGTTTTATATATCTTTGCTATTAGCTTATTCTTCTCAACTCAATTCAAAAGTTTATATTATGTAAGTAAAGTCTTATCTCTAACATATTCTCTCTAATAAAAACTGATACTAATTTATATTTAATTATAAAAAATAATAGAGGTAATGAGATTTAAATTTGTGATTACTTAATCGTCAAAACTTTAATATCATATAAAATGATTATTTTAACTTAAAAACTTAAAATATCAATTGAGATCATAAAATATAATTTAAATGATTCATTATTTCAAAAAATAAATAAAAAGTGAACTCGCTCAAAAACATTTTAATCTTTAAATGAATAACCTCCCTTTTTTTTTTTTTTACAGAATCAAAGAAATAAAACTAGTTGGTCCGTAAAAATTAACCTCAAGAAAATTCTCGCCATAAAAAAAAAGGGATACTTATGAGAAATTTTATAATACTCAAGAGGTAACTAATGTGCACATACAATAGTTACTCTATTGATTTATTTTTGAAGAACAAAATAAACATGCAAAAAACAAAAATCGCATTAAGATCCATCAAAATTGATAAAAAAAAATAATTTATGTTGGTTCAAATTTCTTTTTTTAATTTTTTCTCTCCGATATTTTTTTAATTTATCTCTTTTTATAAAGTAATTTACATTAATTACTTTTTGAGTATTATAAAAATTTTCATATATTTGTTGAGTTAACATTTTGGATATGTTATTAAATAGTCAATCGAAACATTATGACATTAATTTTGGTCATAAATGTATGTACAAAGAGAGTTGTTGTTTTTTTTTTTTTTTTTTTTTTTTTTTTTTTTTTGTGATAATATGTACAATAGAGATTGGGATGGTCATCAACAGAGAAGGACATCATTTCTCCTCGAAACAGTTCGTGCTGTCTCCGTCTAATTCATGCTTTGCAATTTCAAAGCAAAAGCTGACGATAATTAAATTGCATTCGAGAAGTGTGAAAAATTATTTACATACTCAAACTTTACTAATGAGACTAATGTATTATTGTCATCGTATTAATATTTTAATAAAGATATTAAAACAAAATAAAATTTCACCGCAGCTAGGCCCATGTTTTGCTTTTAATAAAAATAAAAAAATAAAAAAATTATTTTATTCTCTATTTTGTAATCTTTCTTTCATTTTAGTTATTAAAATTTTATTATATTTGATTTTTATCGTAATAAGAAATACTTTTTTAGCTTTTAGTAAAATATTTCAAAACTCATTAAACACAAAATAAGACTAAAAATTAAACATAATAAAATTTAAAATAAAAACAAAATAAAGATCATAAAATAAAAACCAAATTTAAGGATTTTGACAGAATAGAGAATAAATAAATCAATTGCAGAACGAGAGAGTGCAAGAATGATAAGGATTTAGGGAAATGAAAGTATAGTAGGAGTTGAGGGCATTTTCTTCTTTTATTTGTATTTTTATATACTATTATTAATATAAATCTTTTTATTATGGTTTTTTTTTTTTTTGTTGGATTGATTTTCTTCACAAATGGGATCCATGCATACCCAAGACCCCACCAACGAGGACCCACTGCCATCCCTAACTACGAACTTCTTTTTATTACAACCATAAAACTATAAACTTAACAGACCGAACCCAAAATCAATGTGTCAAAAACTATTTGTTGCAGAGATTAAATTCTCAAGTGGTACTTGCTACGTAGTTGTTAAGAGCAAAAGTTCAACTTAAAAAGAAAGTTTATATGTTCAAGTGGTACTGGAAGGCTTGATAGCTACCCTCAACTAGGTTTCTAAGACAATGTAGAAGGAAGTAGCATCAAAAGATCTAAATTATCTCGATGTTAAGGCGGATTTGGTTTATGATTGAGCTGAATGACGCATGAAGATCCCTTTAGCCAACCCCAATTAGCTGGGCTTCAATGCTTTGTTGTTGGTGTCCCCATGCAGCTTGCAGCTTGTCGCTTCTAACAAGATATTGACCGGTGCCGATATCTGCAGAGTTTAGCCGGCATCATTCAAAATGCTGCAGCCAAAAGCAGCAATAGCTCAGCATTGTAGTCAGTTCAACTATCCAAGGGAACTAAAATGGAGTACATCAACTAGAGAGCTTACTTCTACAATCAGCACCAACCGAGGGACGATGAAAATCATTCAAGGTTCAAGTGCTTCTACGCACTCCTAAAGAAACACTTCGCCACCGCCTTTTCTTTGGCATAACCTGAAAATAAAAGGCTTTAGTGATAAACAGAAACTACTACAGAAATAAGTTGCAGCACAAAGATCAGCATCAGCCATGAGAAAAAAAGTGGAGATGGTGGAAGCAATGATAGGTACCCAGCTTAATTTGGCATGCAGACAGACACAAATACGCACTTAAAAGGCTGATGCTAGCTTACAAGAAATGCCTTAATCTAATTTACTAATTGTTAACTTTTTACAAGCTTAAAACAAGTGCCTGCAGCCAGAAGTCTGAAGAAGGATGAGAGGGTTTTCAGGAATGGTCAACTTGATCTTCACTATCAAGCAGAAGCAACAGCAGATCACCAAGCTATTCATCTAAGAAACTTGAGTCATGCTAATTTAATATTAGTTGGAAGGTAAACAACCTTCTAACAATGCCTTGTCCAAATCTCTTGCTTTTACTATATTTTACTTATTTCCTCAGTTTTCTGTTGTGCAAGTAAAGCTTAAGTCTTTAATAATGTCAATGCCTGGGCATTGTTGACCTTGCAATTGTTCTTAAATTCGAAAACTAAAAAGATATCTTCAACTAGGCAATGAATTGTAGAAAAAGGTTATATGATTGAAATAGAGAAAAGAAGGAAAACACTGTACTATCTTACATATTCAAGGATTCAGAACTTCATGAGTTCAAATTTCATAGGAAGCTTATGAGAATAGAAAAGAAAAGAACTAAATTAGAAGATGCACAAATTGCATTTAAAGGGCCAGATAAAAGATTAAGAATTTTCCAAAACCATCTTTAGTAACAGAATGGGAAGGGGAAAGATGCAACAGAGAAACATAATATTAAGAGTTTTCAGGTTTCACAAATTGACTCCAATTCCTAGAAAATTCAATTGAAAATAAGAACTTAACAACTACATGAATACCTTAATTTATGATTTTAAAAATCCAAAGATTCCATCCAATAATGCAAAATTTGAAGTGCCACTCTTCACAGACCCTTTTTTTTTCTTGTTTTCTTTTTTTTCATATTTAGGATAGGAACCAGATGCAGCAGTAACTTCAGCAGACTATAAGATACTAGAGAAAAGAAGATGAGGCACAAGATTCAAGTCCTTAAAGATTTGTATAAGACAATGAAAAGAGACAACCTTAAAATCTATGCAGACTAAAATTGCTGAACTAATTATTGAAAGTCGGTGTTAAATACTTTAGGACAGTAAGCATATCACAAAGGTTCGTAATTTGTGTAATAAAGTATGTATTTATGAAAATTAGAAAAACATGCATGTTAAACAAGCACAATAAGTAGATCAAATTGTACACACATTAAGCATGAAAAATTTTGCATTAAAAAATGCCCCTCATACATGCACCCTCTTAGAATCCACAAAATTCGTACGAATCAAACACTTGCACCTGAATAGAAATTCAAAGGAAAATGCACATTAATCAAACAAGCAATTGGCCCAGTAAGCCATAACCTAAATCAAACCACAGCTGAAGTGTCCACATGCCTTCCACAAAGATTTGATTTTACATTCTTTCATGGAGGAGAGTGGTAACCGCACCCGTCAGCAAGGGAATGGAGTTTATCATAATATGTGCTACGAAACTATTCAAATGGTAAAAAAAAAAAAAAAAAAAAAAAAAACCCTTACAATAACAAATTCAATTGATAGGAGAAAAAAAGAAGTCCAAGAGAAAAGAAAATAGATACGACATAGAGTTAGTCCCACAGAACACACTAAATAAGAGATAAAACATTACCTTATAGGAAAGTGGGGGCAGTGAAGCCTGGCAAACAGCCTTTCCTTGTTCTGTTGATTGCCGAATCTCTCGAAGCTGACTCGCTATATGCTCCAGAAGTTGCAGCTGGGTTTTTTCTTTTTCCCTGTTCTCCATAGAGATATTGAGCTGTTCTCTTTCCATTTGTATGATCCGTAACCTTTCTCTCAGCCACCCAACTTCACTGTCAATTTTAAACCTTTCATGATCAACTGCCGACATGGAATTTCTTCTCAAATCAGAAAGCAAGAATTTGCCTTTTGAACTACCCAATGGCGGCAATACATTAGTGACGTCTGAACAGCTTTTGCTGATGTCTTGCTCAGCCCTACTCATGCTTGGACTGTCACATGTTCTTGGTATGTCTGAGGCAGCATTCACTGACAACTTTTCACTTCCATTTTCATTAATTCCACAAGACAAATTAGTTTTATCATCAACGACATGAACATCATGAACAAGGGTACCTAAGCCAAAGCCTGCATCAGTTGAATCTCTCTCATGCTTCTCTGAATCATCACAATTATATGGGAAAATAATCTTAGTTTGGTCACAAGTCTCTGATGCCTTTGATGCCGACTCTTGATTTGCATTGATGCAATCACTTTGCTGCTGTGGTTCCACAAAGGTAGAAATGGTTTTCTCATTCAAATTACAACCCTGAGTTGATAAGTCGAATTGTGAGCATGACTCCATAATTTGCGGCTCTATTACTCGATCAAATAGACTATTCTCATGTGATACCAGCCCTTTCTCTTGAAATTCGTCTTTAATCCCTTCGTTGTCACTTGATAAATGTGGGTGAAGTTTGTCAACGCTTGGGTGCCTATGAATGCACCCTTGTTTCAAATATTCAACTTCATCCAACTCTGGAATTGGTAATTCTTTCTCAAAAGTAAGAGTATGACTTTGTGATTGAATGGATGGAACCTCATATCCTAAAAATTTGTTTGACCTTTCTCCCTTCTCTTTCTCATCAATGTATTCAGTAATCTTCTGCCGCATCAGCAATGGATCCTCACCTGAATATTGCAATGAAGAAGCCCTTTGTTCATGTGTGGTTCCCATGTCTTGCACATCAGCATCTAACTGCTCATTCCCAAAAATCATTTGCCTGTAAGTTTCAACTTCCTTCTCCAAGAAATGCTTTTCCTTCTCTCTCCTTAGGACAATCTCTTTGAGAATGTTCATTTCTTCAAAATCATAAGCAGACTTTTCTTCTATCATCCTCTGGTATTGCCTAGCCTCCATTTCTATCGATGCCTTCTCCTTTTGGAGACGTAGAATCATTGCCATGGTCTCTTCTGCAGCAGTAGCAGCAGCAATTCTCTCTTTCTCAAGCTCAAGGTACAAAGCAGCGCGAGCAGAACGTTCTTCTTCTAATGCTTGTTCCAAGACTCTAATGACATTCTTTTCATCACTATCAAAGAAAAGCTCTCCTCTTGCTTTGCATTTCAAACCATCACCAGGTGGTGCAGCCTTCTCTGTGGGCTTATTTTCATCAGCAGTTTCATTTGATTCAAAATCATTAGAGACTGTTCCCACAAATCCAACATCCACTGAAGACTCTTTGCTAACTGAAACCACATAACCATTCACATTAGAATCAGCATCAGAATGTGTAGAAATGGCATCAGCATGTGAATATGCAAAACATGTTAGTGCATTCTTGATCACGATCAAAGCACATCTTAAAAGCAGTAACTCTCAAAAACTGCAAAAAAAAGAAAAAAAAAAAGCTATCTCGTAAAAACAGAAAGCTTAGAAAGATATGAACCTTCCTCCCCTGAAAAAGCAGAGCAGGAATACTAGGACCATTCACCAGATTGATGTTCAGCCAGTATTCATTGACAGGATATTATACTTTTTACATGGCTAACACTTTCCTGCATTAAAATTCCCCGAGGATCTGACTGAACTTGCAAGGTTCAATTCTACCACATGGACCTTACAAGTCATATTGAACAAGTAAAATTACCCATTTTCAGTCACGGTTCTATTTAGTGAAAAGAACTTGTCGCAAACCATAAAAAAAACAAAAAACAGAATAATACTGTAATACAGCTTCTCAACTTTCTTAATTTTGTCTGTAACTCTCGGAACATAACAAATGAAAATACACACTTTTCATATTGTAAAACTGGTTAAAGTTTAAAAACAAGTAACATGCTAGATCACACCAGAACTAAAATAAAAAACAGCATTTGACAATATCAACTTCTTTACCCTCAAAATGCAGAACATCGCCGCCCAAACTAACAGGAACCATGTCACCTTCATTGCGCTTATCCATCTCTTCATTGACACAGGCCAGAGATTTAGGACGAGCTTGAGAATCTGAGTGTAAACGATCATATGACGAAACAGAAGAAAGCATCCCATTATCAGCAGCAATTTTTCTTCGTCGCCTAAGATATCTCACCTTCTGGCCTGAAAACCCCTTCCCTTTATCATCAAACTTCCCTTCTTTCACATCCCTCATGTACACTGCAGCAGTCTCAGCTCCCATTCCACTCTTCCTCTCCCTGAATGAGCTACACGACGCTTCACCCTCCAATCCAACATTGTCACTTCCACAATTTACTTTGTTTATCATCCCACTACTCGATTCAAAATTCAAGTCTTTGTCCCATATAGAATCAAAAGGGAGCCTACTCTTAACAGAGAACTGAACAGAAGATATATGCTCTGATGGGCTATCAACTAACACTCTTTGCCAGCACTTATTTCTATTGTGGTCACCGAAAAGTCCATTACAAGGGCATGGCAAACAGAATCCAAATAAACCCAGAAATTTCTCAGCAATAAAAGCAAGAGTTGATGCACACAACATAAAATATGCAATAGCTAGATCAAGAAATGCACCAACTAACTCATCAAAAGTCCATGAATTTATCTCTTGACAAGACATTTTTCATTCCTCAACAATACAATCCAGCAAACCAATATAGTAACTCCCTGTTTTAAACTGAAACAAAAAGGGAAAAAATCAGAACTTTATGCCAAAATACAACGATTGCCATTTAATTACGAGGCAAAAGAAAAAAATATGAAATGGGGCTGCTTGATTACCCAGATGCAGCAAACATAGTATTTTTGCTTGCTGTTACATTATTTGAGCAAAACCCAGAAAGGAAACAAACAGTTAAACCCCAAATATACTTTTTTCAATTCATTTAATTTGATTTTCTTCAGTTTCTCAGTAGCCAAACAAATTAAGTTTGAAAACATGGGTTACTTTACGTTTATAAGTACTGACTCACCAAGATGAAACTGAGTACCGACTCAATGATGAACCGTTCTTTCTGATCGATGAGAATCCCAAATTTGACGGTTATGTTATGTGAGTGAGTACGGTGGGAAGTTTCGTATAAGCTGACAAATTTGATTTGATGGTTCTAGATTGCTGGATGTAACTGATAAATCAATCCCATAACTTTGGTATGAATTTCAAACTGGTAACTATACCATTAATTTTTACATTTCACCTTTCTACCGTCACTAGTGTAATGATTAGATTGAATTCTATTGACAAACATTTACTTGCTTTGTTAACTTCTTATATTACTAATAAAATAATATATTTTGAGCACAAAAACCAATTTATTTATGTAAATATTTTTATATGGATCTATATTGATACATAGTACAATGATATGTTGCCTTTTATATAATATAATATAAAATAGAAAATCATCGAGCTTGAAACAATTAATTCGATACAATATTTTTTTAATAAGAAACTTTATGTAATTTTATCGAGTAATGCTAATCCTATATAATTGTCTTATATAATTCACTTATCAAAAATTATCAACCATTTCAGGTTAACAGTGATTCCATAGCAAAAGTGCAAACATTCGTAATCCGAGGACTGACATAGAATGATTTAAATAATCGAGGGACTGACAACAGTTAGCCCATAATACGAACAAGGTGCCGTTATATTTCCGAGGCAGATACGACGCCGTGGGCTCCACCAACCACCGACTTGTGCTGTAGTCTAGAACCCTTAACTCCACGCGCTAGGGAATTAGACTTAAGAGCTACTGCATGTGTCTCCCAATTGCTTAGAGAGAGCGTAGGACGAGTTTCTTAACGGGCCTTTGCTGTGGGCGGTATCAGATAAGACTGGATGGACTATTTTTCTGTGCGATCAGGTGGATATAACGGTCTAATCACGTGGAGCCCATATTAATTTTTTTGGTAGAACTCAGTTCTGTCCCTAACCTAATGCCTAATTTCCAATTTCGTCCTAAAATAAAAATATTAACAATTAGATCCTTAAAGTTTTAAACACTTCTCGATTGGATTTTTAGTCCATGTTCACTGATATTTTTTCATTTAATATCTATAATTTATGAAATAAAATGGAGAATTCATGAGAAAATTTTATAAAAAATACTAACAAACATGATAAGAAGGATCCTATTAAGAATGTTTAAGACTTCAAAAACCTAATTAATAAAAGTATAATTAATTAGTACTCTTATGCTTGGCTAATAAAAGTATAAAAATTACTAACAAACATGATAAAGAAGGATTGATGGTTTTTTAATACTTTTTAATTAGGAAAGATGCTCTTTGAATAAAGAAGTAGTACTTAGAAACTCGTAATACAAGGTTCTAGTTCTTGACTCATTATTGATGTGAAATATCAATATCATTCTCGTAATTATCAAGTTAATAAGTTTGAGATCTAAGAGTAGATAGCTCATATTCTTACAAAAGACCCTTTTAGTGATATTGGCTATGTTCTTACAAATGATGTCCACACCATTAATGATATTGGTTAAATATGTTATATGACTGGGTTTCTTTTTAAACGTAAGCAAAATACCTGAGAATAATAGTATATGTTCTTACAAATGATGCCAATGCCATTAACGATACTGGCCAGATTTGCTATATGGTTGATTTCTTAAGACGTAAGCTGAATACCTAAGAATAAGTAGTCTATAATAGAGAAATTTTATAATACATCGGAGTAACTAATGACATGTACATTAGTTACTCCATGGGCTCAATTTGAGGAGAGAGATAGATATACAAAAGAAAGAAAGAAACAAGAGAAAAATAAAAAAATTTGAACGTACGTGAAAATCTTCTTAAGACTTTTGATGGATATAGATGTAATTTATATCTTTTTTATATATCTATCTCTCTCATCGAAGTGGATCAATGAGAGTAATTATTATACATGTCACTAATTACTCCCGATGTATTATAAAATTTCTCATCTATAATCTTATTAATGATGTCGACATCATTAATGATGTTGGTTAAATATGCTATATAGCTAGGGTTTTTTAAAACGTAAGCTAAATACTTAAGAATGAAAAATCTATATTCTTACAAAGAATACTGACGTCATTAATAATGTTGGCCAAATATGTTATATGGCTGATTTTTAACACACGAGCTAAATAGCTAAGTGTGAAAAGTCTATGTTCTTACAAATGATGCCGACGCCATTAATGATATTGAGCAAATATGCTATATGGCTAGTTTCTTAAGATGTCAGCTAAATACCTAAGACTAAATAGTCTATATTCTTATAAATGATGTCGTCATCATTAATGATGTGGGACACATATGCTATATGGTTGGTTTCTTTAAACGTAAGCTAAATACTTAAGAATGAAAATATTATATTCTTACAAAGAATGTCAACGTCAATAATAATGTTGGCCAAATATGTTCTATGGTTGGTTTTTAAGACGTATTGTCTCATCTCGAGGTAATGATTTTATAGTAAATTATTTTTAAAAAAATACTACATCTCGAAGAGAAATATGGTATTTAGAATTTATAAACTTCTGAATCTCTTAACACTTAACTGATCATATAGGATGATGGACATCATAACAACCAACTATGTGACATATAACATCATTGGCGATGTTGTTTAATATAATAACTTATAACATGAGTCATATGCTCTGGACTTCCAAACCACTCAATTGGAGGATATATATATATATATATATATATGTGTGTGTGTGTGTGTGTGTGTGTTCTTTTGTGTCGACCTCAATTAAAAAGACTTTGCAACAAAAGATAAAATCTTGCTCGAGTCGACTAGATTACGGATTTGCTTGGATAATTACTTTTAGTAATAGTGATCTCAAATCATAATTTGAATTCCTTAAGCTAAGTTGTGATCGAATACTTGCATTCGAGCTTTAAATGCAAAATTAAACAACTATTACGCTAGGAATTCAAGCTCGCAAACCTAATGATAGAGTGGGTGAAGACATATGTTAAAAATTGAAAATAATACTCAAAATTTAAAAGGAACTTTAACTCATTGATGAGAAATGATACTTATAAATTTAGATTCTTTCTGCAAAGATGATAATCACATAGGAATTCGGTTCTTAAGGATTATAAACACAAGTTTCAATTACAACGTAGTATCGGAGAATAAATTTATCGACTTACGGATCTATCAATCTACTTTGATTACGACCTATCATTAACTAGCCTACAATCTATTATCTAATTAGTTTTAAGTGTGGCCTTAGTCCTATCCGTCTCTACTCGACATTTAGGAGACTTTTATAAAAATATTATTAAAAATTATTTATTTACTTGGGATGTTAGTTAAATTACGTTTTGGAGTCATCACCTAGTATTAAAAGAATTAAAAAATCTAAAAATAACATTAATTCAGAAATTCTAGGATACGGAGTTGGTTATTCATTTGGAAAGATATCGATTATCCAAAAGCATCATTTTCTAAGGAAACATATCATGTTTGTTTTAATCCTAAAAGTTTATCTCATAATTTTTTTTATTTTTTTCCAAATTATTTATAAGTCAATTTTCAAGTTTTTTTTTTTTTACCTAAGCCAAACTAATTTTTATTTTTATTTTTATTTGTGGCATCATATTGAATCAATCGTCGGACACCAACGTTTGGAGTCTCATCAATTCAACATCGAATCTAGTTTAAGTCTCAACATAATCGATATATTAAAAAATAATCTATTTACTAAAATATGATTGATTTGAATTAACACCAGTCTCTATTTAATTTGAGACTTGTTAATTTTCACCTAACATTTCTCTCTATATATATATATTGTTCTTTTTCTTTTTATATCTCTTTTTTTAATTATTTTTATTTTTTTATTTTTCAAGGTTGGTGGAAATCATTGTTAGTCCCTAAAAATCAAGAGAGTTGATGATTCATCCACTTATTAATTACCTATTTAAACTTGAGATTATTTAAGTAATATTCAACTTTAAAAAAATCTTAAATTTAATTACCAAAACCTAAAAGATAGAAACCTAGCACATACATATAAGTCTAAAATCTATCTCTGTAATTTCATATTTAATTAAAACTAAATACTAGGTTAAACTAAAATTTAAATACCGAGAGAAGTTAAAGGCTAAGTATTAAACTAAAAAAATTGAAATAAATGAGCAAAATGAATTTAAAAGTTCTAAAAAAAAAAATTGAATCTAAACTAGAAATAAAAATTAGAAGCATGCATGAAAATTTTAAATTTTATTTTCCTAGGGAAATGGCTAAAAATAGAAAAATAGGCGTTATTGGGCCTAATAAGTTTTCAGCCCATTAGGCAGGCCCATTGTCTAGCCTAAACAAGACCAAGCCAGTAAGTCCAACCTAGCCTAAACAATAGCTAAGCCCATTCTAACCAAACCCAGCCTAACTAAAGCCTAAGATATCTAGTCCAAAACTAGACCTAAAACACCTCACTTTCTTCGTAAACCAGATTCATCTCTTTTTTCATCTCTTTTTGTCTCTTCTTCCTCGCCAGTACCCTTTTTTCCTTTTACCCTTCTGTGTCAAACACCAAATCAGCATGCTCCCTCCTTTACTAAATTGAACCCATTTCAAACCATCAAACTCTTTCCATCCTTCATTTTAATGTTCATTGAACAGAAATCAATCAAACGAAAGGAAATGGGTCAATTGGCTATTTGGTTATCGTTCATTCTTGAGTAAATTGATAGCAAAATCAGGGCAATTCAAGCTACAAATCATGAGAAAGGTAACACGTCTTACTGGTATCCGATTGGTGAAGCTTAGCTTGGAGTGAGCGATTTGCAACAAGTAACTACCCTTGCTTCGATCGGTGGGGGATTTCCTCTGTTAATATCCCCAAAACAAACTTTATAAACTCAGTAGCCCTTCTTGTGAAACCCAGGAAGCCCGGAATTCATTTGTCAAACCCAAAAGGAGAAGAGAAATTCAAAATCCCTTTTCAAAGAAACTGTAAAAACCCTAAATTTTTTTTTTTTTCCTATCCAAAACCTCTCAAATCCTATTTGCCTCCTTATTTATACTCAAAATCTCTCCTCCCATCTTCCCTATGATCAAATTGACTTAAATCCTAGCCTTCACCACCAAAAACAACGATTAGGCTCCTGTTAGTTTTGGCCCTGTATGAACACGAGTTGATGATAAATGATACTTGCAGATTGAGATTCTTCCTACATATATAATATTCGCGTAGAAATTTAATTTTTGAGGATTATAAACACGAGTTCAACGACAATACCGTACTAGAGAATAAATCTATCGACTCACAAACATATCGGTCAACTTTAATTACATCCAACCAACTATTAGCCTACAATTTATTGTTTAACAAGTTGTAAGTGTTTTGAAACTTGTATCTAGTATTTATAGAGAGAAAAAAATAATAATAAAAAAAAATAAACAAAGGTAGAAATTTTTTTATCGTTTTCAATGAATATGAATATAATTTTATTATTTTTTTATGTGTTTATCTCTTTTGTAAAATAAACTCATGAAATAACTATTAATAATTATTGTATACGTCACTAATTACTCCCGATGTATTATAAAATTTCACGCTCTTAACTCTTTCGTAATTTTTGTAATGCTATACAATCTTTAGTAGGGTTTCATGTTCTATTATGCCTTCATATTTTTATGTTGCAATACTCTATATTTTGTTAATACGTTGATCATGCCCTATTTTCTCCTATAACTAATCATATGCTCATCAATGAATGGATGAGGACTGTTCGATGCTGCCGTAGCGTTCTAGCCTTCCTTTTGGGGCTACCTAGATGTAATTTATTGGGAAATCTAAATATTTTATTTATTAGTTAATATGCTCTAATTTTTTTTTCCTTCTAATAGATGTTTTTTTAGGACAAAATCCACCATCAAGTCATAAGTTCAAGATAGGAACCGGTCATATAGCAGATATACATCAGCATCATCAATTTGACATTCCCTAAAGGCATGGATCGATTCCTAATCAATCTTGATTCGGCAATCCAAACTCCAAAATGAATCCCACCTGGCCGATTACTTTAGTTGCCCGTAAAAGCACCAGCTCAATGGTTCGAACTAATCAACTCCAACCTTCGGTATCTATTTTCAAGAATTCATTGGAATTTCAAAGATACTCTAATAAAGAAAGAAAATACCAAAGCCATGTCCCATCTTTCTTTTACAATTAAGCAGATTAGTATTTCTATCAAAAGACTCAAACTCTTTGGGCAGAGGCCCAGAGGCCAAGGTACTGTGACTACATTGTTGCCTTTGTCACTCTTTGCTTCCAAGCTAAAACCCATATGGCATCATCTGACTGCCATTAAACCTTATCTGGTTTTGTTCTAGAAAATTGGTTCAACATAAACCCTAAAATGCCATCTCTCCTGAGCCACCATCACAAGGTGTCTCCCTCCCGGGCCATGGTAAGAGCAGCATGCAATCAATATTTCTTGGAAGACCACAAATTTTGACACCCCACCAAGGCAGTCGTGACCATGACTGGAGTTGCGGCTGAATCGTAGTTCTCCTGTCGGACAGACAGGGGAAGAATAGGTGGTCCCTTGCCAATAGACCATATATTTCAGGTTTTTTTTTTTTTTTCGGCCTACGAGTATAAATTAATCCTCCTGTTCTTTCCGTCATAAAACGAAAATAACTATCCAGAAAGTTTTTTTTTTATATATATATATATATAAAGATTCGAATTCAAAACTACTGAGACTAGAGACTTTTCTACTTAAATCAATTCTCTTAGGTTATGTTTCAGTTTTTTAACATGGAAGAAAAAACAGCAGAGAGGGACAGAGACTAAGTACTATGTTCCTCCCGTTTATTTGGTAATGATAAATTTAAATGATCTGGGCCGTGCTGTTACTGGATACAAATCCATTGAGTATAGGCTTTGGAAAGTAGTTGAGACTTGAGGTATAGATATATGAAAAATTATCCAAAAATAGCTTCGAATTTTTTTTCCTTAATATGAACAATTTACATGTCAATTGAAACTCTTCATACATCTAAGACAATAAATTATTTTGAATGTTAGTTTCAAATTCGAACTAGGAAAATAAATCTCTTTAATTACCAAACCAACAATATCTTAAGATTAACTTTAATTAGTAAATTATAAATTAATCTCTCTCATTTGGGAAAAAAAAAGAGTTAATTAGTCCCTAGTAAGACCAATTTATAAGTCAATCGAAATTATTCATGCATTTAAAACAATAAATTATCTTCAATGTTAGTTTCAAATTCCAACGTAAGAACTAAGAAAACAAATTTCTTTAATTACCAAACCAACAATATCTTAAGATTAACTTTAATGAGTAAATTATAAATTACTCTCTCTTATTTTGAAAAAAAAGTTAATTAGTCTCTTTTTATTATTTCAAAATTAATTATTTAGTCATTTTATTTTAATTTCATAAATAAATTAGTTTTTTATCGATTTTTTTTATTAGAATAGCGATAAAAATATCTATATTGCAATATTTTTGTTCTCAAATTACCTTTCTTTATATATTATTCATTTCTAGAAATGAAAGGGACTAATTTATAATTTATTATAGCTTTAATTAGGATGAAAGCTCCCAAAGTCATTGGATGTCATCAAGATAACTTTTATTTATCATTTAACGTCATTTGATTGAACTCGTTATGCCGCAATTGGTGACAATTAATTTTCTTCCTATTTCTATGAAGCCAAAATTTTTATTTTAATTGTTCTTTTGCCATTATAATTTTGCAAGTTTAAAGCCGTACGTGTTTTTCTTATTTACCAAAGTATTTGTTTTAATTTAAAGAATAATTAAAGAATAAGGAAAACGAGGAATGGGTGCTTGTTGGCCAGCACTGGCATGTAATTCAAACTAAAATAACCTATGTAAAGTTGAAAAGGAAAGCACACCAAACGTACATGAAAATCTTTTATACATGTCATTTTCATTACCTCTAATGACGGCCAACTAATGCTATTGCTACTAATATTTTCGGCTCTCCAGTACCCATCAGTTGTGGCTAAAGGACATTTCGTAGCCCTGTTTTGACAAATTCCAAATTCAAGTAACTTCCATTTTAATTTTAATTATAATCCATGAATATCTAGTGCATTATTAACAAAAAAAAAAAAGATTTTACATAGATCGAGACCCTGTACAGTTCGATTTTTTTATCCAATTTAAGAGTTCTACTCTTATATTGTTGTTATTTCGCATCCTAATATCTCATGTAAATACACGTGACAAGTTATCGCAACGAAGCTTCAGCTAATGACAGCTTGTCACGTGTCATGATGGGTCCAAATTAGATAATCGAATTGGTGAACTGACAAGCTATCATTGGTTAAAGCTTGCCACGTGTGCTTACCTAGCAAGTTGTCATTAACTAGAACCCGAAACAATAATATAAAAATAGAACACTTAAATTAAACGAAAAAAAAATAGGATCTCAATTAAAAAAAATCAAATTATACACGGTCTTAATATGGGTAAAACTCAAAAAATAATTAAACTTTTTTTTAAAAAAAAAAACAAAAGAAGAAAAAAAGGGATAAAATTGACTATGATTTTGAGCTCAATCAGCTGGACAATTTTCACATTTTTCACATTATATATCATGGCAGAATTTATATGGTTATAATGTGAAAAGGCTGCCAAAGATTTTCCTATTCTTTCTTGTTCTTATTTAATTTGGACCAAAATCTGAAAATTTCATTTCATTTTCAAATGGGTGAAAAATGATCCATGGCAGGTATTTTTTAGGGCTACCAGTGCAACTCCGAAAGGCACCTCTAGCATTTCTGTAACATTTTTCTCTTTTCAACTCTATGTTGTGCTCTAGTTTCTTTGGCAGCTCAACAATCACACTATGAACTAAAACCCATTTAATTGATGCCAATAAAATGTCAAGATGCAAGTGGTAATTAAAAACCTCTACCAACGAGGCAGCAACGTTTGTTTAATTCATTAGGTTTTTCTAACAGGTTAGTCTCAAAATCCAAACTCAAAAAATCAAACAAGTAGCAAATCTCTTTGATCATCAATAGAAAATATGGAATGTCATTATTAATGCTTTGAAGTAGAAACTAGATAAGCTTTTCTTGAGTAGATCATCAATAGAAAAAACAATACCAAAATATTAGTTTATTATACGTTGGCACTGTTTTAATAATTTTTTATCGAAACATTTTACTATTCACACGGACTTATATGCACTGTTTTTTTATTATACAATTATATTTTTTGTTGTTTTTAAACTTTTTTAAAATATTTATTATGAAAGTTTTTGTAACATCACATTTTGGTTTCTCTTTTCTAAATATTTTTTTTTCGATTCGTAATTTTTTTTGTTTCATTTTAATCCCTCTTTTTTGTTTCATTTTAGTCTTTGCTTCTTCTTTTTTTCCCTTCGATTTATTATTTTAATTCAAAATTTTAAAGTAAAAAGATGTTTTAAAAAAAGTAATTTATAAAATAAGTTTTTAGTTAAGAATCAATTGATCGTGATATTTTTTTTCTTGTATTATTGTAATTTTTTTAGTTAAGAATGTTGATAAAGATAAATAAATAGTGTTTTTTAATTAAAAATTTATGAAAAATATATAAAATATTTAGTCAAATGTAAAATTTTGATTAAAAAATTAAATAAATTTTTATTCGATTTTGATTTGATATATTTTGATAGATATATAATATAATACAAAATATCAAATTAAAATAATATTTTAAAATAATTTATGGATTTTGTTTGACTCGTTAAATAACGCGGGTAAAAAAACTAATATCGTACTAAATAAACTAGGTTAGGTGAAATTGCAGCGGTTGGAGATTTTGTTTGAGCCTGCAACTGTAAGTATCAATGAATGAAATCATCGAATATCATTTTCTTCCTCTTCATGATAGCTAAACTACAACTTTTTTGAAAAGATTTCCAAACATTTCGTAGAATTACCTTGGTGACATCATGCAAAAGTCAATTCAAGGTTCGTTTGAATTATAACTAAGCATTTTCATGATATTAATTATATATTTGCATAGTGATTTCGGCATATAATCACTGAACAATGCTAGAATGTACTCACACTTGGCTAAATTTATTTATAATTTTTTATGGTGGTTAGCTGATAGGTTCACATACTCCAATATTGATTATTTTAAATTAATTATGATAATGTTACGCAATCTATTAGAAAAAGAAAAAAAAGCTGTGGGTTTTAATTGAAATTGTAGTTGTTATGATTGTAAAAAAAAAAAAAACATTTGGTAATATGTAATATTAAAATGTTTTTATTTTACGAAACATATTTTTTATTGGATTTTTTTTTAAAGAAAGTTTTTGCCAACAACCTTTTTTGCCAGATGGGCACTACTTGTGCTTAGGAAAAGAAAGCAACATACGATCAATGGTTCTTTTTTCTCATGCATCGTTTTTCCTTTCCCTCATAAATTAGTATTCTCTAAATTTCAAGGCATAAAATATATATTTTGTTTTTTCTTTAGTAAAAAGCAATCATATGTCAACAAAGACAGGCAGCTGGTTTACAAGAACCGTCTTGTGATAAAAAAAGAAAGAGAAGTCAATATGAACCGACGGATCTTAAAATTCATAAAATGTTATGAGTGTGATAGAAGCTAAATAAAAATTATTAGCTTAATTTTGAGAATTTTTGGACCCAATTCGATGCCAAACGGGCCGAACAAAATTCATAGGCTATGCTTATGATACATGGGTGATTTTGGTAAAAAAAACATCATTTAAACCCTCAAGATCCACTTTTAATGTTTTTTGAGATTCTTCCTAATTTTTTGGATTTTTAGTATTTGTTTTCTTTTTTAAATTGTTTTAGGGTTTTGACGAAATTTACTATTTATGTATGACTTTAAGATAGAAAAATGTCACTTTTCTTGGCTAATAAAGTTTTATGAGAAAATATCTCAATTTTATCTCAATTTTTGACATTCTTTGAATTAACAAAATTGAAGCCTATTTTTTAATATTTATACATAATTCAACAGATTATAGTAGATCGACATCTAGATTTCGAATCATCGGTATTTTTTTTTTTATAAGTTTCTACTACATCAGAGACTGAACACTTTCATTGGCAAATACTGATTGGTTGAATGCCTAGATCCCTTCTTTTACCGATGAGTTTTTTCTTTGGTTAAACTTCTTTTCCCTCCTTTATGCATTTTCATCTCATTCAAGTCATTCCTTTTCCCTCCTTCTCCTGCCCTGTAAGCCCCATAATCGACCCATAAATGCAAAAAAAAAAGAAATCTCCCAATGATGGATAGGTGAGCTTCAATTGCGATATGGCTAAGATTAATTTTGAGAACACAACTACCCCCACGTTAAAAAAAAATGCCACTCACTTCCAAGCCAAAAAGGGACCATCCTCATTAATGGTTATAGAAAACAAAAAGTTGGCAACCCACATCACCAACCTCGAACCAACTGGCCTTACGTACCATTAAATAGCATTATCCTAAAATTTACTATATGCCACCAATCCCCGCCTTACCATGCATTCCTAATTAATCAAAAGGGTCCCTCCCAAAATCCCAAAGTCTTAATCATAGCTGCTTTAATGACTTTTGACACTTACCCACACACCAATTGCGCATTTGGTTGTGTTCAGGTGATTTCATCAATTAATTTTGAAGGAAACAAATTAAAATTCCATGTACAATCATAATATTCTACTATTAGTTTCTTGAAGTTTTTGGAGAAAACTAAATTTCTTAAAAATTTCAAGAAAGTAGTGTCCAAAAAAAAAAACGAATTAAATGAAATCGTTCATAAAATTGTATTGGTTACTAAGGACGAGAAATTTTATAATACTTAAGAACTAAATAAGATAAGTTACTTCATAAAAAAAGATAGATACAAAAACAGTAAAAAAATAGGAGAGAGAATATATAAAAAAAATTGAGCCAATATAAAAATATTTTTATCACTTTTGGTGGATTCGGATGTGATTCTCTCTTTTTATGTGGCTATCTCTCTCCTCAAAAGTGAGCTCATGGAGTAATTACTTGGACATGTTACTAATTATGAGAAATTTTATAATACTCATATAGAATAATTACTCCATCTCACTTTTTAGGAGAGAAATAGACACAAAGAAGAAAGAAAAATAAGAGAGAGAGAAGTTTTTTTAAAAAATTGAATCAACGTACTTTACAAGTACGAGTAGTTATTTTTTTGAGTATTATAAAATTTCTTCGCTAGTTACTCGCTTTGAGTATTATAAAATTTCTCGTCAAGTGAATGCTCTTGAAAAAGTTTGTGCTTAAAACTTGAAAGAATTACTCTTCAACTTAAAAAACAGGGTTCTTTTGCTAAAAATTCTAAGTATAAAGTAACGCATTAGATACAAAAGTTGCAGAATTGGACTTTTTCTTGGTTATTTTGTTTGCTAATAAGTTGTTTGATTATTCACTTTTTGTTGATCACGAGGATTAGACTAAATAACATGTTCAAACATGTTTGATTTGGATTCAAACCGAGAGAAGACTTATGGGAGAAACTTCTATCAAAGGTGTTTTCTAGTGTTTTTATTCAAACTTTAATCAACACGTACACTTGTGCTCTATGAGATCACAAAGCACTAATCGCTAATGGGTGTTGATTCCAATTCACTATGCAAGTCCCATCTCAAAGTATGAATTACTTGCCGTGTGCTCATTTTAGAATGAATTTACAAGGGAACAAATCGAGTGTAAGGTAACTTCAATCTAATCACAATATGAATCTGATTTTGATATTTTATTAGGAAGAATATCAAATAGATGTAATTAATTAATTAAGATTTAGTTTTTTAATTTTCTTTTTTATCGATAATTAAATTCTTTCATTCTATTGATCAATTTCAGACGACATGAATTCTTTGTAACAATACCGTTCTGGACACAAGATTTTTTTTCTATTAATAAAAAATTTATTGTTTTCTTTGGCATGGTATGGATAAGAATTCATACCTTTAACCTAACCAAATTAATTGCACTATCATTCAACTACTTCATTTAGAGCTCCCATTTCAAAAGATTTAGAGGGAACCGATAAACAAGAGAAATCTAAATTATTTGTTCACACATTTAGTAAAAAAATTGGAGAAAATCTAGAAGATTGACATGGTTTTTATTATTTTGGAAAAAATATATAAATAAGTTTCCAAGTTATTAGGGTTTTTCTTGTGGGGGTTTTGACAAGCTAGCAATATATGAATTTCAACCATCAAGATTCAAGAATTCAAGATCTTTTGTTCTTCAAAGGTGTCGTCTAGTTTATGACCAACATGCCTTCGTTTTAAACGCCAAAGAATTTTATTTATTCTGCAGAAAGTATAGACTACAGCAGCCAAAGATTAAATATTTTAGAATCTTCTTTTTGGTGAGATAAGGGTAGGTTCTTTCCAAGCCGGTTGATGGGATACGATTCAACCATAACGCAACCTAACCGTGTTGAATTTAAAGCACAAGCTCAAAAAAGGCATCAAGTGTTCACATAATATACATGTAACCAAGCCAAAGGTCTCGTTCATTTACTTTGCCACCTCCATTCGATGCCCGTCTAGCCATTTTCCAGGCACCGAAACCATGCAACTCAACCGCCTTTGCATCATTTTACCAGCTGATTTAGACGAAAGCAAGCCATTTGATCCTCCAAAAGTTCCACCACCTGTGCAAGAAGATGTCCAGAAGCACAAACACCGCGGCTGCGGGAGCCAGATACTTCATTTCCTAGGTGGTTCGTTGCGCCGGCTACATGACTCGAAATGGATTGGTTGTTTTCATGAGTATAAGCCAAGTAAACAGCAGCCTGGTCTGTTTCATGACCTTGAGGGAATTCAAATATCTGAGAAGGTTGGTGGTGATAATCCGAGGATTTTCAGCTATGCTGAGCTTTATATAGGGTCTAAAGGGTTTTGTGAAGATGAGGTTCTTGGTAGTGGAGGTTTTGGCAAGGTTTATAGAGCGGTTTTACCGAGTGATGGTACTGTTGTTGCTGTTAAATGCTTGGCCGAGAGAGGAGAGCAGTTTGAGAAGACTTTTGCAGCTGAATTGGTTGCGGTGGCTCATCTTCGACATAGGAATCTTGTAAGGCTGAGAGGGTGGTGTGTTCACGAAGACCAGTTGTTCTTGGTTTATGACTACATGCCTAACCGCAGCCTGGACAGGGTGTTGTTCAGAAGGCCTGAAAACCCGAAAGCAGCGCCTCTTACATGGGAACGAAGAAGGAAGATAGTCGGTGGCTTGGCAGCAGGATTGCATTATCTCCATGAACAATTGGAGACTCAGATCATTCACCGGGATGTGAAGACGAGCAATGTCATGCTTGACTCGCATTTTAATGCTAGGCTTGGTGACTTTGGCCTGGCAAGGTGGTTAGAACATGAACTTGAGTACCAAATCAGGACACCTTCAATGAAAAACCACCAGTTTCACCTGACTGAATCAACCAGAATTGGTGGCACTATTGGTTATTTACCACCTGAGAGCTTCCAGAAACGAACCGTTGCTACTGCGAAATCTGATGTTTTCAGCTTTGGAATTGTTGTGCTGGAGGTGGTGTCTGGGAGGAGGGCAGTGGATCTGACATATCCTGATGATCAGATCGTTTTGCTTGACTGGATAAGAGGGCTATCTGATGGAGGGAAGCTTCTGCAAGCAGGGGACAATAGGCTTCCAGATGGGTCTTACGGGCTTTCTGACATGGAACGCCTGGTTCATCTGGGGCTTCTGTGCACTCTCCACAACCCACAGCTTCGACCCAACATGAAATGGGTTGTGGAAGCACTTTCCGGCAACATTCTGGCCAAATTGCCACCTCTTCCGTCATTTCAGTCGCATCCTCGATACATAGCTATATCCTCTGCAAGCAACACCAGCGTGAGCAAAACCAACACCACCACGACCACCACCGTTCCCAGTTCTGACATGACAATCTCGTTCACTTCATCGGCCTATGTCACAGCTACGGAGGAAACTATATATGAAACTGCAGAATTTGAGAGTCATAAACTGAGCTCTTCCAAGTCTAACAACAGAAGTCATCGGCAAAATGCTTTCTTTATGGTGGAAACTCCCAGGGAAATATCCTACAGAGAAATCGTTTCAGCCACAAACAATTTCTCTGACTCGCAGAGGGTAGCGGAGGTGGACTTTGGAACCGCCTACTATGGAATCCTTGAAGACGGCCATCAAGTCTTGGTGAAGAGGCTTGGCATGACCAAGTGCCCTGCAATACGCGTTCGATTTTCAACTGAACTCCTGAACTTAGGCAGGCTCCGCCACCGCAACCTAGTACAACTCCGGGGATGGTGTACAGAGCAAGGAGAGTTGCTTGTCATCTATGATTATTCAGCGAGTCGCCAAATGAGTCACCTTCTTTTCCATCATGACAATAGAATTGGGCATTCTATTCTGCAATGGCACCACAGATATAACATCATCAAGTCTCTTGCTTCTGCAGTTCTTTATCTTCATGAGGAGTGGGATGAACAAGTTATCCACAGGAATATAACTACCGCTTCTATCATTCTTGATCCAGACATGAATCCAAGACTTGGTAACTTTGCACTTGCAGAATTCTTGGCAAGAAACGATCATGCCCATAAAGCAGCTGCTAAAGAAAATAATTCAGTCCGAGGAATTTTTGGTTACATGTCTCCAGAGTACATAGAACATGGTGAAGTAACCCCAATGGCTGATGTATATAGCTATGGTGTGGTGGTTCTGGAGATTGTCAGTGGACAAATGGCAGTTGATTTCCGGAGGCCGGAGGCGCTGTTGGTTCACAGAGTTCATGAATTTGAGGCACAGAAGAGACCACTGGAAGATCTGGCTGATATAAGGTTAAACTTTGACTATGATCATGAAGAATTGATCAGAGTCGTGAAACTGGGAATTGCATGCACAAGGTCCAACCCAGATTTAAGGCCAAGCATGAGGCAGATTGTAAGGATACTCGATGGCAACGATCAATGGCTGATGGAGAGAGGCCAAAATAAGGAAAGTAGAGAAGAATGGAGACAAAAGAATGCTTGCTCTTTGACAATGATTAGAAGAATCCAAGCTCTGGGGATTCAATGAGAAACACAAGTGAAAACTAGATAGTGACTACAGGCTTCTGCGATAATTACTAGTTCTTTTGTTCTTTCCTTCTCGTAACTTCTGTATGCTATCAATGTATATGCTTTGTTTTCCGATAGGCTACCATGTTTTTGGATATAGTTTTCTGTAGAAGGTAGTGGAGCTTTGGTTTTACCAGCTAGTTTCTTGCCCTATCTACCACCATGCCCGCTTTCTGTGCTCAATTTTTGCAATACAATTTAAACAGATGAGGAAGACCAGAATCGTGAAAGGAAAAGAAAAATGGTCCCCAAGGGACTCTATGGTAAGGATTAAGGAAGCAAAAGAAATGAACTCTTAGATAATCATGACGGTTCGTAGAACATCTGAAACATTTACTGTCGAAAAATAGAACCGTAAAATGCATGCATTATTGAACATAATAAAGGAGCAACAGCTCTGATAATCCATAGGATGATTTATTATTTACACATAAATGCTTCAATCTGACCTCATATTCGACAGTTATCCAGCTCAAATTCTTTTGCTTGGTTTAACTTCCCATTATAGGAATTTCTTCATCAGCATCCATCCCAATCCAATTGATTAAAGAAAAGAGGAACTCCCTGAAACTAACGTTCCCTTTCCTGTCCCAGTCCATTTCTTCTGCATTTATTCAAAGGAATCACCAAGAGGATGGTTAAAGGATTATAACATAACTGGTAGTACAAGTCAAAGGTAGAAATATATCCTGTGAAAGAGATGGTACTAAATCTAGATCTGGTGATATGTGCTGGGGATCTCTCCCATGGAGAATCCTCATTCAGTGCTTTGACCATGTCTTTCTTGTTCAGCTTTCCATCACCATTCTTATCCAAAAATAAGAATGCTTCAACCATTGTGTCGAAAGTTGCCTCGAGCTCCGGCAAACCCATGTTTGACGCCTGAAACAAAACCTTATGTCAGAACAATGAACAGTTGACATCTTTATGTCAGCACAAATGAAAGAAAGTAAAGCTGAGTTTATCGCGGATACTCTTAGAGGAGAGGATGAATGTTCTACTAGGAGATAGATGAGACATAGAAGAACAATGAACTCATTGAATTGTATCCCCTCACTTTGATCAATGTCACAGGAGTGGAATAGATCCTCAACTTCCTCCTCTTTTAGATTGAGCTGCAGCTTCTGTAAGCATTTTTTGAGTTCGTCGATGTCGATCGAACCATTTGCATCTTCATCTATGAGAAAGATATATAGAGTCAATATGCAAGAAAAGTCCACCATTGCATCTCAGGTACAAGAGCAACCTTTTTTAAACTCACCATACTGTTCAAATACCCCTCTCATGCGTTTCAGTTCTTCTTTCAACTGAGGAAACCTCAGGATTATACTATTCATTGATTTAAAATTCGTCTTCCCTGACGAACTTCTCTTGAGTTCAATCATCTTCTTTTCAAGCTTTGCATCCAACCTCTTATATTTGTTTGGTGATCCACAATGGCAAAACAACCACCCTCCTATTTTGGATGACAAGGACTTCAAAGAAGGGCAAGGGTGAGATGTGCCTTAAAAATAAGACAACAGGAGGAATCAAAATGCAGCCTCAACGAAGGAGATAAGTCGTAAGATATGTATAATTTGCATCTTTCACAAAGGTCTTTTTAATGCATTTTAAACATAATTTAATCTCTTCCTTCCCCTCTCCAGTTTTTTTGCTTCATTCAAAGGTGACAAAGGTACTCTGATGATGATGGATTGCTATATTTATCCAAAGAATCCTACCCCTAGCTGAATGCTGAGAAATTGTTCAAGAAAAATTGCAACTTGGAAAAATCAAGGGAAATGAAATGGATGAAAATGCTACAAAGAGAATCCCTTCCTTGATTGATTCATTCCCATTCTCTTGAATACCTAAATGTAGCTTATAAGGACATCATAGTTCTAATATATGGAATTCTATTGCCTGCTTTCTCGGTCTAGCAAAGCTTGCTCTAGCATATCATCAAGGGATCATAAATTAAATGGCAAAAGATTGAAGCTTTCACAGTTATTCTACACCTAGAACTTTCTACCATTGATCACAATCTTTTTTTTTTTTTTTTTAATAGTTGGATTTCTATCTATATATATATACACTGAAAGTAAAATTAATCTCTATGGATTAACTCACTTAATGAACATAAGTTAAATGGCAAAAGATTGAAGCTTTCCCAGTTATTCTACACCCAGAACTTTCTGCCATTGATCACAATCTTTTGGCTTTTTTTTTTATATTTGGATTTCTATAGAACCTTTTAGTCCAACAAAAATATTAGCAAAAAACAAGAAACAGAAGCACGAAAGGAAAGTAAGAGATGAGATTTACCCAGTGAATCTTTCATGGCTGCAAGTGAGAGAGAGGAGGCAGCTGGTTGCCCCAAGGGAGTAAAGGAGGACTCACGAGGTGCAATCTGAGAAAAGAGAAAAGGAGCATTTGATTACCTAGAAAGCAAAAGAGGGCACAAACAGAAAAAGTAAAGGACAAGCAAATGAGGTTCTATAAAGTGGAGATGCCATCATTGGCGTGACAGCAAATGCAGAACCAGAAAATACTAAACTTTTCTTCTCTCTTTCTCTTGAATATTCAAATACTATAAAGGTAAGAAAGAATAAAGCTTTTGCTTGGACTTGAGTCTTCTGTCTAGTCATCATGCCAATCTTCAAGTGTTGAAGCTATTCTGTCTGGTTCTCAATGGAAGTAAGCCACTGAGTTACAAGGGCAGGAATCCAGAGTGATGTTTCCTCCTTTTCAAAAACGAAAAAACAGACATATAATTGAAAATAAAAAATATATTGTGTTAAAAAAAAAAAAAAATTGTCATCTTTGAATTTTCAAGTACATTAAAAAGATTATTAATTATTATATTATATTAATTTATTTATTTTTTTAAAAAATATTTTTTAAAATAAAAATTGTATTTAAATAATTTTTTTTAAAATACAATATTTAAAGTTTTAACTAAGATTTGCATTTTGAGAAAAGTTGACAATTTTTTGGGAAGAAAAGAGTATATTTTTGTGGATGATTAAATTATAAATTAGTCTTTTTAGTTTTACAAAATGAATTAATTAATCTTTTTATTTAAAAAATAAATTATTTAATCTTTTAACAAATGTTGATCATGTTTAATTTAGTATTATTTTATTTCAAAGAACATCTTTTTTCTCGTTAATCTTTTCATTATATTTATTACATAAATTTTTTAAAAAATAAAATAAATTAGAAAAGAACATAAAATGAACAAAAATAAATAAATAATTAGTTTTTAAAATAGAAAAAAAAGGAAAAAGGCTAATTCATTCGTTTTTAAAACTAGAGGTAATAATTTATAATTTACTTGATAGATTTAATCCTTTCTTGTCCTTGTGAAATTTTTTTTTTTCAATTTAGTTCACAAGTACAAGAAATGATTAAATCCATTGAATAAAGTATAAATTAGTCCCTCAAATTTTGAGAAACAAATTAATTAGTTCTCTTTGTTTTAAAAACTAATTATTTAATTAATTTTATTCTTTTTATGTTTTTTTTTTTAATAATTAATTCATTTCTCAAAAACTAGAGGGACTAATTTTAATTTACTCTAAATCTATCCCATGAAAATACTACAAAAAAAAAAAAAAAGAAATTGTTCTGTTCTCTACCACCAATTATCTCTTGATCTTTTCAGCATTCATCAACAATTGCAAGATTTTCAAGTATTGCCTATTGAGCCAGAACAAATACATCTTCAAGAATTTGGACAGTGAATTCCACCTCAATTCAACTCTATATATGCATTGCCAACTTTTCAATGCCATTTTAAAAGCAAGCTGAATAGATGAACAACATGACACCCTTACGCAGAAAGGGAGTTCCAAGTTATAAGAAAACAATATCCTCTAACTCAAAAGATCTGAGAATATACAGGCCACTGATGATACAGTTGATCAAGATGTGACATTTAGATCAGCTAGACAACTGAAAAAGGAAACAAAGAAGTTTCTGTTTCTAGGATGGAAATGCCCAGCTATATTCATCCAATATTACTCATAGTCCATTCTACTTCTTGCCGAATGTTGCCTTCGAAGGGCAATGAATCTCCATTACCAAACACAGGCCTTGATCTTTTCTTTGTGGAAGCAACCTGTGAGCCCACACCCATTGGAGAAACTGGGCTCCCAGTTGAAGTCAAGCAGCTTTCGACAGAGCAATCACCAATGCGAGTGAGCACATTGGAAGCATTTTTGTTCTCTAAAGCTGCAGCAAGTTCTGATAAAGAAGTCATTTTCATTGTATCAAGTGGGGCAATTCCTGCGCATTCATTGGAAACCTTGATTGCTAATTCAGAAAGCTCTTCTCTAGCAGCTTCAAGTCCTGCAGTCGCAACAGCTTGATCATTCAGAGCTTTACAAGCTTTCTCAAGTATCGACTGTAAGTATTTCCCCTGTGCTTCAATCCGAATTTGGAGACGACGTTGCACCTGCTTATGGTAAAGCCTTTAGAAAGAGATTAAAATTTAAAGATCATAGCCAAAATCCAAAGGTAGAAAAAGGAGTCTGACTCTTGAGGTAAAAGTTACAATTATTTAGCTTGTAATAAGCCATCAGTAAAAGCTTTTTGTCCAGCAACCCTTTGAATGGAAAAAATATTGCACGAGTCTGGCTCACATGAGCCCACACGCACGAAGTGACAGGTCCCACAATTTATGTTAGTGGGCACATGGTGAGCCGGGCTCACCTAACATTTTCTACCTCAAATGCTAGGGTAGATAACATTTCCATGCTTTAATTGGAGATGATTAAATAGTGATAAGCTTCGACTATTGATGCTTTAATTGTCTCGTGTATAACTTAGTAGTAGTGGGTAGATCATAGCAACTTAGATGTTCTAACTTCTATTTATCCCAGAAGTCCAAGAGCCATATCTTCCTAGCTACATTAGACACATAAACAAATGCTGACCTCCAGCTGCTCATGCAATCTTCGTTGGACTTCCATCTGCACTCTCAAAGCCTCAGTAACCTGGGAACCGCTGTTTGAAAGATAAAAGGAAGTAAATATGGGAATACAAGAGGGGTGGAACAAGTTTACAGAAGAAGGGTAGAGACAGCATACTCATTAAGATCTTGTGCAATCATTCTTGATGATGCCGATGTTGATGAACCAGTATCCTGACTTTCAGCAACTGATGCTGCAATCCCAACTGCACATCATTGCTTCAATCAGTAAGTTTTCAAGCACAAAAATTGTTCACCAGAAGCAGCTCCACTATGGAACCCAAGGTATGCACCCGACCAACCCTCCCTCCATTTTTGGTTTTGCATAACAAATTTGGTAAAAAATAGCTTTAGTTATTTACAATTGATATGAGAAAGAAAATTGATATCACACATCTGCCAATATGGTGATACACAGAATAACACAAAACATGCAAGTGGCAAGAAAACCAATAGATGAGTTCACATGCAGAGGAAAAGGAAATTATTTGAAGAATAATCTTAATCCCCTGGTAAGCACTTAAATTGAAAAGAGAAGAAAATAACTTGTAAGAAAGTTCTAAAGTTATGAGGTCAATACCATCCTTGGAATTATCAGTTGATTCCTTGCAGGACTGCTTTCCCAACCGGTATTTCTGCAAGTAGAGATGTCAGCTAGAGGAATGAGTATGAAATCATAGAAAGCTAATGTCTTGAAGATCAAAAGTATTAAAGAGAGACAATGGTATCAGCAAACCTGTAGGTGAGATTTCAAGTGATAAAGGGTGAGGCCTTTTACCCCCATTGTTCTCATAATTGTCTTAGGTGTTGCTTCTGCAATCCATATTAAGAAAACAAAAACAAAAAACTTCGATAAGAAAATCAGCATGGTTGTGTGCCTATGAAATCAAGAATAGTAAGTAGTTCGTAATGTCATGTAACACATAGAGGTTGCCTCATAAATGTTTCGTCAAAAGTGAGATCACAATACAACCATGAACCACTAAAGATGAATTTGAAACAAAAGGTTGAAAGTTTCAGCACTGGTCTCATATTAACTTTCTGAAAATTGTTTATTCACAGCTATTGGAGTTTTTTAGCTTCCTTGGATCTGGTACTTCTCGTGCATTCTAGAGGTAGCAGCTGCACAAATGGCAGGATAGTGAAAAAAAGTAAAATTATCATAGCAGGTTGGTTAAGGTTGCTTTGTTTTGCTGGCAGTCTGGTGATGGAAATGATGGCTGCAGCTGCCGCAAGTGAACACTCTAACATATAAGATCAAGTGTGCCCCCTAACAACCACCCCACTCCACCACCAAAAATAAAATAAAATCCATATAGCTCTACCACTGACAATTGCCATATCAGTTTCCTTAGTTCAGTAATGAAGACAGGCAGCTGGTTAATTAAGAGTTAAAATGGAAAACAGGCAGGACCAATTACTAACAACATTCCATTTCTCATCAGCTTTTTTTTTTTTCTTTCTTTTTAGAAAAAAAATTTTACTTCTTAAATCAAACAACTACAGTGAAAAACCTAATAAAATTGCCACATCACCCTCTCTAAGCGCAAGAAGTTTGTTATCTTAGCAGATCCGCTCACAAACTATTCTGGTTTCATAAATTATTCTGAAATGCACTATCCAAGTTTTCCATAGACAAAGTGGAGTCATGGCTAAAGTTTTCAACCTAGAAGTAGATCTATTACATTCCATAGTTCTGCTACTGGTAATGAAGCCCTACTAGAAGTATAAAAATCCAAACCTACATGAAAAGTAAACTAAACATTTGAATTTAGAAAGAAATAAAATAATTATATCGCATAGTGATTTAAAACTTTTAGAAAAAGAAACAGAAACATAGAGAGCTTGTATCATTCTGCTTTGGCTAGTATATAAACAGTAAAAGCTTGGTATTTCTGAGAAAAAATCTCCATTCAAAAGCAGAACCACAAATTTTTACAAATTTAATATCCCCAAGTAATAGAATATTCTTTCCTAGTCAAGGACAAAGTGCTATGGTTCATCTAATTTGTCCTTTCGGTTGTATTTTCTACTTGGTGAGCTTCTATAGAAACATTTATTGCACAATAACCAGAGAATTAACACAAACATTGAAAGAATAAAAGCACATACGATCAAGGCAGCTTAGACAGCTAGCCAATCAAAAACAACTAATCTACGAAAGAGAAGTCTTCTCACGCTATCATTATGAAAATCATTCTAAAGAAATCATACTTAAAAATTAAATGGCAGGCCATCTCAAATTTCTTAAGCAACATACTCATTGAAAAAAACTCCACCTAACTAAGACACCAATAATAATTGCAAATTGCCAATCCGGTCAAAATAAACACATAAAACTATTTGGTAACAACAAAAAACCAGAATAAACCATCCACTAAATAATAGGAAAAAAAGGGACCTCTTTTAATCACTCAAATCAATCATCAACAATAGTGGCTAATCACATCCAGAAACACCACATCAATTACTATATTCACCTCAGAAAACATAATCACAAGAAATGTAAAGAAAGAAACATATTTTTTAACCACAAAACCCAGTTAACTACATTTCAAGCAGCAACATTAACCAGACTGAAAATCAAAACCCACATTTCGTTCAACGAAACAGAAAAGAAAAGAACTTTTCCACTAACTAAATAAACCCAAAAACACATTTCAAGTACAGCCCATAGTTAAAACAAATATTCTTCATAGAAAGCACCAAAAAATAATACACTATCTTCACATTTTCTAGCAAATAAAAATTGAACCTTTAAGGCAATAAAACCGCATTCAAGAAAAAGGCAAAGACACACACACACACACACAAAAGCTAAAACAACTCATTAATTAAAGCAAAGAAACAACAAACACAAAGATAACAAAAATAAAGTAGCACTAGATAGTTCTTACTCTCAGGTCCACCAAGTTGGGCAACAGCATCAACAAATCTCTCATGTAACTCAGCAGTCCAGCGAAGCCTTGGCTTTGGATCCGTAGTGAGAACCAAGCACGCATCCCCAGGTAGATTAGTCCCATCTAATGCAGCTTGAAACTCCCCATGTCCATCCAAAGGCAGTGAGTGTATTGCAGAGTACATTCTTGAGAATACCCTTTAAATATTTTCCCAAGAAAGTGACAGAAAATGCTGAAATGTTGCCCAAGATCCGATTTTTGGGTTCCTGGGTCGGGGCTTTGGAGCCCCTAGTTTGAGGTCAGAGAAAGGACTCTGGAAAACTTGTATGTTGATCTTTGAGAGAGAGAGATTGCAAGTTGGTGGAGTGAGAGAGAGAGAGAGAAAAGGTGGGTGTTTTTAAGACAGCGAAGTGTACGTTGTGTTTTTCGTAGTCTTTGTCCAGTTTTCCTTGGTCTTAAAAATATTTTGAGACCATGGACTAAAGTTTTCTAGAACGGTTGTCAGAGTTGATTTGATGACCAAGAAGGTTGCTTCTCTTTTATAAATTTTACATTCAAACTCTAAGAACACCATTAAGAAAAATAGATGAATTATAATGCACTAAATTGCCACAAGAAATATATTTTTGAGATCCTTCACATAACAAATTTAATATAAATTATATGCACCAAAAAATTTCAATAAAGATTTTTTGAAAAAAAATCGACACTAAAATGTATCATCAAATTAGATAAAAAATTATCCAAGATGATTAATTTAAATAGAAAAAATTTTAATCGTTTAAGTAAGCAGTCTCGAACTTGAATCTTTATATTTAAAAGATTTTCTAAATAACTATCTCTCTTTTATGTGTTCGATCGAACGGTAAGAAATTAGTCTATATGTTTTAAGATTCAAATATTTTTAAGGATAAAAAAAAAAAAAAATTAGGTAGCAGATTGAGGGGTGAGTGGATAAGGAAGGGACAAAGCCGGTCCAAAGGCAAAGCAGACCAGCAAAACAATGTCTGCCAATTTTGGACCCCACCCACATAAGAAGCAAGCAATGGTTGTCTTTCGATTATTTAAGTAATTATTATTTTATTTTCATGATAAAAACTCCTAGCTCGACAAGCTGACAATGAAGTTTCAGACAAAAGATGTCTTATAATTTTCTAGTTATGGTCATGGCACTGGTGTTGCTTCTTCTTGTCGACGAGAACCCATTTCTTTGCTTCTTCTTTTTTCCTACTTAAGATGATGCACTTAGCCTGCTGCAGGGGTGGGTTACAAAGACATTACAATAGCACAACTTTACCAAGAATAGGGATGGCAATTTGCTCCCATTCCGACGGAGCTCCACCCCAATCAATGTGAGAATTACTCGAGTTGATTGGAGAACAGGACAAAATGTCCTGTTCCATATTAATTTTGAACGGGGATAAAGCTGAAATGGTATTTGTCAGCTCCGTTTCGTTTGCTTCGCTCCATTTCTAAAATTATAATTATACTTTATATAAGATCTATGATTATTGACTTTTACGGTTTATTTTTTATATGAATTATTATTTTTTATATAGTTTGAAATTTAATAGTAGAATGAAATCGGACGAAACGAAAAAAATGATAAACGAAATATCGGTATCCCGTAAAGATTCTTATCCCTATTTAAGACAAAAATGGTATGTGAAATATTGCTCTGTGTTAGACATGGGGTAGTAATGGAGCAAAACCATTCGTAACCAAGAACCCTAGCATTGATGGCCGAAGATTCTTGTAAAGTTGAGAAACCTAGGTTTTCATGTGACTGACAATGTTGCAGTCGTGAGTTCGATCGGTGACACCTTTAGCTGAACAAAAAAAAGAAAAGAGATTCTTTGCCTGAATTGTTTCATATCCTAAGCTGATATTGTATCATGGTAATGATGCATGTGAGATGCAGCTGTTTTTTTCTTTTTGTTTTTTTGTTGTTTTTGGTCCAAATAATTTGGTTAATTTCGAGTTTAATTAATTGAGAATGGATTGGGATAGACATTTCAAGGTTTAGTTTGGTGGGTTTGCTCTCCATGTTGTTATTTTTTATTTGAATCCTAAAAAGAGTTGCATAATTTTTACTTTTTTTTTAAATATACCAATTTAAATAGATAAATTTCTCAATATCTTATATAAAACTTTGAATCTCTAAGTATATTCATAGGTTTCTTATTCCATTGTCACTATACTTGAAAGATTTTGTAATGTTCAATTTATTATTTTAATCATAGAAATTTTTTTTTATCAAAATACAATTTACTTAGATTCATAAAAAAAAAAACTTAAAATTACATCACATGCATATTCTATTTTTGAAATGAGATGTATGTTTTATTTTTGAAATCTTTAGTTTTTTTTTAATATATATATGTTTCATGCAAAGTATTTCGAGTTAAAAAAAAATTTATGATCAAAAAAATTTATCGAAATGACAGATTAAATATTTCAAAAAATTTCAAAGACAATTAAAAAATTTAAAAACATATAAAAAAACTCAAATTATTATCTAAGAATAAATTGAACTATTTATCTAATTTAAATTAGATGATTTACTCAATATCATACACTTTTTCCGTTCATGTCTAAAAATGATTAATGAAAACTTATGCAAAGAAAGTAAATGGTGAACGAAGTTAACCAAATCTGATCCACTCCATCTTAATTCATCCAAGATTTTTGCTTTCATGCATCTTGAAAATGAATTTACTTGTTCTCCAAACAAGTCAATAATAAACAAATTGATAATTGATGCCTATATCTTATTCAAATCCTTTAGAAAATGACCATATACGACATAGTTTTGTATTAATTAAGCACAGTAATCATTAAACAGCTTAGCTTTGATGATTAGGTATCGACCTTTGGGTCCCTCCACCTACTACTACTAAAATCGATAAATATTTTTGTAGACATCACTATCTGGAATGGGACATTTGTGAAGGAGGGTAGTTTCTTGTTCTCTGTCAAAGCAATAAAGATTTAGATGGTCGTGACTTGTGCTGTGAGTAGGGCTTTTCATTGGAAGCTGCAACTCTTTGAAGTTGTGGTCGAAATTAAACTCAAGTCAGCCTATCAAAGGCATGCAATGGAAGGAAGGACCACTTTATAAAACAATTCTTTACGAGGTTTACGGTTCAAAATATCTTTTTATTGTTTTAAATGTCTTAATCGTATCTCTATATTAAATTTTTTAACTATTATATCTTTTTATTCTTAATTGTATCTGCATTTGATCTTTTCAATCACTTTTTCAGATAATAGAAATAAAAATAACAAAACAAAAAATATCAGAAGTTAGCTTTGTTATTTGAAAAAAGTGATTGAATTGACCAAATACAGACATAATTAAAAATCAAAAAATATAATAATTAAAAATTTAATATAGAAATATGATTAAGACATTTAAAACAGTAGGAGTACGTAATAAAACTTTAACCCATTCTTTATGCATCTCTAGGGCACATGATGGAGACTTCCATTGGTCAACTAATTCAACATGGAAGACATCCTATATTTTTTGGCTTATCTGTCTATCAGTCATAGGAATTTAATGAGACCATTGTTACCCCTTTCTTTCTTTATTGCTCTTGTTTCTTCCTTTTTTTTTTTTTTTTTTTTTTTTTAAGTAAATGTGTTTAAAATCGAAGGAAAAAAAAATTGCTAGATGAGTCTTCACTTTTGAGTTTCTTATGCGTTTGTAAAGTTGCAAACCCTTCTTTTTTAAAAAAAAAAAAAAAAAAATCAAATCTTTCAATCAATATATATGTTAATCTTTTCCATCCAACCTTATAGAATGCAAAGATCACGTAACCAAAGTATGTCACATAAATGCCCATGATTAAAATTATGTTCTGCCTTTTCTTAAAAAAAAATATTATGTAAAAGCCGTTTGATAACCACAAACACCAAACACTTATCATCAATGTATGAAAAATCACTCAATAACACTACTTATTTTCCACCTTTTTTAAATTAAATTTTTAATTTTTTTTTAATTCATACACTAAAGACTTCGAACAGAACTATTTTATTACGATTTAAACCTCGTGATCTCTTGTTATAAGAGATTATTATCTCTTGGCTATAATTTCTTTTATCAATTGAATTTTAAATAGATCATCTACATTTGAATTAACATGTAAGCTTAAAAGAAATTTATTTCTCATATATTATAGTCTGAATTCTCCCAAATATTGGTTAGTAGTAAATCATCATGTAAGGTGTATTTTCTTCCAACATTTCTAAGGACATGTTTGAACAACTTCCCATCTCAATGCCGATCACTTCTGTCTTGCTCTCAATGTTTTTTTTTTAATCTATTATTACGTGGCATGTAGGTAAAGGGTATAATCAAAGAATTATCAATGACAAATGATCTGTCAATCAATAAGGATACATTGCATTCTATATATACATATATGTTCACAAAACACTCGAGTGTCCAGGTGTATGATCACATGGCATACTTGCTTATCGAACTACCCTTTAGCTAATTATATTCTACGTGACCGTCAAAATAATTAAGAAACATATAGTTTGGTCAATGATGCATGCAAGTACTTCAAGCATGCATAATATTTAGCCAACCTTTCTAGGTCAGAACCGTGTTTTAATTGTATATGTTAACCTTTGTTTGGTTATAATTGACCGATTTATTATTAGATTAGCATGGACGATATATACAAATTATTTATATTTAAGATTTAAATTGGTTCGAAAATATTTTTATTATCAAATTAAAAAAAAAAAAAACTTATAGGGTATCGACGATTGAAAAAATGCACCTTGCAAGAGAATATTTGGTAGTTTGCAAATGAAGCATATGAATCTTCCATATCACACATCTTAGAGATACTTTCTTGAGACTTGCAACGCCTTGTTATCGATAAGCTAGCCTGCAACACTGACAGCGAAAATGGCACCTGTTGCTATAGTAACTTTAACACTATTGGATGTCGTAACTCATTTTTTACCCCCCAATAATTTTTATTTTTATACAAATTCTAAAAAGAAAAACCTTCAAAAATTACATGTTTCACACTTTCTTGAATTTTCATGATTTTTGGGTATTTTTATAAATTTTTAGTATTTCTATTTCTTAGGATTATTCTCTAATTTTAATAAACAAAAAAAAGGAGAAAGAAAAGAAAGAAAGAAGAAAAGAGAATTAAAAAAATAAATGAAAAAATAATTTAGCGATCCAATTAAAAAGGATTTGAGAAATTAGGACCAAAAGAAATCCAATTAGAGATGTATAATTAATTGAAAGGATGTAAAACCTGAGAGCCTTGATTGAAGATATAAAAAGGCACAATTGGAAGAAATTAAAAAGAGAATGGGCTGAATAATCTCAATTAAGGAGATAATTGAAAGAAAACCAAAAAGATTTATACTAAAATTGAAAAAATGAAAAAAATTAGGGACTAAAATTAATCTTTAACCATAATCCTAATTAGTCCTCTTATAAATATCCCTCTTCTTCCTAATTTTAAGGCAGCCACTATTCATCCATTTCTCCCAATCGAAGAGAGAGCTAAAAGCTGAAGCTCTTCATCTTCCTAAAAAAAAAAAAAAAGTCCTAGCGATCGTTTTTTCAACCACGATCATTATTTAAAATTATGGTATATAGTGACCATAAGATACAACCTATAGGTCACAATTAGGTTTTTCTCTTTGAACATTTAAGCTTCCATGCCTTTCACACCATGTGTGATTATAAATGTATTTTCTAAATAGAATATGAAGCAAGCATGGAACCGAAAGAGGGAAAAAAAATAAATTAAAACACAAGTAGTAAGCTTTAGCAGATCCTAGAAATGGTTTATGTTCACCCAATGCTCGTGATCAACAAGGAGGCAAAGGTCATCAAGCCATTGGACATGTCTTAGAGGTTCAAATTCTTGAGACACAAAGCTGGACAAAGCCTATGGCAGGCCCATATGGTTATGCCTTGAGAAAATTAGGGCTCTAACCAGAACACAGGCCTATATAATTTTTCAGGTCATGATGATGCCTCTAGAAAGCAAGCCTAGCCAGAAAATTTTTAGGTCAGAATCATTTTTTTAATGCTCTGTTTTTGTTTGGTTTATGTTATCGAGCTTCATTAATAGAATAATATATATATATATATATATATATATATAACTAACAGAAAACAAAGATTAGTGATAGGCGAATGGGGTAAACTTATTATTCCTTGGAGATTTGATGCAAACTTGAGAGCCAGAGACTTCTTTGGCAATTCAAAAGTACCTAAAATTGAACAAAAAAAGCTAAAAAATAAAATATTAACAGTTAAATCATATTACCATAAATCAAACTCACTATTATTAAATTAGAAACCTATAAGTAATATTAACAGTTAAACACATGAAAAAAAATGTTTTTTAATATAAAATATATTTAATTGAATTTGGGGTGATTTATGAAAAATTATTCCTGTTTTAAGTTATTTTATATGAATAATTTATTTTTAAAAAATTTAAAAATAAAAATATTTGGTTAGAAATAACCTAATTTTTTTCATAAAAAAATGCAAAATAGCATATGTTAAAATTAATAAATTAAAATTTTAATTGAGAAATAACTATTAAAATTGAAATTAAATCCGATAGTTCGGATACAAAGATCTACTAGTATCCGAACTTAATAAGATCTTTGTATCCGAGCCATCAGATTTAATTTCAATTTTAATAGTTATTTCTCAATTAAATTTTTAATTTATTAATTTTAACATATGCTATTTTGCATTTTTTTAATAAAAAAAATTAGGTTATTTTCAACCAAATATTTTTAATTGGGAAGACTTTTATTGCAGAAGTCCTAGGAAATGGGCTAAACTTACTTTGCAGGCCCATAAAAGTCTTCCCTCAAAAGGGGTTTAAGGACTCTCCTCTCCAAAACCCTCACCTGAGACATCAACACAGTAACCTACCACCTGGTATCATCAACCTCGTACTTCACCATGTTCACTCGCTCTCAAACATCTAAAAAGCTCTGCTTTTCCTTTCATAGACACAAATCCCACTTCTCCACTTACATTGTTGGTGAAAAACCAGTTCTTGTGAGTCCTTTTTCTTTTTTTTTTGCTTTCGCTTTGTCATTTTTACTGTTTTTGTTCTTTGATGGGTTTATTCTAGCAAGTGTGGTTTTTGTTTCATTTTGGACAGGTGAGGGATTTTATACATTCTGCATTATATGATCCAAAACATGGCTACTTCTCTCAAAGATCAAGGTCTGTCGGAGTTCTCGAGAGAAGCATTAAGTTCAATCAACTTGAAGGTATTGCTGAAAAGTTATAATTGACATCTTTTGATTTCTAATATGGGATTAATGATAAAGTTAATTTTTTTTCCCTGATGATAACAATTTTTGAATGAGGTTTGTGTTTTTTTATTTATTTTTTAAGTGGGGTTGGCTCCTTATGAGAGGCAATGCATAAGTTATGCTGAAACAATGGACTAATGATGACTTTGGGTTATGTTTCATAGACAATGCTTGTTATGGAATGCAGGTTGTTGTGTCATTTAGAAATTCTTGGGAGTATTAGCTTGTTGAAAGTAGATTAACAGCAGCACGATAAAGGTTCAATGAAAAAAATAAATAGATTATTGGCAGGAAAACTTGGTTCATACAGAAGATAATCAGGGTAATTTTTCTTTAAATTGGATTTTTTATGTGCGCTAAAGGTCAATTTTCATAAATGGATTGGTGAAAGAAGTGCTACCTAATGAAATAAAAATTGAAAAATTAAAAGCATGACGAATATAACTTATTTTTCAAATTCAATTTTGGAGTTATTATGGTATGCTGGGCATGTGTTTTTTTATGACACCAGTCATGCGTCTACATGACATTGACACGAGCCAAGTTGTTTGTTTGAGATAAGGACTAGCATTTGGTTTTCAGATTTCAACATCTATGATTCAGAGGCTCAATTTGTTTTAAGTGCTTTACATTTTACATGCAGAAATTTATACTCTCTTATGCCACAAGTTCTTTTGAAGTAGTTTTGCTTTTTGAGTATGTTTGTTTTCATGTTATAGGCAGAAAAGCTTATATGAAGCACTTGGATGAAATTTACAAACGGAGTGACACGTCATGGTTCACCCCAGTAGAGCTTTTTAAGGTAATCTCCCTTCCTCTCCTGCCCTCTCTCCCCAAAATGAGAAATTTCAAATTGGTTCAATTAACAAAATCAAGGCTCAAGTTTCTGTTTTCTCATTTCATTTTCATTGTTGACAAGAAGCAGCTGTCACTGTCTGGAATTATTGTTACTAGCAAGAGTTTATTAAGGATGCAAAAACTCTCTTCGTTCATAATTTTTTTGTTCTTTTTTCTCTAACAACCACCCTCTAATTCTTGTTCTTCAATATATGTTTTCACTAGCCTTTTAAGTTGTGAAGAATATCATACTAGTTATAGTAAATCTTATGTGAAAAAATGGAAAGAAAAGAAAATCTAATCCACTTTTTTGGCTTTCTGGTGTTCCGAACCATTCCTTTCTTTTAGCCTTGGTATGCCCATGGGATTGCTGAAGCCATAATGCGTACCGCAAACCTTTCTGTTCCACTACAAGTAAGCTCCATATTCCTCTCAAATTGCCTACACATCATGTATTTTGTTATTCTGGGTTTTAAGAATTGTATTCTGTAACTTGATTTGATTTTGATATGCATTTCAGATTTATATTATTTTCCAGTCTTGAAGAGAAAACTTAAAGGCATAGGTTGCTTGGTCTAACTGATTTTCTATCAGGAATTGATCACTGCATCTTTAGCATTCAGTAGGTTTTTCTTTTTACCCTAAAAAGTTGAGGCTTTAAGAGAAAGATCCCAGGATGCAATTATACAACATGTCAGTAGTTCTGGATGAACACTTAACCATTCCCTTCTCTTGCCTTCCCTCCATCCAAACATAGTATTAGATTCTAGTAATTTACTTGAACTTGCTCTATTCTTTAGCTTCTGGTTACACCAAACTGAATTGTTTGACATTGCCTCTGTTGGGATATTTTTCTGTTTGTATGAATTGTAGCTTTCATGTGAAATTATGAATTTGATTTGGCAATTCTAACAGAAATTCAATGTTTTAGCTCATTTCTGATTTACATTGATTCTTTGAGTTCTGCATGGCAAATGAATTATCTGAAACTTGATTTTTCTGTTCTATAATGTGCACTCAGATATATGAAATTGGTGGTGGATCAGGAACTTGTGCAAAGGGCATACTGGACTACATAATGTTGAATGCACCTGCAAGAATATACAATGCTATGACTTATACGTATGTGGGTTAACCATCCACGTTTCTATAATGAAATAAGTAAAATCTTCATATTTTAGCTTAGTTTATGCATGCCTGTGATATCTATCTTATTTACCAGCTTTCTGGAGGTTGTGTATATCTTTTTCCTAAGCTACATTTCATTTGGTGCAGCTCAGTGGAAATCAGTCCCTCTCTGGCTGAAATGCAAAAAGAAACTGTCGGAGGAGTTCATAGTCATTTGTCAAAGTTTAGAGTGGAATGTCGTGATGCTGCTGACAGGAGCGGATGGGGTATGATTCCTTGAATTTTTGGACTTATTCATTATTCCCACAGTGGGATTGAATATGTGGACTGGAGACCCATCCATGGGTCATCCATATATATACTTTAAACCCACTGGATGGGTCCGGCCCCTTTCCAGTATCCATTTTTCCTTGTTAATCTCCAGTGCGGCTTGGACATGCAATATACTGTCCATATTTTTTAAGATGTTGAGCTGAACAAATGTGATTCACTCGAAATTGAATCATTTCATCAAGAAAATAGACTCAACATGATAACTTTGAGGACCCATTTAAAAACACGTTCTTTTTTTTCTCCATTCTCAAAAAATAAAATTATTTTCTGCCTTTCTGCTCGGCTATTCATTCCTGAGTCAAAATCAAACATCCTGCCGTCAACTCTGATCTCTGAGTTCTTCCAACTATAAATCATTTTGTTATTTGTTTTCCTGCACAATGCCATGTCTCTGGCCTAGACATTGATATCAGTTTGCCTTTCTAACAGGGGATGCCAAGCAACAACCATGTTGGGTGATCATGCTGGAGGTATTTTTACCTTCAGTTGTTATTGGGTGACAAATTATTGCTATTAAGCCACTGGCATAATTTGTTCTTTAAAACCAAGTATTTAGAGACCCCTGACATTCTGCTAGTGCTTCCTAGTTCTTAGCTACTTATTCTATTGTTTAAAATCACATGTTTTGATCAAATTGATGTATGTTAGAGCATGAGGTTGTGACAAAAAATTGAAGGAATGTCAAGATGAGCATATTGATGCCTCTGTCCTTTGACATGTCATTTGTTTTGCTTCTTTTTCTCCCATTTCTGCACATCTAAAATGTGGTCACAAACTCAAGTTATTTAAATCCTAGAGCAGGTAGCTGTGCATACTGATTGCTAAAAACATAAAATCTTTAGTGAAGTTTGTGAGATGTATATTAATTTTGTTATTATGCTCTAAATCTGTTACTTTGGTCTTCCTTGCAATTTTTTCTGGACCAAAATGATATATGTATATCTTGCCAGTATCTTGATGCTGATTACAAATTATGCTAATGAACATTAAAAGTTGTTTGGTCCACAAGTATCTTTAGTGTTTGATAAATACTCTTATCCATGTCATTTCTTATTGATCATCTTTTGTACAAGAGAACAAATCCATACATTATTTCTTGCAGGTTCTTGATAATCTTCCGCATGATCTTGTCTATTCAGAAAATCAAGTTTTCCCATGGAAAGAAGTATGGGTCGAGAAGCAACCTGATAAGTAAGCAGCAGTGTGCGTTTTTATCCCTAAATTGCTTCCTTCAAACTGCAATTACTATTTTTTGTATCATGCAAATCTCTATACTATTTAACTTTGGTTCATGTCAGTTGATCTACTTGGGATGGTATAAATAAATGGACAGTCAAAAAGGAGTAGAAAAGATTAATTAGCTCCATAGTTGGTTCGTGTACCTTGTCTTTGGCAAATTGCAGGGGATTGATAAGAATCTTGCCTTAAAATCCAACTGGCACGAGGTTGGTTATTTCTAAGAAATATAATTGTGGAAGGCTTAGAATATCAAAGCTTCATCAAGCCACCACCCTAGTGTTCTAGTTCATCTATAAAATCTGGCGAAGATTTTCTGTTATATTTGTCAGCTGTGGGGCAAACTGCATCTGATCGTTGCCTGCTCATTTTTTCTGCATAAGCAGGGAATCACTTTCCGAGCTGTACATGCCACTAGAAGACCCATTAATTAAGTGTTGTAATGAGATTGTGGAATTGGACAAAAATCAGTCTGTGTCAATAGCAAGAAGCATTTGGTCTAAGGTCTTTCCAAAACCCCGAAGATGTTGGCTCCCAACTGGCTGCTTGGTAAGGAATCAATCACTCTACCTCCTGTGTCTCCAATTTAGGGGGGAAAAATGCTTTCTGCTATACAAAATTTACTTCTGGACACTGATATTTGTTCGAACATGCAGAAACTGCTAGAGGTGCTACATGAGGCACTACCAAGGATGTCTTTAATTGCTTCAGACTTTAGTTACCTACCTGATGTGAGTATACCTGGTGAAAGGGCTCCATTAGTTTCAACCAAGGTATGTTCTTTCTCATGCAACATAGTAACTTCGAATATTGTAACTTTATGGTATAATGCCAGTACATAGAATGTTAAAGGTCTTTCTCCAATGTTACCGTTGAAATTGTAGGGGGCATTTATGCATGGTCATACAGATGATTGACCTTGTTCACTTTTTTATCTGCAGAAAGATGGCTGCAGCTTAGATTACAACAGTTATCTGGATGCAAAGGTGCTCTCCCAACACCCACGCAATTTTTCTCTTGTTTCACATTTATAGGGAATGCCTTACATGAGCGTCAATAAAGTCACAGTTGACAAATAATTTTGCCCTGCCTCTGTGTATCTGTTGTGCTCTAAGATCCAGTTACTCAGTTCTTGCTAAAGATCACCTCAAGCCAAAGGCTACCTTAGTACAGGACTTGGGAATCCATTTAATTCAATGGATGCTTAAAAAAGGACTAATTATTTTGCAACTCGTGGGATCCTGTGCTTGCCTTGTTAGAATCCTTAAGATGTTATCCCCGACGAACATAATTCCTGCCTTTTTATCTTTCAAGCTCTGGAACCAATTATAGAGAGTCCTATTTTGTCCTCTCTCTTGTCCTAACTCTCATCTCAAACACAACCAAAGATATTACACTTATCATTGACAGTTGCAGCCTCTGAAGGGAGAGCCTCAGCATAAAATTTGCAACTGTTTTATTTGCGTATTCCTTTTTTTAATAGTAACGTCCGGTGTTTCCTTGTTATTCACTATCTTTGCCCTCTGGGCTTCAGCTCAAGTGAGGGTATGCTGGGTCTAGTGATTAGGATTTAGCTTCAAATCTCACCAGAGAACAATGACAATAAATGCATAAGTAGAAAGAAGAGAAATAGTTGAGAAACCTTTGGTAAATCACATTACTTAACAAATATGATGTACAGAGCTCATACATCTTTTATGAACACCAAGCACATTCACAGTAACTGTTCAACAGGCAAGGTATTGAATAAATGGACATAATCTTTCTGAGATAACTCTTGTTTTTCTCATGGTGCTTTAGTTGAATTCTGAATGTGTTGTAGGGTGATGCTGATATCTTCTTCCCCACGGACTTTTGGCTTTTGGAACGTATGGACCATTACTGTTCTGGGTGGATGAAACCGCATGGAGATAACTCAACCAAGCAAGGGAAGAAGAGGCGAACACTTGTAGTAAGTCTCTTCTTGCAGTATAGTGTCTATTTATTGAGACATAATAATCTTGTTTAAAAAAGGATTTGATCATTGAATTGATCAACTATATACCTGCTAACTTGCAAAGCTAATTATCAATATTAAGAGAGTGGCAGAGTGCCTTACTGCATTTAGTTTTAAGATTAGTATTTAACAAATATGTCAGCTACCTCTATGTTGGCATGTCCATGGGCCTAATTGGAGTGAATAATATGTTAATAGCCAACATTTTCCAAGATGCACCTATAGGAGGAGACACAAAAATGGGTGACCATTGAGAATTTTATCTGACCTAGATTTGTTTAAAGTGATGTGCTTTGCTAACTGCACTCGAGAAGATAATAGATGCCCCACACCTTTTTCTTTTTTTTCTTTTCATGTGTAGCTGAAACTTGTAATATTTTCTGCAGCTCGATACGTCGGCGTTCATGGAAGAGTTTGGTTTGCCCACCAAGACGAGAACCAAGGATGGTTACAACCCGCTTCTGGATGATTTCAAGAACACTAAATTTTATCTTAGTGTTCCAACACACAACATAAAATAGGCAGTCTGCAACTTAAATTTCCAAAAGCTGATTTATAAGGAAGCATCAGGTTGACTGTATCTCAAGGTATGTGCAGTCTAGATTGCATCATCTGAAGAGAAATTAAGGTTTATAAATCAAGCAAATTGGGGGCCATTTACCCGGTGATAATCTTTGTGAGGTAATAATTATGCTGTCATATTTAGTTGAATTGTGTAGAGCTATTTAAAACCAAGTACAGTCAAACAATTGTTCTGAGATGTCATATTTCTCCAAGGAGGAACCTCCATGATGCAACTGGGACTACATGTGCAGAAGCTTAGAAAGGAAGATCTGCTAATTGGAACCATAATAGCAGAAGCTTAGACAGGAAGATATTTTTTGCATGTAAAGGTGACATGATCTAATAAATAAAAGACGTGTGGATTCTTTTAGATAATTATTCTTTTTGCCGAACAAGTGAAATTACAAATTATTCTGGCCTCTAAATTAAAACAAAAGACAATTTTGAGAATCATTTAATCAAACCTCTAGTTTCCTTCTTCTCTCTTTGTTTTTTTCTCTCTCACACTCTTCCTTTCCACCACCACTAGCACCTCCCTCCCTGCATTGTCCTCTACCACCTTCACCACCACCTCCAACACCACATTTTGCGTCACCTACACTGCACTGTTGTTGCTCTCCCTTTCCTATACGCCCTTTCTCCCTGTGGATCGTGTAATCTTCGCTCTCTCCTCCCTCAAAGTCTGCTCTCTCTCTGCCTCCCAAACTCTGACCCTAACCTAACCCGTTTGATGACTCGCCAGGTAGATATCTCAGTCATAGATGACTTGCCAACTTCTCTATCCCAACTTGCCTTCAGTGCTTGTAAAGACCTGCCCAATAAGAGAAAAGGGGCACCGGTCACTGCTTTTTTGGTACCCAAAGCCAGTAGTCATAATTTGATGGCTATTAATTCGCCAATTACAAAGTCTGTCAAGCTTTCAAAGATTTGATGTTATTGGTTTTTTTTTTTTTTTTTCATTCATTTTACCATCACATGTCTGTCACATTTATGTAGATTTTGATCAATAGGATCGCTCGACTGGATTACAAACTGAAAAATAGTTTTGCTACCTCATTTGATTGTTAATGCTTTTGTTCCATGCTAAAATGGCCCTCGTCTTCTATAGTTTTGCTCTGTTTTTCTATTCCTAATCCCAGCCTCATGCCAGCTTGGGAATTCTTTCAAAGAAGCCAACTCCAACATTGCTACATATGCAGACTTGCACAAATTGAAAAGGAATAGTTTTTCTCTGTTTTTCTATTCCTAATCCCAGCCTCATGCCAGCTTGGGAATTCTTTCAAAGAAGCCAACTCCAACATTACTGCATATGCAGACTTGCACAAATTGAAAAGGAGGGCATACTTCCAAGGCTCATGCTTTTCAAACCTCTCCAGTACAGTTCAAGAACTCTAGTAACAGCAAAGCTTTCTCCTTTTTCCTCTAGGGAAAACTTCCTGATTCAAATGTTCAAGCTGTTGAGCAAATTTCGAAATAAATTGTATCAGAAACTGCTAGTATCGGTTGCCTTCGCCTCCAAAAATCGGTTAAATTATTACTTTATCCATGGAAACGTAAGATTTTTGGGCTTGGAAAGCTTACTCATGGCCAACAAAGTTCCAAGCATTTCATCCTTTGGGGTCTACAATGTTTGAAAATTTTGACTTGCAAAATAACACTCCAGATCAATAACCTCTCCATGGCCTTCCCAAGTAAACTGAAGAATTGGCAAACACATTGCGCCCTTTGAGCACAAATCCATTTGCATCTAAATCAGCAATGTTTTACTAGACAGTAAAACAAATGTCAGAGTTTGGAGACTTTGTTCTTGCAAGAGACTACAGGTCGAAAATACTTCTCGGGTTATCTTGAATCAGAGCTGCGAAGGGATAGAAAAGGCGACTGCAAGCTTAGATGTGTAAGCATTTGGTACACTTTTACTTGAGGTTGCATCAGGCCGCAGGAATATTGAACCCAATGCATCATCCGTTGCACTGGTTTTTGTATTAGTCTTTCAGCCTAGGAGCCACAACATCAAGGACTCTCTCCTTCTTGGAACCATTTCCACACATGATGTCGACTGTGGAAGGAAGGTTTTTGATACTTGTGTACTAATGTAGCGGAAACTTACTGAAAGGAAACAAACACTGTTAATCTGAAACTTACATACGAAATTAGATATCAGTTTACTACAATATGTTGAATTGTATTCAAATATTAGGAAATAAGCTTCAAAATCTGTTGGTTCAAAGAATGTTAGAAATTGAAATAAAATTGAGATACTCTCATAAAGTTTTATTAATCAAGCCAAATTCCGTTTTTCTGCCTCCAAGTCATACTTAAATAGGAAATTCAGCTAAAACCCTAAACAAACTCAAAAGGAAAACAAATACTAAAAATCCAAAAATAAGAAAAAATCCCAAAAAACAAGAATAACTCAATTTTGGAGGCCCAAATAATCTTTTTTCTGAAAATCACACCTATATCATGACATAGCTATGAGTTTGACTTATTGAATCGCTTAGCATCGGACTAGTCTCAAGAAACCTTGAAATTAGGCCGATATTTTTTTTAGCTTCTGTCATGCTCATACCGCTTCATAAATTCTAGGACCCGATGATCCGCATCATTAACTCCACTGCTTCTTCAACATTTGATAAAATGAGCTTGCATTCATTCATGGAAAATGAAACATAAGAAAATAGCATGCCTAAACGTTCTCAAAAAATAACAACTTCAAGGGACTATATGAAACACGATATAGCCTCTTGCATCTAAATAGGTTGTTCTTCAATCCAGTTATCGGCATTAATAAATGATATGCTGGATAGTTCTTCCAAGCCTTGAGGGCTCAGCTTTTTTGACCAGTTAACCCTCTTTGAAGTGTCAGCTCCTGGCCCAAAGTTGCCATACTCAGCAAATGTTAGACGGTCCCTGCAAATTATGTGATTATGTAAGCCACTAATCAAACACATTTGCATCCCTAACAACATAATTAAAGCGTATTTGTTTAATTTACAGAAATCAAACTCCATGGCTAGACATGATTTGTGAGCTTAGAAAGCTTACTCATGGCCAACAGAGTTCCAAGCATCCCATCCTTTAGGGTCTACAATGTTTGAAAATTTTGAATCGTAGAATAAGACCCTAGAATAACTTCCCCATGGCCTTCCCAAGAAAACTGAAGAACTGCCGAACACAGTGCAGCCCTTGAACACAAAACCATTTGTATCATCTGGATTCCTTCTTCCTTGTGCTGTGATAACCCCTCCTTCTTCAAGTACTTGTATAGAACAATCCTACAAATAATGAAAAGCAAACTAATAAAAAACAACATCATTAATCTAAGTGACCTTTGATTCGGGATGGCAATTTGCCCTGCCATAGAGGGGCCCTGCCCAGTCCTGACTTGAACAGGGATGAGACGGAGATGATATTTGCCCACCTTGTCCCATGTCGCCCCACCTCGCCTTTTTCTTCAAAAATTATAATTATATCCAATATATATATTCTGATATTGTAAACTAGCTTTTAATATAATGAGTGAGCTTTAATGATCTCTAAATAGTGAAAACATGCAACGATTTATCTTTTTTTAATTACATTTGTAATATTGACGAGTTGTAATATTTTAATAACTTAATTAAGTATGTTATTTATTCAATTAAAAACAATTTAATATATTATGAGTTGTATAGTAAACTTATAGTTGAATATGATACTAAATTATTATCTTTTTTAATTATATTTTTTATATTGATTATTATCTTTTTATTACAGTTTGAAATTATTATAAGATGATATGAGGTAGAATGGGATGAGAGCGAACTTAAAGAATTAAGCAGGGCACCGATATCCTGTGGGAATCCCTGTCCCTATTGGAGATGAAGATGTTAGGAAAAATATTGCTCCACACGGGGCACGGGGCACGGACAGGACAGAACTTTTCAGGCCATCCCCACCCTGCGCCGTTGTCATTCCTACCTTTGATTTAGAGACGTGGAACTTGGTAAGGTAAGTAATACTTTATATGTTGTTGTTGTTGGACTAAAAAGTGTACCTCATAAATAGATTGGCCACTTCCAAAGATAAAATCAACAGCACCCTGGATGCTGCAATCCTTGAAGTAATGCCTGCCTGCTTCATCCCACAGTGTGTCTTGCAACCCTGCAAACCGGCATTGGTAAAATGCAGTCTTGTCGCCGGTTACCATAGCTGCTACTGCTGGCATTCTTGGGTTGTTATTATGTGGAAAATTATAAGAGTTCTGCGTAAGAAAACCAATAAAAGGAACAAACAATAGCTTGAGTTACGAAAACTTAATGAAAATGAAAGCAGAGTTTTCCTTTGATCTGACCACTTTTTAGGACAATCTGAAAATGCCTAAACAAAAGTTTCTTAGACAATACAAAGAAGCTTTTCCATTTTATATGGAACAATCATAATTATGTCAAGATTAATGATCACTTACAACAAAGGCCACGCTTCTAACTACAATGTTATCTGCTGAAGAAGTGAAAGTAGGGCTTTGTAGTGTTGAATCATGGTCATCCCAAACAATCTGAGTCCTTCTTTTTCCCTCTCCTTTGAGAATGATAAATGGTTTCTTAGAAGGAATGTTAACCTTCTCCCTACAGTACAATAACACAAAATAGTTATGTACACCAAAAGAAAGTCACTGCTTATGCATCCATATACAGAAGCCTGTAATTTTCTATAAGAACTCATTGAAAGAAGTAAAGAAGAAGATATCACCTATATGTTCCAGCCCTTATGTAGACACGAACCCAGTTCTTATTCTCTTCTGGAATGGAATCAATGGCAGATTGTACACTAGAAAAATCGCCATGGCCTGAGTGATCAACAAGGATTGTTTTGTAAGGCAGTGCCTTTCTGTCAGGATCATACCGCTTACGACCATATTTTAGGAAGTTTTCCTTGGCTAATCCTGTTTGAAAACTGGACAGCAGGAGGGCAAAACATAAAGATGAACACCATGGAAGAAACATCTTGGTTGAGAAGAGTGATGAGAAAACTTGTGTGTAATAAAACATGGCTAAACCCTGAGAAGAAAAACTGCAGTGGAAATGACTTTGTGCTATCCTTTCTTGGCAAGTCTTAAACAAGAAGAAACTAAGTTTTAAAGATTTTGGAGGGGGAAAGAGAAAACCAAAAGTTTGTTCGTCGAACTAGAATCAATTAATTGATCCTTAAAGATTATTCATATCGCATTTTTTGTTTCCTTATTTATTTATTTATTTTGATTGATACTCCTCCTCAGCTACTCTGACCCTCTTCTCCTTCTTGCCAGTCGGAGAAGAAAATAAGTCAAAACAATTTGGTAACCAAAAGATGGGGCAGAACAATTTGGTAACCAAAACTTGACCTTTCGGAGTGGTGTGACTAAAATCTTGATCGTCCAAGTTAGATCACTAAAGGTGCAAAAGTTGAGCAGATTTAATGCTGGAATGATGGGGCAATAAACAACTTAAATCGTGAACTTGTTTTAGAAACATGATCCATCATGTGTATTAAGTACTGCAAAAGAAAATGTACAGAAAAAGTGAAAAAAACCTATCACCCTACATGGTATGGGGATGGCATTTCCATGCCCCCAACACGCAGCTCTATATCGAAAGGGATCAGCTACCTTACAGCTAGCAGTTAAGATTTCCCTCTAGTCGAGATTTGATTTCCACAAGTAAATAATGTTTGATCTCTTGTTTGAATAGAAATCATTCAGCAAGAACATGGATTTGCCAAATTGGCATAATAAACGGTAGTGGCAGAGGTAGCAAGCAATAACCGGTCGAGTTTTAAATCCCATAGGGTTCCAATACGAACATTTTCCAACACATTTTGTTAAGCGAGCATTGGAAATTAACTCCTTTTTGGTCATCTGTAGGTCATTTGTTCTGCTCTTAACGACTGCCTCTTAGTTTTTTTCCCCATCAAACCCATAACATCCAAGAGATAAACGGCTCATAAAATTTCAGCATGAGCAAAACATCAATAGGGATAAGGGAATAGTTCAAAATATTATATATTCTAAACTGAAAAGCCAAGCCAAACCAAGTTGCAAGAAAACTGTTGATATAAATAGCACAAGGTTAACTCACTCGAACAGAAATTGTCAAAATAGGAAACAGACTTAGATGCAAAAACAATATTCTCAGAGTTTCTCATTCACTAAAGACCTTCTCTTCGATCAATATTTGAGGGGAGCAATGATGTCTAGCTGGGGACCAAGCTTCTCCTCTGCAGTCTTCTCAGCTTTAACCCTCAGGTTTGCCAACTGCTTCTTTCTCTCATAGACTAACTTGGCTCTTTCCTTTCTCTTATTCTCAAGCTCCTGCAGGGAAGAACAGATAAGCAAAAGAATATTCAGATAGCACACAATGAACTGTGCTTGTAGACAAAGGCAATTTATTGCCAGTAAAAATCATGCAATACATCATACAATCACTATCATCCTTAGACGATTTAAACTGAAACAGAAGACTACATTGAATAATGCAAATAGAAACACCATCAATAGAAAATTGCAATCATTGTCCAGCATATGACAATACTAGTCATCGCTGCACTGTGCAATTTTAAAAAAAACGTGGGAAGAATTCTAATTGTTAACCTAAACACAATTTGATGACTTATTTAAATATGTGGCATCCAAGTAACTAAGAGAGAAATAATAATTTGGTAAGCAGGCAGCAAATAGGAAGAACTTGGGTAGCCAAGTCATACCTTGATGGTTTCATAGTGGTTCCATCCAACCTCAGATGAAAGCTGTCCTAACAAGCAATACTTGTGTCCTGGCTGGAGCCTCAAAACCCTGATTCATCCAAAACATAGAAAGAATAAGCATCCAACTACGTGACCAAAACAAAACATACCTCACTCGCATAAGATCCTTCTAAAAAAAGACTCACTTGAGAGCATCTGGGATCACCATCCTCTTTGTCTTGTCATATGGAGGAGGAACACCTTCATAAACCTTCAAGCGAGCCAGAGCAGCCTCTCCACGCTTGGTCTTGTGAGGAATCATCCTTCAAAACAAATAAATTTCAGATTATCATAGACAAACCAAAACAGCATGGAGACCCTCACGTGGTAACTTGGACTGCCAAAACCATTGCAGGGATGCAAATAGGAATAAAACCAAAACACATCAACAGCACAAACTCATCATTTCAGACATTAAAATACATTCACAAAGACTAAATATGCCTACTCTAATCAACTTACAGTTGTTATTCACCAACAGCACATACAAACTATTATTCCCTATATCTACACACAAACGAATCATCCGTTTGTTTCAATTAAAAAAAACATAGAGTAACTATAAGATATACTATAAATCGTTCTGGCCTCAGGACCCTCAACTTTTAAAGCTTGCAAATTTCCAAAGTTAGCTAATTAAGCATCAGCCATGTTTAACTTAAGACACATCTCTAGAGATACTAACATTTCACAAATCAAAACATGAGTTATCCTAACAATCCAAATTTCACCTTCCATTACTAACAGGAAAAAAAAAAAACTTTCACGATAAAAAACAAAAGCCCAAATCATTAAAACTCAAGACTTTATTAAATCAAAAACTTACCCTCTAATGGTACGCCAGAGAATCTTAGAAGGAGCCCTGAAGTGAATAGGACCATGAGAAGGCTTAGTGTTCATGCGTTTCCTCAAGAACCTCATGTACTTCATTTTCTGCCTTACTAACCCACCAGAGATACAAATCTCTTCACATCGGACAACAACAACTTTCTGTCCATTTAGTAGCTCTTTAGCTAATATTGATGCAAGCCTGCCTAGCATATGATGCCTTGCATCAACAACAACTCTTTTAGCACAGATCCCTGACCCAGACACCATTGTTGCTGTCTGTCTCTCCGCTTTCTCTAGCTGAGCGGCTGTTGTGAGGGAAGTGAGAAGAGAGGGGCGTTAGGGTTTCTGTGTTTGTGGATTTGGGAGGGCTTTATATGCGGTAGCTTTTTTCTGGGCCGGAGAGAGTTGGGTTTTTGTGATTTTGATTTGGGGTTGGGTTACTAAATTGAGCTAGTCCATGGGCCACGATGAATGAAGTCATGGGCCATTTTTTCTGAAATGGGCTTCGTGGTTTTTTAATTTTGAATCCAATAGTGCAAAGTGTTAGGATTTAGTTTTGTTACGAGGCCCATTGAGAAAAATCTAAATCTCTTCTTGTGTGGATTTTAGGCAAAAGCTCATCACTTCTTATGCATACCTAGAAAGCAATTTGAGTCATGTGAAGAAGATTTAATTTCTAATCATTAAGAATTTATCATGATAAAAATAAAATAATAATAGCTAACAAATTCATCAATTTAATTAATAAAGGTGGATGCGCTATTAAAATTTTTAAGAAAAAAATTAATCTCAATTAACGCATAAAGCTGATTCAAAAATATTTTTATAGTCGGAACCAAAAAAGAAATGAAAAAAAAAAACTAATTAAGGTAACATCTATGAAAAAATATTAAGCTTTGTGTTTTCAACATTCTTTAATAAAATAGGAAAATAAATCAATTTATTTATATATAATAGTCTAAGTCTTTAATTTGCTATTATCTTTTTAATTGTATGTATTATGTTTTTAAATAATGTTTAAATTTCTAATACGTCTTTCTGATTAAACATGATTAGTCCGAGTCGAGAGACTTAAAAGACAACAAAATTACTTATTGAATTTGTTTTCTCCAAGTTCCAAAATCCTAGTTCTTCCACAATCTCTAATTCTCCCCACCTTCACCTACAACCTTTTAAAGCTTAGTACAATGATGAGTAACATCATATTGCCTTATAATGTGCAAACATTACCTTTCTAACATGAAAGCAAGATCTTGCTCTTATATGTAAGAAAATACCAAGTCGACATCCATGGTAACAATTTATTAACCAAAGGTCGGATCCCTATACACTGTGCATGCATGCATCATCCCTGCAAGTATTGTCGACTGAAATTGGATCCATGCATGTGATAGACTATATGCTCCATCATATCAAGCATACATGAATCTTGGCTTCTACTACGAATGACCATACAATATGGTTCTAAAATGTATATGTGTTGGCTTCTAATTCATCGACGTGCAATTGGGAAATATGGAAAGTGAATATATATATATATATATATATATATAAGAAGTTAGATCAGTCAAGTTATAGTTCTAACCTTTTCATATTATAAGAGTTAAGGATGAGTAGCAAGATCACATTATTCTTTCTGTATCACATCTTAATTTTAGATATAACATCCAAACCAAAACTAATTGACGAAGATTATAGCAAAAAGATATGGGATTATTTATTTATTTTGAAAAAAAAAAAACTACAAAGTTGTAGAAAAATTCACAAAACTTAATTCTTATTCGTCATTCTTATTTTATTAGCCAAAAAGTAGTACTATTACAACTTTTTAAATGAAAAAACTAGAAAATCCTAACAATACTGAATATGAAAAATAAAATAGAATAGAATAGGATCCTAAAACATTAGTTTCCTAATAATACTTGATTAATTAAATATAAATAAATAAATTCTAGAAAACTTAACATTAAAAAAAATATTGCAGTTGAAAAAATTAACCCTACTTTCTAGGATTTCATCACCAAAGTTCAACTAATAGGACTTTAACCTATATGATGCATGCATGGTAATATATAATTAAGATTTATGTGTACATTAACCAATAGAAATAAACAAATATTTAATTAGAACATAAATATTATCAAAGGCTTAACCTAGTTAATAAGTAAGTTTAAGATTTAATTAAGATTTATGCATTCGGTTATTTGTTTTTTTTTTTTTTTTTTTTTTTTTTTGGAGTAAGACCCCAGAGAGAAACCAATTTTGATGCACGAAAGTTGTCCGAAGATATCTTAATGTAACTTCAAGACCTGAAAAACAAGGATATAACATATACATGTTTACAATGTTGCTACCATTCATATAGATTGGTAATGCAATTAATTGATCACTACGAGCAACTTTTTCTTTGCAAAAAGGGAGCCATCCATCGTCGGATAGCTTTACAAATTAGCCCTTTGAACCGAGTAAATTATCTCATGAGCAACACCAAAACCGATGTGAATCAATGGATCCCGAAATTTATGGAATAATATGAGCGCAATAGAAGCTGAAAAAAAAATTGTCGATCCAATTTTAAAGTTTCTTGGACCTAGTTCAATGTCAAATGATCCAACGAATCAAACTCATCGTTTTGTCAAGTCTGTAGGGGTGATTTTGACTAAAAAAGATTGTTTAGGCCCTCAAAATTGACTTTTACTTGTTTTTCTTATTTTTTGGATTTTTGTATTTGTTTTCCTTTTGAATTGGTTTAGGGTTTTGAGGCTGAATTTTCTATTTATGTATGACTTGGAAGTAAAAAAATGCAGCTTTTTTTTTGTTAATAAAATTTTATGAGAGAGCCTCTCAATTTTATCCTAATTTTTAGTATTTTTTAAATTAATAGAATTTGAAACCTATTTTCTAGTATTTGTATGTAAAAAAAAACCCGATGTGAACCAATGGATCCTAAAATTTGTGGAATGATATGAGCGCAACGGAAGCTGAAAAAAATTATCGATCCAATTTTGAAGCTTCTTGGACCTAGTTCGATGTCAAATATTTCAACGAATCAAACTCATCGTTTTGCCAAGATGTAGGGGTGATTTTGACTAAAAAAGATTGTTTAGGCCCTCAAAATTGACTTTTACTATTTTTCGAGATTTGTTTTCTTATTTTTTGGATTTTTGTATTTGTTTTCCTTTTGAATTGGTTTAGGGTTTCGAGCCTGAATTTTCTATTTATGTATGACTTGAAAGCAAAAAAACGTAACTTTTTTTTGTTAATAAAATTTTATGAGAGAGCCTCTCAATTTTATCCTAATTTTTAATATTTTTTAAATCAATAGAATTTGAAACCTATTTCCTAGTATTTATGTGCAACACCAAAACCCGATGTGAACCAACGGATCTTGAAATTTATGGAACGATATGAGCGCAACAAAAGCTGAAAAAAATTATCAATCTAATTTTGAAGTTTCTTGGACCTAGTTCGATGTTAAATGGTCCAACGAATCAAACTCATCATTTTGCTAAAATGTGAGGGTGATTTTGACTAAAAAAGATTGTTTAGGCCCTCAAAATTGATTTTTACTTGTTTTTCGAGATTTTTTCTTATTTTTTAGATTTTTGTATTTGTTTTTCTTTTGAATTGTTTTAGGGTTTCGAGGCTGAATTTTCTATTTATGTATGACTTGAAGGCAAAAAAATGCAATATTGAGAGGCTCTCTCATAAAATTTTATTATCAAAAAAATATAGCTATTTTTTTGTTAATAAAATTTTATGAGAGAGCCTCTCAATTTTATCCTAATTTTCAATATTTTTTAAATCAATAGAATTTAAAACCTATTTTTTTAGTATGTGTACAATTTATCAGATTTTAATAGATTGACATCTGAATTTTGTATTAGAGTTTTCAAATCGATGATGTTTATTTACTTCGTATAAGTTTTCGCTAGGTCAAAATCCTATGCATTTATTGCAGTGACTCTATCTTAATTGACTCTAAGGAGAAGCCAGAAACAGTAACCCCACTTGATCAAACGTTCTACAACATGGATAATGAGGACAAAGTCGGGTTGAGCAAGCATACATATGACCAAACTCAAATCTAAGAAGGTATAGTAACTCTCAATTTAAGGCCTGACCCTACGAAGAATGGCAACATCTGGGTGCAGCCTAATACTACCAAATCTTGATTCCTGACAAGTCAACCCACTGCAAGAAGGTACGGGACCCGTTGACCTTCCACCTCATAATAAGTGCAAATCATTGTGGTTCAAGCATCGTCAACAGCAGTTGTCTCCACAATCCATTTTCTCTTCTCTGCCAAACCATCTTCTGAACCACATATACGTAGGACAAAGAGATCAGAGACACCGGTTACCATAGTACTAGAAGCCAGCAGGTTTTTTGTTTGTTGTCACAAAAAAAAAAAAAGTCAACCCTATTGTAGATTTATATCAATTCGTTTGAGGATGAAGCTTCATGTGCTTGTTTTTGGTTTGGAAGTGTATGGTAGGATAGCGATCGAAATTAAGTTTGTCTATATTATCGAAATTAAATGAATTCATCTATGTTATATACACGGTCAAATACTCATATCTATGAAATTCAAAAAAAAAATTATTTTATTTGACCTATAATCCTAGTCCTCGAAGGATTATAGATTAAAGGAAAGCCTTCCCTCTAGTTAGAGCACATATTTCGTATTAAATAGTTAAATCAAATATGATTAATATATAGAATTGAGAAGGGATCACCTAATAAAAATCCCGAAATTTAAATCACTTGACGAGATATCAAAAAATGAAGCTGCAAGTGAATGAAAATGTTAAAAACACATATTTCACGTTGAATAGTAAAACGAAAAATAATTAATATATAAGATTGAAAAACTAACTCTCTACCTCTTAGTCATCTGCTTCAACTCTCTTGGATTAAAGATAAATTGGTATGGATATTTTAATGAGATTAAATTCGTCTATATTACTCTTATCAAGATTAAATGATATATATATATATATATATATATATATATTTTAAGGTCAAATATACATATTTAAATCATGCAATTCATGGAAACTTTTACTTTGCTTGATCTATAATCGTCAAAGGAATATAGGTTACAGGGAAGCATTACCTCTTAACCTCTGCCCCGACCCCTTGGATCAAGGATAAATTGGTATGCAAAACTATTTCACACACTTATTAAAATGTTTGATTGTGTATAGTAATATTGATACGTGGAACAAAAAATAAAATAAAAAGCCAAGAGAGGGCTTGCATGATTAGCAAAATCACCCCCTACCATTGCAACACTACATATATACTTTTACAATATTAAAGAAAGAAAATGTAAAGAGAATAAGAAGGAAGAGAAAGACAGAATGCATACATTTAGGCTCATCAGAATGACCAGTTGAAACTATCCATCCAATGCTTGATTAGTTACTAGATCAGTAACCATTAATTGATTGTACAATAAAAATAAGAATGCGAAGGATAAGGAAAAGGCAAAAGTAGTAGCCAAAAAAAGATTATCTAAAAGTAGGTACGTATCAAAATACATAACAGCTCCATCTTTTTGTGTCCATCTTAGATTTATATGATCACATGCTGCTGTTTGCATGAAGGAAAGAGAATATCTGTTGAACTGAGCTTGCTATGTCTTCTGCAGTAAACCTAGAATCGGTTGCAATCTGAACGAAGAGGAAAGATGTGTATGTTCAAGATTGATGATAATATAATTCATTTGTAAAACAAAGCTGTTAAGAGAAGAAAGAGCAGCTCATGATATTTTATACCTTGACATTAAATGAATATAGAACAGTTTGTTCGATGGTGGTAATGTTGGTGTGAAGTATGTTCAGCTGCAAATCTTCTAGTGCTGCGATGGCCTGAATGAGCTGGCCTGGCCTTCTCCTAGAGAGGATCTTGATCATGGCGTCAAACCCTAAAACCTTCACTTCAACATCAGCCAAGCAAGACTTGTTTTCAGCTGTTTCTTCACGGAGTCCTGTCTCGAAATCTACAAGCTTCATTTGATCGTTTGGTAGAGGAACTGGAGGAAAGAATGCAGGCTGAGCTGGTTGTTGGATTGCAATAGAGGAATCGTCCATTAGTCTTCGTCGCTTCTGGGATTCTAGGCATTGAAGTAGTTGCTCCAATTCTCTCACAAACTCGATGGCTCCACCAATTATTGAAGCTTGATCTCCCTGCGTAAATATCCACAAAAACCAGTGTATATCCAGTTATATATAGAAAGTCCTTCGAAGACTAATAATGGTTTCCAATTTGTTGGTTGTAGAGCAAAAAAAATGACATTTTGATAAAAAAAAAAAAAAAAACAAGTGAATTTTCATGTCTTTTCTTGACTGGAATACATAAAATTTTATACCCTCTGTACATATGATCCTGGCATGAGAGACCTCAAGACTCGAAGATGCTCATTCATTTGCTTTCTTCGATTTCTTTCAACTGCAATATGAGTCATTCTTTGGCTCTCAACTTCCTCGCTTGTCTTGGTAGTTCTTGGTCTTTTTCTCTTGTTCTTCACTTCTGATATAGGCTTCTTGTTTTGAAGATCTTGATCTCCAAGAAACTGAAGTTGCACCGAGTTATTAACCGAAAGCCTAGCTTCTTCATCTTCCATAACACCCCTCTCTTCCCCCACCATTCCTGCCCTATTTTCCCCACTACTTATCACTCCTGTAAACAACCTCTCTTCACTTTCTCCACCTAGTTGAGGAGCCATTAGAGATTGTTCGTCAATCTTATCATTCAGAACAGGAAACTTAAGGAAGTAAACCGGATCAATCCCAGTTTCTTCCTCCGATATCTTGGTTTGATTCAAGGCCAACTTAGGCCCAAAATCAGCAAATTGCATCACATCAGCAAAGCTCAATTTATCGAAAGAAGAAGAAGTACAAAAGCCGGATGACATTTGTTGATGTTGTTGAGGATTGTTGAGCATATAATCAATCATCCCATTGTTGTTGTCATCATCACCAGAAGTTTCACCTATCGGCGGCTTCCCGAGTTCGAGGTGATCTTGTTGATGATGATGGTGGTGGTCTAGAGAGTAATCTAGCCCGATAAAACTTGCCTGCAAGAAGTTAAGTTCAGAACAAAATAACATGGTGGTGGTGATTTGATTTATCAACAAAAACATACAAACAGTACTAGACTAAAGAGAGCTAAGTAACATACTGAGTAGTTCTCTTCTTTATCCATTGCTATATATATATGTGAATGCCTTTAATCAAAAACCCTGAATCAAAGAAGCTCAATCCATGCAAGGACAAGTCCTAGCTAGCTAGTCAAATTTCTTTTAACTTGTTCCACCTGAAAAAGAAAAAAAAACTCTAACTCCATCAAATTAACAGCAAGTAACTATTGTAGTAATAATAGAGACATAAACATAAGGAGCTAGCTGTAATAACCCTAGGTTTTGGTTAGAGTAGGAAAAAACAAGAACAAAGCTGCATGGAAGTGATTGGAAATAGAAGTTGCCACATAATAACCTGATTGGAGAGAGACAACGAGAGAAGAATAAGACAAACGGTGAAAATTCAAGTGGGGTTATGATATTTTGAAGAGCAGAAGAAGCATGGGGTACCACCATGGAATTGTTGATTTTATATCAACTGAAAATTTCTTGGATTGGGGTGGTGAGTTTTGTCTTTACATAATGGGCTAAGATTGCCTGTAAGAGCTGGCTTTGACTTGAAGAGAGTGAGAGAGAGAGAGAGAAAGGGAGAGGAGCCTTGTGGATTGATGTCCACCTCACAGTTTCACCTCCCATTATTTATGTGTTTCACAGGCCAACAACGCTCTTTTCATTGCTTTTACCACCTCTTTTCATGACTCTAATTAAAGATGAAGGCTGCAGATTTGATCATTTCAACTTTGAACTTTGAAAATTAGAAAGCATCTAGGGTATCATGGACTTGATTTGCACCCCATTTCAATCTTGGTAACTTTCACATGTGGTGCATTCATGGTAGTAATATTTTATTGTATAATGAAGAGAGTAGTGTCATACATTTGCAGCTTCTTTTTCATTTTTCTACTAAATTACAACTCCAAGATATGTGATCTGCAGGAAGGACTTTGTGCCGATTAATGTTCTTATAAGCTAGCAATTACCATGTTTTTTTTTTATTCATCAAAAGCGTATGCCCCTTTTTGGGCTATACAATTATATAAAAACAATTTTTTTTATTATTAAATAATCATTAAAAAAATTTAAAAATTATTAAAACTCAAATCGTACTTTAATAAAAAAAAAATTAACTGGATACACAATTACTAAAAATGCTCGTTACATAGCAAACATATTCTATGTGAAATAAATAAATACTTACAGATATAATTGAGAATGAATTATACATTTAAAAATGAAAAACTCAATTATCAAATTCAGTACTTAAAATAAGTGAGGATGATGATATGGCAGACGCACCGTCAGTTTAGAATAGCATATTAGCCTCTCTCTTTTTCAATCGAAAGGAGCAAATTTAAATACAAAATTTGTTTCAACGCCCCATCTGATGATAATAGAAAGTATAATGGTATGTCATCAATTTTAAGGCCTTATTAGGGATGGCAATAAGTCAAGTCTAAAATGGAAATTTAATTTATCTGATTCAATAAATACTCATTAAAAATATCTAATAGTTATTGAAGTAAGTAAAGATAAAAAAAAATGCTAACCGGGTAATATAATTTTAGGATATGGATACTCATTCCTTACTCTATTAATATCTAATGTTTTTTTTTAACATACAAAGATCTAATTACATAAAATTTAAAAATTAAGGGCCAAATTTTTTTTTCAAAAATGTAAGGACAAAAAAATATATTAAAGGACCAAAATGTAAAAAAAATTAAGGACCAAAAACTTTTCTTGAAAATTACAAAGACTAAAATGAAATATTTTGACAAATTATTTTTAATAGGTATTAAATAGATACTAAATGAGCGGATAAACCGATATGGATCAGATAAAGATTTATATGATGTTTTTTAATGGATAATAGGTAAAGTATTCTTTCTATGAATATGGTAAAAAATAATGGATTGATTACCCGTCTATTGTCATCCTTAATATTGATCTAGTTTTGTGAAGTTTTTCTACAAGAATTATCCTTTGAACTTGTTTATTCTAATTATTGATCCAGTCTACTTAGTGTTTTTTTTTTTTTTTGAGACATAACATCTGTGTAATTTTGACATGACTGAATATGCTTCTCGGTGTTCCTATATTTTTAATTACATCAATTATGTTCTTTAATAATTTATAAGTCTCCAATATGTTCTTTCAATTGCATCTATTATATTCCTTAATAATTGTAAAGTCTAATATATTCTTCCGATCAATTTTTTAGATTATGGATAAATTTTTTGACTAAAAAGCTCCAAACCGAATTGCAAAAAAAAAAAAAAAAAAAAAAAAAAAAACACTTAAAGAGACAACTTGCATATTCTATTTTTGATCCCTCTTCTAAACCATAAACCAAAATTTTGATAAAAAGATTTAACTTAGGCTAAGTAGGCAGCAGCCCTTTGCGAGGCTAATCGCAATACCACCTCAAACTTTCCAATAGAAGCTTGAAATTTTCTCCATATACAACCCTATTTCTATTGGACCAAAAGAATACTCTTGCTTTCTAGTTAGGAGTGAAGGAAAGGAGAAATCCATTCATGCCTCAAAACCATCCACTGAAGACTTGAAAACATGCCATTAGTCAGGTCACATGATACAAGTGAATCTTTTCCTCTCATTCTGGGTGAGCATATATAATTTCCATTGAAAAAAGAAAATAAAAAAATTCCTTCCAAACAACAAATAACATTAGGAAAAAAAAATGCTAGGTGATAATACTTGAGATCAAATATACTTTCCATTGAAAACAGGGAAGATCGTCTAAGTTGTTTTAAACTCTGAAATAAATTGGAGAAACAGTATGATAATGGAGAAACACACAGCAACTGATCCTAAAGGACACTTTGACTCTCTGTTCGGTGACCAGACTCTAGCGGAAACAAATTCTTGTTTGATATAAAGAGGGAAATTATACATTGAAATCTTCCTGAAACCATCTAATTGCCGCATTCTCCTTCGCTAGCCCCCTCAAACATCGAAATATAAAATATGAAATGAAACAGTTTACAGATCGAACATACTGAGTAGAGACCATAGTAGGAGCTTAAATCGCAGTAAACCTCAAAATAGCCAACTCCTGTTTAGCCATAACCATGCAGAAGAGCAAACGTGGTTGCTCAAAAGACATTAGGGTTCCTCCATCCACTTGGGAGTCCCAGAAATTTCAGAAGCTAAAACCATGGAAAAATTACAGGTGCAATGACCAGAATTATGAGCTGTACTCAAAAGGCTGTGGAGGCTGGGGTTCCTCATCAACCGCCATGGCCGATGCAGAACTTTGCTGTCCTGTGGCCAAACCACTAGCAGGTGATGCTGTAGATGAAGGTGTATCTGTAAGAGAAAGCACCTCGGGTTCAGTTGGTTGCAAGTCTCTCAAGAGAACAAACCCTGAAGGTGCTGACTTCACTGGCACATATCTGCTATCTTCCATAAATTTAATATATTTCTCCTGGGCAGGAACAACCCTGGCTGGGTTTATCAAAATTTCATGAGAAGGCTCGGGCTCTGCTTTCTTCTCTGGCTGCCCATCAACCTGTAAAGACAAACCCATGAAATCAACATGGTAAATAATCCATCCAAAATAATTATCTGATAGTGATCTGACACTCTTAAGAAACTGGAGAATGCATAAGAATAACATGACAATGGACTTGTACATTTAGCAGTCCTGACTATGGACTTGTATATTTAGCAGTCCTGTTTTTCTATTCCCAAAGAAAAAGCAATTTGTACGCCAACACAAGGAAAAGAAACATCAATCATTGATATTTACCTGCATAGCATCCCCATCCTTCTCACTGGGCGCTTTCCCTTTTCCAGCACTTGTTGCAGCAGGTGAAGACTCTGCTCCAGCTGCCTTTTCAGCGCTAGCTTTCTGATCTGCTTCTTTCTTAGCCCTAGCTTTGGCCTTCGCCGATGTTGACAGAACTGCAGTAGGAAGTTTCACAGCAGACGTTGCGGTAGGCACAGTGGTTGGTTTTGGATACTCAAACAGAGAAGGCTTTGCATTTGATACAAACTCAAATTTTGGAACTTTCAAGTCATAGTTAAGACCAATAAAAGCTGTGGGTGAGAATGCTAAGCTTACGAAATAGATAAGTGGATACCAGTACCAAAACTGACTAAAAACAGCAAGGCCAACAACAGCAGTGATTTTATCATGCTTTGTCTTGGAAAGCAATCTTATAGTCACATTCCTACCCCCAGCATCAAGTATTCCGGAAGCAAGGATTGCTCCCATCTTGCTCATTGTGTCTTCATGCTTGTCAAGGATTATCTTTTCCAATTGCCGTCTACCATAACAGGTTCAAAGAAATGAGATTAGACTTTGTAAAAGAAAAATAAGGGGCAGTGTGATAAAACTGCAATAAATGTTAGTCATTGTTAAGCAAAACAGATGCAAAAATACAACTCTACAGTGCAATACCTGAATGTTCCAACACGAGAATCACTGGCTTCATTCATTTGGACCATGACCATAGCCATTGCAATGAGGGCACCTTGACGAACAAAATCAACAACATCTGACGTCAAAGGTTCTAGCAAAGATATAGCCTCACTCAAGCCAGTGCCTGCACAGGAGATGCCAACTGCGAGAGCAGCACCATATCGTACATGTGGATTATAAGACTCCGAAAGCAAGGAGACAATTCGAGGAGTCTGTTTCACAGCACAGAAAGATTTAGTACAACTGAGAAGACAGAATATAATTGCACATATACGTGTTTGGGTCATAAAAAAAAAACGATAAAATAAAATAAAATAAAAATTGAACTACAAAGAAACAAGCAAGAGCTTGAAAACATCAACAGATGATTTTAACCCGAGACAATGTCAAGCAATTACATTGAAAAAAGAACAGCAATAGCAACTATAGGGTTGGGGAGTGCAAAAACACAAGAAAGAACATACCTGCTCTGGCTCAGAGTACAAGACAAATCCAAGTGCAAGAACAGCAGTCCTCCTGACATCATCACTCACGTCTGATACAGCAAAGTGCAGCAACTGGCGAATAGCCTTGTTGTTTGCTGTTCCACTGTATGCTAATGCCAATGCATACATGCCACCATAACGAAGTATAGGATCTTGATCCCGAGTCATCTGCTCGATTAGTGTGTCTGCTTCTTCTTCTCTCCCATAAACTGTAAGGGCTATCCCCAATGCTAATCCCCTGCAGCATATGGAGAATTATATAAACAAGAATGTGGAATATAAAAGCTGAGTGCTCAGCCAATAACTGAAAATGAAGCCATATTTACCTGATGATTTTCTCATGTTGGGTCTCGTGCGCATACGCAAGCATCTCACTAGCTTTCTCACTTGCAGTCCCAACCATAAGCAAACCCATACTGATACCAGCAGCTTCACCAGCAACAGCGCTATCAGTATACAACGCACTTTTGATATCATCATAGATATCTTCATCAGCGGTTCCTAGAGCTGCCAAACCAAGACCTAAACATGCACCATGTTGAATAACCTGAAAAAAACATGTCAGTGTGAATTCCATAATTAACTAAACCTCTTAATTCTGATAGAAAACTATAGGAAAAATTGGAATTGTAAGCACACCTCCACACTGGTGCTACGTAAGCTTTCACGAAGGAATTGTTTTATGCCCTCGCCGTGGTTGGCATGAATAAGTCCCAGAGCATAAAGGGCGCCACCTTCTGAGTATGGACTACCTCCACCACCAGCACCGCCTTGAGGCAAATAAGGGGCCATCAGTGACCTGCCCTGCTGCAAGTGACCTCTGTGGATGACACCAAGACCTGCTGTTGCACTAAATTTGGCCCAATTTGTGGCTCTGCTCAACCAGTCCTGAGATAAGATAAAAGCCAAAAATAGTTGAGCATAAATTATAAGTATGCACATAAATCCGCAAATAGAAACATGCATAAACCAAAGGAAAAAAAATGAAAAATAGATAAAACAAAGATGTGTGACTCACTAAATTTTCCCTGAGAAATGTATCCACAGTTGTTCCAGCATGCATAATTGCATTGGCATAAATAGTTGCACTATGGCAGACACTATTTCTCATCTCGACAGATTGCTTAATTGTCTTCAGTATAAGGAGGTCTGACCTATAAGCAAATAACAACTATTATTAGTTAAGGAAACCTACACAAACCTAAGATAATGTAAAAAATTTCAGAATTTTTTAGCATTACTTGTTATGACTATATAGGAATTGCAGAGTCAGCTGTATTGATGTCTCCCCAGACAAAATTCCCTTTATTTTTGTCAGCCTCTCAGCATAGACTGCTTCACTTGGATCTATTTCATGCACAATAGGAGATGAAGTTCCTTCGGTCATTTGAGCATCTTCTGGAGCACTAGAATTTTCATTTTGAGATGAATCTGGAGCCGCAGGTTTTGGCTCTGAAATTTGAGTCTTTGGAGGTGAAAGACGGTCTCTAACATTCAGAAGAAAAGCCTGGTGCTCATTCTCCACAAGATCAAAAGCTATTTGAAATGCCAACAAAGCTTCATCCTTATTTCTTGAGCGTAGAAGTTTTTCTAAGATGCTAGCTACACCTTCAGGCTCATCCAAGAACATCAAACACTGACAAATGCTCAAATAATCAGGAGAAGGTAACTTTTGATATACTTTAACAAGAAGCTGGAGGACCTGCAGAAAAGGAAAAGAACAAGAAAAAAAGTAAACAATGGTCATCAACTTATATACAAATATCCTTCAAGAGAAAAAGATCATTCAACAACTTTTCAGATGGAGCAGTCATTAATAGAACAAGCCAAACAACAATAAAATCTAGAAATCCATTACCACATCCATAACTAACCAGAGATTATGCAGTATGGCATGCAGTGGGGACATGTGACCAGAGAAAACAAAGGAACCAGATCCAATATTTTACAGACAAATAACGGCATTGCCATTCATGATTCATGTATCAAGACCCGTAGACAAAATAAAGAATTTAAGTATTGCTCAATGCAATGGGAAAAAGGTGATAAGAATAGGAAACACCATCAAATTCGTTATGAATTTCATCATATCCAACCCAAGACAATGTTATTAGCTGTAATGGTTGACAAGCAACAAACAAATACATATAACAACTTATACGCAATGTTGAAGAGAGTCGAGCATGATCACTTCCCTGCAATAGTATTACATAGATAAAGATTGAAAAGCTAGCAAACGAACAAACTAACCTCGTGCCGATACTCTCTACGGTTAACAAATGAATGAGAAACATTAATGCAATAGGAGAGAGTTCCATGGACATTATCACTCTTCAAGATAGCTTCCTCGAGTTTATCCAATCTTCGGCATTCAATTGCAATACCCATAGCTTGTTGGAACTTTCCATCAGTGATGCACCTGATGACGAAACAGTAAGATAGCTAGTAGTGCAAAGATATATCAAATAAAAGAAGTTATGGTACTTACTTGTCCAGCATTCTCTCCACGATTGCCTCTAACCTAGGGTCCACATCTGCTACATCAGCATTTGATTCAGCTGCCTTGGACTTTAGGCTAGCATACTCGTCTATGGCCTTAGCTGGAGATAGGAACGAAGAAAAAATATAAGCAAACCAGGAAAGCATCCTTAAACATCCTAGAAACACTTCCCAAAATATGTATTATAACAATTGCAGCTTGGATGACGTGATGGTGTTGACAATTTCATGCAAGCAGTGATGAATTCATATATTATCCCAGCAGTATACCTTTTAAAGGTAATTGCAGGGCAGGCTAAAATTTGGTGTCTTTACAGTGCATTCACTGGTTTGCAGGAACAGAAAATAATGCAAGTATATGAGCAAGCGTACCAAGGAGAGTATGAAGATAGTCAGAATCCTCCGAAACATCAAAGCGGGATCCAGCTCCAAGGGCATATGACAGTGAGTCATTAAGTTCACCCAAGTAATAGAAAACCTGAAGAAGAAACAGTAAAATCCATTTTCATACAAGACTAAGGTGGCCATTGGCCAATGACTCAAAATAGCCTTCTTTAAACAATTACAAACAAGGGCATCGCAATTCTATGGACTGTGTCCACCCACCCAATTCAATCCAATTGCACATCTCATCTCTCGCCCATAACATTTTATCACTCTGTACATTTACTATAGGGAGTTCGTCTATGAGGGGTAACCTTTTCTATCTAGCGAGCAAAACAAAAACTTCTTATTTCTGACGGTTGAACTGAATTATTCTCGGTCCTAGTGTTACTTTCCTTGAAACTTTTGCTACACTGATACAACTTCTTAAAAGATATACATATAAGAGAGTGGACTTTGGCTAGCTTGGCATTGTCAAATTCTACACTCCATTATCTTCCTTTTCCCTCTTCTTTTACCATAACATACAGAGGGGAAGGAACAGGAGAAAAAAGAACAGTCATTACCTTAGAAACAAGCAATGCGGCAAGCTGTCTCTGATTCAGATCAAACTCATCATCTTCATACAAACTCTCTCTGAGTAACAAAAACAGAAAGAACAGAAAATTCACAAGCAGAATCACATTATAAATAGAAAACAACAAGCTAAAACATTCAACAATCTTAACTTCAGAGTTCAAGTCAATCCCAATAAATAACAAAACTTTAAATCTCCTCAATCTCATAAACCCGAATTCCTAATTACCCAAAACTAAAACCCATCTCCGAAACCACAGACAAAGACCCTTCTTTACTTCAGAATCTGTTAATTCACCGAAAGAACCCAAAAATTCAAACCTTTCAACCCACAAAACACATCAATATTACAAATTTTCAACATAAAACACTCTTCTTTATTCAAAATCTTATAGCAACTCAGATAAAAATCAACTAAAAAAGAGACCCATTAACCCTAACCAAACAAACCCAACAATGACTCAATCTATACAAGAAAGACTTACATTATAGGATCACTAGTAGAGAACCAAACAAAACCCAACAAAGACTCAATCGTTAGAAGAAAGACTTACATTATAGGCACACTAGTAGAGATCTCGGGCCAGAATTGATCAACAAAGTTGTTGAGATTGTAAAGTGCGTGTTGTTTTAACAGAGGGTGGCTCTCATTAAGCATAGCTAACAGTCCACCAGCAGAGCTAACCATAGTTGTTGCCATTGATAGAAATTTCAGAAACCCTAGCTTGCTAATTGAACTGGGTTTGCGTCAATTTAACTGATTTGAATCGAATTTGAGGGTTTCGAAATTGGGGATTTTGAAACCCTAGATTGCTAGAGAGAGAGAGAAACAGAGAGGTTAAGTGAAAGAAAATAAGTTGTTTGCTTTTTTTTTTATTGCTTTCTTTTACGTAGACTTACTCGGCAAGTCAAGAAATTTAAAAAAAAAAAAAAAATCGATTTCAGAATATGTGTGTCCTAATCCTTTTCGGTTCCTATAAATTTTTATTCACTATTTTTCATGAGTTTTTATTTGATAAATTAGAAGATTATAGATATTAAAAAAGTGTATTTATAAGTTTAAAAAAAATGGCACCTTTTTATAACATTATATTAATTTTTTTAACTATTTATAGAAAATTAAAATAATATACTAGTGATATTATCCTTTTGAAAATTATTCATTGCATGTTATTTACACCGTATTAGTATATTACTTCTTTGCTTTATGCTCTAATCGCACATTTGGATTTTTCTTGGAAAAATAATGTTATCTTTTGAAACACTTTCTTTTTTTTTTTTGTTTTTTACCTTTTTATTATTTTTTTCTTTGAAGAGTTTGGGCTAGACTATCCAGTCCAGCCCAAAACCTTTTTCTTTCTTTTCGATGTGAGTAGCCTACTTACATGGGTTTGACTAAGCCCAACCCACACCACTTAAAAAAAGACAAACCCAAAAATAAAACCCCAGTCCCATTTCAAAAAATTTTTAGATGAAAGACCCTTTTTCCAATTTTCCTCTCTTCACCTTTTCCATTTTTACCCACACCACTAGAAAAAAAGACAAACCCAAAAACAAAACCAACTCCCATTTCAAAATTTTTTTTGGATCAAATGCCTTTTTTTAAATTTTCCTCTCTTCACCTTTCTCGTTTTTACCCACACCACTAAAAAAAGGACAAACCCAACTCCCATTTCAAAATTTTTTTTGATCAAATACCCTTTTTCCAATTTTCCTCTCTTCAACTTTCCAGTTTTCTCTCTTTCCTTTTCTCCCTTCTTCTTCTTCTTCTTCTTCTTCTTCTTCTTCTTCCTTCTCTCTCGCCCATCTCCATGGTTCGTCCCTCCTTTTCTTTCTCTCCCTTCCTTCTTCTTTCCTTTCTTTCTTCTCTTTCTCCTTTCCTCGAATTTGCCATGTACGAACCGAACGGGTTCGTCTACACTCCTCCTTTTCTTTCCTTCTTTCTTGTTCACTTCTTTCTCTTCCTTCTCTAATCAAAAACCCCTAAATCAATTTCTCAAAATTCTTTCCAATTTTGGCGTTGAACCCTAACTATTCGATTTTTCAAAATTTCCTTTCAATTTATCCGAGTTAACTTTATTTCAAGGACTCAATTTTTGAAAAAAAAATCCTTAAATCAATTTTTTTAAAAAATCAAGAACCCTAAGTTTTAATTGAAATCAATTCAACTTTAATTTGAGGTTTAAACCCCAAGTTGAAACTCCAATTGACTTTAATTGAGCTTAATTCATGTTTTCCAACTCCAATTTCAAACCAATTTCCAAAAAACTCAAATTTCAGCGCTAACCTAAATTGATAGTCAAAAATCCAAATTTAAAGAAATATTAAATAGGTTACCTATAAGAATTGAGTCGACGATGATGGTGGATTGTCTGCTCAAAAAAGGTAAAGCCTATTTTGAGTTATATATTTTCATAACGAGTGTGTGTCATAACTCAAAATTTTGAGTTATATATTTTCATCCAATTTTATTCCTTTTAGGTTTATTTTTTATTTCCATTATCTTGCCTTGTTTTTATTTTCATTTAATTTGATTTTTTATTTAATTTTAGTATTTATTATTAAAAAAAAAGGAATAAAAAATACAAAAAATATATAAAGATACAAAAATACAAAAAAAATTAATTACATCAAGGACAAGATTGAATAAAAACAAAACTGAAAATGAAACAATTAAGGATATAATTGAAACAATTGAAAACCCTAGGATTAAAATTAAAAAATACAACTCAATTGAAAAAATTGAAAGAACTAGGGACCGAAATCATATACCTTAAGAACCTCATTGCGAAAATTTTGAAACGTGTGAGGACTAAATTGAAATTGAAGAGCAAACAACAGGATTAAAAATTAAGCGAAGGACTTGTCGTTAGCTTCAACTCAGAAATCATTTCCCCAGCTGTACTATTCCTCATCTTTTTCTCAAGAGCACAAATCCGTTTCTTGCCAAAATTCTTGCCTGACATTCATACCAGTCAGTAATCGCGCTTCACACCTGCACTGTCTTCACCAAAACATCACTAACCTATTAACTTCTTAGATTTTACAAGTATGATTTCCTTTTTCTTGTTTTCCTTTTTTTAGTTATTATTTAATCAATAATGTTGTCATGGGTCATGTAATGTAAACACACATTTTGGATAGTTCTTTGCTACAAAATCCTTGGGCTGTCAAATTGGCTTTTGGCCTTGGTCATCTGTTTGTGTAGTGAAAAGAGGAGGAAGGAGTGAGAAAAGAAAGAAAGCATGGGCCAGGGAAAGAAGAGGAAAGGAAAAGAGAGCTGGGTTCAACCTAAATTGAGTGTTAAAAAAAAAAAAAAAAGAATGGTAAACCATAGTTTTGTTTTAGTATTTTTTATTAATATGATACAAAAAATATACTTATGTATTTGATGTTTTTATTCCAAAAGAAAGGAAGAAAGAAAAAACTATGGCCGCTTTGGGCTTCTAACTTTCTATTTTTCAATCAAACCCAAGATTTACTTAAATTTTCGAATTTTGCAGTCAAAAACAAAATTGTTTCTTTTAGTTTTGTTTGAATGCATGCAATGTCAACATGAGAAATTCCACGTTCCACTTGCAATCTTGTTCGAAGTCCAAACAAAAACCGATGGGCGGTCAGTCTTTTGATTCATCCGGCGTCTCTTCCTTTTGAATTGGACAAATAGTTTATACATTACTGCTCCATACAACAATAGTCTTTTATTTTTTAATTTTTACTTTCCATGTTTATTATAATGCAGCATGATACAATAAAATAAAATAATTAACTTAATTAATCTTCTTAATTTAATGGACGACAATTCACGAAATTAGAATTACATAATAAAAAAAGTAACAAATTAATAATTTAATATAGTACTATATAAATGATCTTATTTACCATTTAAAATCTTTCACTTACACTAATGAACTCGAGACATTCAGAATTGATAACCTCAAAAAAAAAAATTAATATTTAAAAATAAAAAACAAGATAAAGAAGATGTAATTATTTTTTAAATATTTTTTTAAAAAAGTCAAATTCTTAATTTTCATTGAATGCGAAGTTCCTTAATTTTCATCCACCATATGGTAATTTTCTTAACATTTTAAGATAACTAACTTAATTAATCTTCTCAATTTAATAGACGACGATTCACGAAATTAGAATTACACAATAAAAATAGTAATAAATCAATAATTTAATATAATACTAAATAAATGATATTATTTATCATTTAAAATCTTTCACTTACACTAATGAACTCGAAACATTCAGAATTGACAACGTCAAAAAAATAAATTTAATACTTAAAAATGAAAAACAATAAAGAAGATGTATTTATTTTTTAAATAAAATCAAATTCTTAAAACAAAAATTCTAATAAATACCCTTAGGCTAGCAATCAGTAGGTTTTGATCTATTGGTTGTGAGCTTATTATATTTTTGTTAAGTTTTCTTAACTACTAATTTCTAAAGCCAATTCTCGTACCGTCTAATATTGGTGAACTGCAGATCCTATTAAAAAAAAAAAAAAAAACTAGTCGATAGATTCTTTGAATAATCCTCAGAAAGTCTACTGTCTCCTGCACCTACCTCCTACCCAAAATATAATTTATTCAATTACTTCACGACTCTTCTTAATTTACTCCATTTCTTACTTCCATTCCTCTTTGGCAGGTGGTGTGGTGCGCACACTCTCCTTGGTTTCTTGGCCCACGGATTTCTCTCTCTTTTTTTTTTTTTTTTTTTTTGATGCTATTAAAGCAAGACCAAACTTCTTACATTTGGCAAGTGAAAGTTGAACTTCTTCTTCTCTCTCTCTCTCTCTCTGGTAACAAAGGAGACAAAGCCTGTACCTTTCCTTGTACTCTGTAGTTCCATCAGGAGAAAGTTGAGAAACAAGGAGATGGGTGGTGATGCCAAAGTTTTTACCTTTGAAGAAGTGACTGTGCACAACAAACACAAGGACTGTTGGCTTATTATCAATGGCAAGGTGAGATCTTTTATTCAGTTTTCTTGGCTTTTCTCTTGAAAGATTTGTTCTTTCTCGCTCTTTTGTGGATTTTGTGGTTTGATCTCTTGGACCCGTTTGAGGAAATTTGAGATCTTTGGATGTGGTTGACTTTTGGGTACGAGCAGTTTATTGATTCGATCTTTGTTTTTTGGTTGAGATTTAGGTGAAATTGTGTTATATTTTCTGGGATGTTTAGTCATTTTGACTTCATATCTTTTGACACAATTCTGGTAATATTTAACCATTCAAGTTCTTTTCTTCTCGTTGTTTGTTTTTGCTCTACTTGATAAGCAGGGTTTCTGTGCTTTTTTATATGGTGTTCTGTGATGATCTCTTGCTGTTTATTATGATTGATTGCTTTGAAGTTAGATAATGCATCGCCAAGGGGACTAATTAATTATCAATAATTTTGAAATTTTGGATATCATGTGATTATTTGATGGTTTGGCTAGAATGGAAGGTTTCAAATAGCTAATCTTTTCTAACAGATCCTGTCTTAGTGTGTGCAAGTAAATAAGAAGTGAAATATGTCGAAACTTTGGCAACCATCGTTCCTCCAGCACAAATATTAGATGCATCGCCCATGTGTGGCAGTCTAGGACATAATATAGGGGGAATTCTGAGGAAACTGTCAAATGAAAGAAAGTCAAAATGACCATGCCTTCCAGGGTTTTGGACTTTCTTGTCTCAAGAAGACTTTCGACATTAATTTCTTTCTCAAATTTTTTGGGTTAATGTATCAACTTGTCGGTAATTTTCCAACTTGTCTTTGTTTCCCTATTTGAGCCAATTTTAATCTTGAATGTACATTAAGTTTCTAATCTATTATTTTGGCAAGATTTTCATTCTAAACAACCGGAATTACTCACATGATATGCGCATGACTATTTCTTATTCTCAAGCTACACGTGCAAACCATACAAATGGAAGGCATTCATGTGACAATCACATGACTAACTCTGGTGGTTTGGCTTGAAAATCTTGCCAGAAAGATAGATTAGAAACTTAATGTATGTTCAATCATAAAATTAGCTCAATTAGGAAAATAAGGACAAATTGGAAGATTACACTATTATGTAAGGACAAATTGAGCCATTAACCTTTTTTTTTACTATAGGTGCAAGTTATATGTACCTGAAGTTAAAATCTTTGAAGGAATTTTAATACTTCTGAATCAATATGTGAAATGAACAAGAGGGGGTGATTTGTTAGTATTGCTCATATTTCCTCTCCGTTCATCCCTATGCTGGATAATGAGGTTCGTTGGCCTCCCCAAAAAGTATATATTTAAGTTCTTCATCCAGGGCCTATTAATTAACAGGAAACTATGGAATTTGCATGTAAAAGCAGAATAATACATGCAACTGCACTCATTCTGTCTTATGTTAGCTTATAATAAACAAGGTTATGATAGAGATTAGCATAACATCAAAATAAAGGTTAAAACAAAGGGATTGTTTCTAGGAGGAGGAGGGAATAAAGGAGGGTATACAGAATGAGCAGTATCATTGAGTAGGATCAACTTTCGTTTGCTAAACTGCATTGGTTATTCTCTATTGACTGCCTTATGGAAGAAGCTTTTTCTCCTTTGTAATCAATGAGAATCTTTTAATTCTTCCATGTTTCAGTAGTAACCATATGGAAGGAATAGCAAATGGAAGACCTTTCTCTGTCTCCACAAATCTATTTTTTGCTGTTCAAACGATTCATCTTGAAAAAAATAATAAAAATGCATCCTTCAAACGATTTTATAGTCTTCAGTATTAAAACTGCTATGCTTGTCTCTGAGCCCTCTTTGTTGGTTGGAACAGGTTTATGACGTGACAAAGTTCATGGAAGACCACCCCGGTGGCGATGAGGTTTTGTTGTCTTCTACAGGTATAGCCCTAACTGTGGCATTCAAAGCATTTTATGTAGTTTTTAGTTCATTTATGTACATTAGTGAGGACTCATATGGCACATCTTTGTTTTGCAGGGCAGGACGCAACTGATGATTTTGAAGATGTGGGTCATAGTGATAGTGCCAGAGAGATGATGGGCGAATACTGTATTGGAGATATTGATGCCTCGACTGTCCCCCAGAAAGCAAGGTACAAGGCTCCAAAGCAGCCTAACTACAATCAAGATAAGACCTCCGAGTTCATTATCAAGCTCCTTCAGTTCCTAGTTCCTCTTGCCATATTGGGTTTGGCCTTCGGAATCCGTTTCTACACCAAATCAACCTAAGATTGTTGGATCATGCTCCATTCACAAAAAAATAGTATTTTATTTGAGCTATTGAGGCTTTCTCATTGTCTGTAGTTTATACTAGCAATTTAAGCTTGTTTCTTTGTTGTCTATCTATGTTATCGTATCCCATGTTCAGAAATGTAGTGCAGTCCCATTTGCGGTGCTTGAGATTTTTCTGGCCCTGTGTTTCTGCTATATTACAACTCTCAGTTGCAACTCTGTTACCGAACATGAAAAATAAACTAATTGGTAATTTCAAGGCATGCTTTCTCATATTTCATCTGTAATTCAGACTGCCATCTCTCATCTTCTGTTTGCTCATTTGCATTGATGCATCGCTAATGGTTTCTTTGATTTTGAAGCCAGAATCTAAACTAGATAGAATTTACTCATTTTGATGATCGGGTGCTCTCATTACTTGCCACCTCTCTTTGTGGATGGCTGATTTTGATAGAGCACTAAACTGATCAGATAGTGAACTTCTTGAGTTTGAGACAGCACCATCACCTTCGAAATAGTGAAGGATGATAAGGGACAGTCCCTTTCGTCTTGTTCATAATCTGTAAGAACAAGCATATTCGGATTATTTTCTGTATAGCGAAGACAGTCGTTATCAGCCAGGATGTGTTGGTAGTTGGTTAGGAACCCACTGCTATTCAACTTGCAGGAAAACGATGGTGACGCATATTTCTCATCTTCTTTTTTTTCTCCTTCAAGGTATTCTACGCTCAAAGATTCAGGCTAATCACTCGTTATTTTGTCAGACGCACAAAATGGAGACAACCACTTAAAGAGTTTTTTTCATACATAAAGATTTGAATTTGAGATTATTTGCTTAACCTTCCGCTCAAGTCAACCCTCTTTGGTTATTCCTCACCTTCCTTGGCATTACGAACAACATCCCGTTTGGGGACTAGGTTGGTTGGGTGAGAGTTCAACCGTCTTAACAACCAAAAGAAAAAAAGTCTGCACACTTCAGAAGGTACACTTGATTTTGATGTTTATATGTCTAACCCTCAACAATCACTACACTAAAGTTTTCCCAGATAGTTTACTTGAACCTTAAAAGCCAAATTTTCCTTTTCAGTGACAAGGGAACATCCTTAGTACAATGCCATTGTCATCATCTTGAATTCCTGATATCTATAATGGTTTTGTAATTTTATTCAAATCTAATCATTTGATATTATGTGGGTGTCGGTATTTTAGACTTTTGAGTTATGCACGGAAATGCTTTTATCCTTTTACAAGAATTATCAGTACATCTTTTATTTAGGTTTCGGTACTTCACACATGTCCCAATCCAAATTCCAACTGGTAGGATCTACAAGTACTGAAATCTAAAAGAAAGATTTGGTACAAGGACTCAACGAAGGTGCCAAAGATTTAGCTGATAATGCTGAAAAATGATGGTTTTTTCCTTGAGATGTAAAAACAGTTACTAGCTAGGGCTTTGTTGGTTACGATCTTGTAATAAAATGTGAACGGAGGAGCTGAATCCATGTAAAGCATTGAGACATGGTTGGCTTTGAAAACTCACAAGCCTTTTTTTTTTTTTTTTTAATATTTACCATAAACCATTTTTGACCCTCAATAGTTTTTATTTTTATACCAAATTCAAAAAAGAACTTCAAAAATTACATGTTGCATAGTTTCTTGATTTTTTTTTAATGATTTTTAGGTATTTTATAATTTTTATGACTTTAATTTATTAGGATTATCCTCTAATTTTAATTAAATAAACAAAAAAAAGGAAAGAAAGAAGAAAAAAGAATTAAAAAAATGAATAAAATAATTTAGAGGTCCGAGTTAAAAAGGATTTGAAAAATTATGACAAAAAAAATTCAATAGAGAGATATTATTGAAAGGATTTAAAACCCGAGAGCCTTAATTGGAAGAAATTAAAAAGAAAAAAGGCTAAATAATCTCAATTAAGAAGATAATTGAAAGAAAACTAAAGAGATTTGCATTGAAATTGAAATAAACAAAAGAATCAAGGACTAAAATTGATCTTCATCTAAAACCTTAATTAGTTCTCTTATAAATATCTCTCTTCTCCCCAATTTTGAAGAGAGAAAATGTTCATCTCCCCTAATAAAAACCCTAGTTGCAATCGAAACTTCCTTCCCTCATGCCGACCACCAATCGCCATTGATCATCATCAAAACTAAAGCCTTATCGTCATTGCTCATCATCACAACCAAAACTCATAACTACTCTTCTAGTAGAAGCTTCACATCTCACAACTGCAGCTCCTCCCCGATCTCCTCCTTTCTAGCACCACACTCGCACTTCATCTTCTTCATATAAAAACAACACAAGCTATCACTCTTGCTACCTTAATTGATGCAAAAATTAAGCAAGCCATGTGAGGAAACTAAATGCAATAATACCGTACTTTTTGCACGTAATTTAAGACTATAAACATAGAAACTAGTGTATATCCTAACCTATATTGCAAGTAACTCGAAACAAGGACATGGATTGGAATAGAATCTATGCTTTGCAGTTATCCTAGACTTTGAAAACCTATGCTCGATACTAACTTTGTCACGATCTCGGGAGATAGGCCATGATCGATGCGAGAATAAAGAAAATTGTGAGGCCCATCTCTACTCAAGCAAGCCATGAATAACTAAAATTAAATCCTCAAATCTATATCAACTCAAATATCATTTCAATTTGCATTATCCCAAATTAATAATCATTTTATAATTTCAACATAATTGATAATTCAATCCTATTCTCCAATCGTTATCCAAGATCAAATTCTAATACAATACGCATAAGCTATAACCGTAGAACTTCTAAGAATACAAAAAAATAAAATATAGGTTCTAAGAATTTATAAAATAAAAAAAATAATAAGCCACACCGTCAATGTGCCGACTTCAAAATAGGTGGGGTGGAAGCAAAAAGGCACCCTCATGAATCCCGCAAAACCGAAATAATGAGGGGTGAGCAATCAATAACTCGGTGAGTAGTTACTATATAATAAATCTAAAGGAGGGAAATGGACTAAAGATGATAATTTAAAATTCAACTCAAAATACAATGCTAGTTCCTCCAAAACTATGCACATCGTGAAACCAAATAGTACATCACAAATTATATGGTTCAAAAACCATTTCATATCAAATCATCAAAGCATACATATACCATAATCATATCAAAATACATATCTAGGTTTTTATTTACCCGTGGGGTGAATACCGTATCATTAGATGCGAAAACCCAAAGGTCACACCTCTCATGACTAGGTTTTCGTATGTTGGCTAATACACGAGCCGGCACTCTACCTCTCTTGTTAGTCGAAGTCTCGTATCATTGAGTTCAAAGGCTACGTTTCCCATAGCTAGATTCCATAGTGGTCTCAAAAATATTTTGAAATATATATATATATTCCAAAACCAAGTATTTCAAACACAATGCATGCTCTAAGTCGGATTGACAATACAATCTCATATCAAATAAGCATTTACAAAAATCATACAAATAATCAAAATAATCGTCTAAAGTAAATCAACATTTAAATCCATAAACACATATCAAACCTAGTAAAGCACTTTTTCAAACATATACACAATTCTCTTTTTAAAACCATATCAAACCATTTCGATACGAAATCATTTTAAATACGTATATAGTCCGTTCCTCTCTAAGTTCTAAAGAATGTAAATAAATCATACTTAAACCAATGATGCATGATAAGCATAATCAAAGGAATTCAAAATGCACAATGTGTTATATAATATCCACTCACAAGTATAATTTGAAAAATCAAACGAATTAAGGTTGATGTGAAGGAGTCACCCGCTCCGAAGAATCTAATAACATACGATGGTAAAACAACCATCAATATCATATATCAAAAAATAATTCAAAATAAGTGAATTATTCTAGAATTAGGAATATAAGATTACTTATAGGAATAGAATTGAACTAAATTCTATAATCTCTCCAACAATTCTAAACAATTGTCTAATAATGTCCCATCATCAATCCTCAATTCAAACCTTTAAATAATAAACTTTTAATTAAATAATAAATTTCATTCTAATTCAATCAATACGCATTCTATTCATCTTTAATTACATTTATACAACTTAATTCTTCATTTTCCCTAATTTCCTTTCAATTTAAAACCTAATTTTTAGATTTTTCATTATTCATCATCTTTAACCTCTTAATTACTCAAATTTACTCAATTTCACTTCAAATTGACTTCATAAACCACTTACCCAAGACAATTAAACATCATTCAAATCACTTAATCAAGTTTTTTCCAAATGGGTCTCGAAAACCCTCATCTTAATATAACTCGATTCTTCATCCAACAATAAACCCAATGCAATTTTATTTCAATATCATCATTAACTACATATAAACTTCACAATCCAAAGATCAATTGATCCAAAATCTTACCTTTGAGAATTTGTCCTTCAATCCCCAATTCAATCCTAGCTCTTTAAGTTTTTCTAAGCTTTAATCTAGCTAAGCTTCACTTAATCAACTAATTTATGGTTCTCCTAAGCTAATTTAACAAGGAATTAGCTTAGGAATTAAAAGTGAGAGATGGGAAAAAATTGGGAGAGAAATGGATGAGAGGAAGAAAGGAAAGAAAAAAAATAAAAGGGGATAATTATTGCCCCATTTTATTCCAACTTGATTTTTTTTTTACTTAATTATTATTCTTAGGTCGGGTTATTACGGTTAGCATCCAATTGAAGAGCTTGCTTCATTTGGTGATGCTTAGGGAAAAATTTAGATATCGGAGCTTATTGTTATTTTGGATTAATAATTTCGTAAGAGAAGTCGAATAGCTTATCGTGGTACGTTCATTTAGTGCGAGGGTGGAGATTGAACAAAAAACTAATTGTTAATTCCATTGTTATTAATCTACTTTACCTAGTGTATTTATTTGTTCATCAAAACATTAAATAACCAAATCCCATTTTATTTTAAATCAATCGGATAATTGATAAATGATCCGAATC